TATCCCATGGATTATCTGTCTGTCCATAAAATCTCCGAATTTGATTAAGCAATACGCATCAGATGCGCTAATATCTTTTCTTTGTTAAAAATTCAGCTTCTCTGTTTGGTTTTATTCAGAAATTTTAAGGGAAACTATATTTCTAGTTATAGTCTTATATTTCATAGGAAGGGGATATGATGAGCGAGTGGCAAGTTATTTCGACCAAAGCCATCATAAGCTTAATTTATGCTCTTTGGGTGGACGTTAGTAAACGTGTCATGAAGCTGCTGGTGTTGGGAACAACTTCTTCTATCTCTAAATGACTTCCTAATGATTGCCAGTAGCACCTAATCGGAAACATATAATTCAATAAATGAAAATAGTGAAAATCTTATTTTTTCAAATGTTAATTTTAGAATAATCTGAAAGGTGAAATATTCGAAAGAACTACAATAATACCATTTTCTCTGCCGTTTATCCTTATATTGATGATTGTAAGTTTTATTATTCTCATGGTAGATCAGATAACCTGTATTCACTACAAGGTGACCTCAGTAGAATTGCCAACTGGCTATATGACAGGCAAATTACCTTTCCTTTTCGAAAGTGTAGCGTTTTACATGTAAAGTCGAAAGTAATCGGTTTTCCAAATCTTTTTATTAATGGTAATCAGACTATATATAATCAGACGATTAGTCTCACATATTTTCGAGCTTGGCATCATCATGGATGAAGAAAATCTTGGCTTCGGCCTTCACTTTAGAACCATGAATTCCTCAAAAGAATTCCTCAAAAAATAAATTCCTCAAAAATAAATTTTGTTTTTCTTTTATTTAAAAACAGAAGGTTTTCTTATCAAAATGTGCAAAGTGTTCGGCTTCTTCTTGGCTACAGTTCTACTTGTTACCCGAAATACCGCAAATCAAATAAATTAATTAAAGGACTCCAGAAATATTTTATACGTCACCCGCCTCTCTCTTAATAGTAATTTACAGTATAAAACATAACCTCAACAATATAACCTGGATTCCATTTCAATCTATACTTATACAAATTAAGTAAGATTTAATTTATACTTATAAAATTTTGTTAGATTATGTTAAATTGTTCAAAATATTACAATTTTAGGTTAAATTGGAACAAGATCTAATAGACTAAAATTACCAAAACCTATATGCAAAACTAAATTGAAGTCTTCTTTATCCTATTAATTACTGATTATCATCCTTAACTATTTTCAGAAAAAGATTGGATAATATCATTTATGATATTATGATAAAAAGTTCACATCATGCAGGAATTTTGAAATCTTTACTTTTACCATTCGATTATATATATTTATATACATTATATATGTATATAAATAGTACATTCATATCGAATTATACTATTTTGTAACTCCTTTTTATTTCCTCTTTAATTTTTATCATATTTTCTTTTTTTATCATGAATTTTCATCATTTGTTATTTTAACTGCTGTTGTTAATGCAAGCACAATGGCGCTTGCCGCTCTGCTTGGTTGGTTTTCAATAAATAAACTACAATAATAAATAAAAAAATTTAAAGAAAGCCAATCTACTTTAATAGTCGAAAAGAAAATATTTCATCGTAAAAATTTTTTCGTTTCGAAATGTGTTGTTGGCTTTTACTTATTCTTTACTAGGACGATTGTCAGTGAAATGGCCCAAAACAGAAATGGTGAGTGCTTAGAAGAATTACGCTATACGTTTATTTTAGAAAAGTGTTTCTCATTTTTTTGGCGATATTCGTGGAAGCTGGAAACATTAAATAATTAAATAAGTGGTCAGCAATGTTTCTTGTTGTGTTTATTTCGCTGCTTTGTCAGAAATTTTCGTCAAAGAATCAGTCATTTGGTGATAAAAATACAAAAAAAAACTCTTTCACCGCACATTGTCCTTCTTCTAAACAGTTAATTAGCTAAACAGTTAATTAGGATATTGATGTGAATGTTTGGCTTAATTAAAAGTTATGCTTCTCGTTTTTTTCCAAGAATTTATTCCGTATTCCGTTTTTAAGGATTTTTTAATTTTCCCATTTTTCGAATCTTTCTTTTTGCAGGCTTCACTTGCTTTTGGATTGCGTTTCATTTCATTATCTATTAACTCATTTATTCATCGATTTTGGTGAGATTCCGCATTCCATTTTGGCAATTCATCGGAAGAAATATTTTTTCTTTGAACGCAGAGTCGCTTTACCGTAGAATTCATTGATGAACGCCTACACAATTTGAGAAATTTCGAATGCGACTCGACTCGGCCCATCTGTACTTCTATCGTCAAATAAGCTCCTAGCAAAAGTTATCGCATTAACAGCTAGCGGAATGATTCCAATCGCAAAAGGCACTAACCACTCACTTTATTTAATAATTTAAACGAAATTATTGTATTTTCTATGGGCATCTAGAAATAATATGATTAACTTTCAAGGTACAGTTCATTGTTTCCGCTATCACCTTATCACTAACATTGATTTTGATTGCAAATAATTATTTATCATTGTTATTTATTGTTTTATCACATTCGTAAACTTTTTATACGAAATTCGTAAACTTACTTAATCTTCGTTTATTTTTTAAAAATTCATTCCCTCAATGTCGATTTCGAGTGTATGCGAGCTGAATCATTATGCGATCTTTAATGATTAGCGCTGTTCTTAATTTTTTTTCATGGCTTTTAATTAAAGCATTCATTTGTACGCTTCATTGGTGGCTTTGCCAATAAATTTTTTTACTATTACTATTTTCTATCATTAAGCATATAACCTGCGTTGATAACAATTTTTGAATTGGTATAAATGACGGTCGTTTGCTTTGTTGGATTTCGTGTGGGTAAGCTAGTGGATAATGGCCCTCGTTGTCGCATTGGGAAGCAAAGCTTCGATTCATCTCTTCCGTATTAATCGTTAAAATAGTCGGATGGTGCTGGCGAACCACCACGAGCTTTTCCACGGAATGGCTCGCTACTTGAGTTTGGAGTTTCTTATCTATATTAAAAATAAAATTTCTGCTTGTATTTTATTTTAAAAGTGACGAAAATTTTTTGCTTTTTCAACATTTTTTTCTATAAAGCGTTGAGATATTTTTAAAAAACATTAAATTAAATGATTGGAAATGGAAAGCAACCACGAAAATAGAAAAATGAGAGGAATATTAAGAAAGGATTGCACTCTTTATAATCAAACATAGAAGAAATTAGTCAATTAAAAGGTTCTTTTTTTCCAGCAGCACTCATCATTTTTGACTTCACTGGCTTGATGGAGTTTTGGAATGAAAGCCTTGTTACCCGGGAATAGTGATTTATAAGGTGAGTCCCTATCATCGCATGGATTTAACTTTCAACGAAAGGTTTGCTGCAGCCAGGGACCAAGAATAGGATCTGTTATGGCTTAATGGCTCTTACTTCAAACAGCATTCGCCCATATTTTTCATTCTAACAAATTATCCTATCTTTAAAATATATTTCTCCAACTCTTTTTTTGATTATCTATCTAAATTGCTGAAAAATTATTGATTCAGCTAGATTAGCCGAATGCTTTATAACAGTTTATGGACAAATATATAATATTTATGGTGTTGAGAATAGGTCGGTCAGCTGTTAGTTCCTACAAGAGTGAAGTCATTAAAAAATGCGGATGGTGCTGGTGATTCATTGCACTTCTCTTCACCACGTGCCCCTTCGGCGAAAATCTGACGTACTAAGCGTTGAGAGAGGAGTGGACGTACAAAATTGATGAATTGATCTAATTGTCTTACTTACGCACTTATTTCCCTGTCACAACTTGATTTTTTGGATATTTAATTATAATTTAAAAAGTTTAAAGTCGACAATATAAATTAATTTTGAGAAGATCAGTGAGAAACAAATGAATTTTTTGCACGGATCGTCACTTTTGATCATCGAAAGAGATAAATTACTTACTTCACATAAAGTTATTCTTAAATTGTATAAAAACTAAATTCCACAGGACTTTCCCTCGTTTTTCCTCGAATAGCGATCGGAATTCTTAAAATTATCTATTGAAAGGATATTGGAATAAACCAGGTTTTTTAACGAGGTTGATCATCGTATTTTCCCTTCGATCGATATTAATGCTATCCAAATTTTCATAAATATTTTTTTGCCATCATTTTTTATGCCAATTTTATTTTTTTTTAAATTTTCGCTTTTTCAGTCGCTTTTTTCCATTTGGTTGTCTATCTGGTTTTTTCCCACTTCCCGCAAAAACTCAAGCTAATTCATCGAATCAAAGGTAAATTCATTTACCTTTCCTTTAGCAACGCAGTGCAGTCACATGCACGGGTTATTCGTTTCGGTATTGCTGCTTTTTGGTTTGGTTTCCTGTATTTGTCAAATTCATTCATCTCTGATCTCTTACCAATCGTTTTAATATTTCTGTTTTTCCATATATTTGTCATTGTGAAGCCAGTTTATTTTTCAGGAAGTGTTCTTTTTGACGTAATTTTAAACTGTGTTTGCCTTACTTGCTACTCTTTTATTCATCGATTTCAATAACTTTTAAGCAAAATGTAAAAATTTTTTGCAAAATGTGTTCTTTTATGTTAATAGAACTTGAAAGTAAAAAAATACGAAGACTGACAAAGCCAAAATGTCCCATTTAATTAATTCAAATTTCTTCTAGCATTTTTCACAGCTGAATCGACCTTTATCAAAATTATTCGAATAATTAATTTACTCTTTCTCAAACTTTCTCTTATTAAGTTGGCTCCTTTGGTTAGAAAAGTGAGGCGCTTCTGACTTCTGTTCGCTGTCAGAAGCAACAAATATTTGAAAGCAACAAAAACCTCTTTCTCCCCAATAAACCCGTGAATAACTCGGTGCTCTATGTGTCTAAAATCTTTCTTATCTTCCAGAAATTTGGCTTTATTCTTTTTCTTGACTTGATTTCGCTGAGAAATTTGTTAACGCAATTTATTTACTGGAAGATAAAAATGGCTTTTGATGCTTTCTATATCTTCTTTCTTATTTAGCATTCAAATTATGCCAATTATGGAATATTCTACGAATTGTAAAGATGCAGCTAATGCAAGAAATGCGACCTATTCAGGTCTATGTAATAATAAACTGACAAAAAACACATCACGACGCGATTATCGCTTTCAGGTGATACATTTTGAAACTTTTTTGAAATAGGTGAGTTTAATATTCCTAATTTTTATTATTTAATATTCTTAAAAATCATAATTTCTTAATAAATTTGATATTTTTTATTAATAATTTGGTATTTCTTAATAAATTCAACGCATTAACTGTATGAAATAAATAAATCTATAAATTCTTTCTGATTGATTAAAAATTTATAATTCATTATTTATAATTTATAATTTGTAATTCATAATTTATAATTCTTATAATTCTTTTATAATTATTATAAATCTTTCAAATAAAAATATGAATGTGATTTGGATGTGCTTTGCGTACATTTATTTGTTCATGCCTTATCATGAATATTATTGTTGAATTTTGTTCATCAAGTGATTTATTAATTTTTCTGCTTCTTTTCGTTTAAACTTTGAGAAATTATTGGTCGTTTTCTTATTTACCGAATTTTTTTTCGGAAAATGGTGTAAAATTTTAACAAAATAAATTTGATGTTTGCTCACAGATGGACGATGAAATTGTTATATGGGAAAGTAGTGATTTGAAACAAAAAAATTTGCGAATTTTTTGACGATTATTTTTCATTAATAGAATTAAACATTTAATTCACTAGTAACTAATAACTAATAAATTTTATAAATTAGAAATTTATTTAAATATTTCATAAATGAAATTAAAATGGCGTGAAAAAAGCTATTTGGCTTATCGAACTATCGAAGTTTTCGCTAATTTTATCAGTTATTTTATGAATATAATAATAATATAATATAATTGTAATATAATATAACTGGTTAATAATATAATTTAATATAATTTATAATTTAATAATATAATTAATATAATATATAATATAATTTAATATAATTTATATAATTAATATAATATATAATATAATTTAATATAATTTATAATATATAATATAATTTATAATATAATTTAATTTAATGAATATAATTTTATAATAATAGAATTAAAATAAAATTATAAAATTTTATGAAAATTTATTTAAAAATTTGAAAGAAAAGGCCTATTTTTTAAAATTGTTAATTAATTAAATTATTAATTTGATTATTAATTGGCATGAAATCAATATAATGCATTGCTCTCATTTCGAATCTAAGTAAACTTATCTACGAAAAACTTCTGGCGAGGCTCACTTTCTATCGCTAAATGATTCTCTACAAAGTTTATTTAGTTCGGCTGGCCAGTTGAGCGAGCGTTGTTAGGAAAAAAACTATTTACCTAACATTTCACCACTTCTCTAAATATGTTGCTCATTCATTTCAGGTTATCGAGGTGCCGAAATGGTTCGTTTGGCCTTCAAAATCAAAAAAGTCGAAAAAAAATGCGTCTGATTTAAATAATTCGAACAACAATAATCCAGCAGCATATAGTTCTATTCCTATGCCTGTTCAGTACGCCATAAACAGTACGGATAATCTGGTCAATGATACTTCCACATCGAGAAGTCATAATAATAATATTACCTATACGGACAATTTGGACAACCTTTCTTCGGTTCCTCTTCGCGGCAGTGTTCTACGTAATAATTTTGACTACCAAACAGTTGCAAGCGTTAATGAAAGTGAGTTTTCTTTATGATAAATTTCGTTCCGCATTACTCAGTTTTATTCAAGAAATTCCCTATTGTATAATTCGCCTTACACGAAAATAACACTATTTCAAATGAATATTTATTGACTGATAAACGTACGATATCAAAGGAAAAATATCGTGATAACGATGTAATCAACACTTCGTTTTCATACCTTATCAATAACTTTTATTCAAAATTAGTTCTTCAGTCATGTTGGATAAAATAAATTCAACAACAATGCCAAAATGAATTATATAATGACTTATTTATTTAAATAATAAATATATGAATAAAAACGATAAAGATTTTTAAAATATATGAAACTGGCAGAATTAGCCAAACTTTCTAACATATAACCAAAATAGAAAGGAAGGTGCCTGCCGTTCTGATAAATTTGTTTTGATTTATTGATTGAAAATATTCCATTCCGAGGTGAATTCAGGCTTAATTGTGCCAACAGTGATAAGGTGATGGGTATCTAGTTTTTCGCTACATTCCGTAATTTTTGTGAAAAACGCTTTGAAAAAAAATTTTTGAATTTTCCGGCTCGTTTCGCCGCTTCTGCGCGACCAAGCAAATTTTAACTTGGCAGTGGGAATGAGCGTCATCAGCGCCATCTTTCGAAGTTTTTTTTGGAAGATTTTCTTGAAAATCCCTCTGTCGAGGATAGAATCCTAGTATTGGAGCTCCAAAATAGATCAACAAATCATTGGACAATTTTACTTGTAGCTAATAAGATTAAATTAATATAAATATTTTAGATAGGAAATTTTATGAAAATGGCGTAATTTACAACTTTTTTTTTAATTTTTTTAATTTAACTTTTTTTTTTAATTTTGCATTTAGAGAAGACTGTGCTCTACAATTCCGTAATAATTAGTGGATATGGCGGATAAATTTTGCGAATTTCAAAAAATTTTATTTTGTTTGTTTTATTATTTTATTTCTTTAGGAGAGCGAACATCTCGAATTATATCACCAATGTCTATGCAAACAACAATTACAACAAATTCGACAGTATCAGAACCAAACACTCAGTGTATACCGATTCAGTCTTTTAAGAAAAATATCGAAACATTATCAAATTCAGTACCATCAAAAACATTTAAAATTTTATCAATATCAAAAAAATGGGAAAGTACTGACGAATCGGACGATGATAATATGAATAATGTTGAAAATTGCACCATTGTTGCTAGTAATTCGTTATCCATACGTTGTTCTCAAATCAAACAGATCAACACTACCCATTTATCTTCAACTGAAAATCATCCAATATATTAAGCGAATATTTTTGCTGCTATATTGCTAAGATTCTCACTTCTCGACTGGTGGGGAATTTTTAAGAAGAAATGAAAAAGGCCTGAGAACAAGCTTCAAGCCAAGCGTTCAAGGCAATATAGGCAGCCTTTGTTACCAATACTCATCGTACCAGGTCAGGGGGGAGGACGACTGGGCAAAAATTTACTCTGACATATGGTGAAAAGAGTGAGGAATCATTGTATTTGTATACAATGTCTCTTTAATATGGCGCTTTAATTTTTCGAGTAAAAAACATTATTCGATGAGCAGTTTTCAAGAAACTGGTAAAAAAGTGGAAGGGATTCCTCATAAAATTTGTTTGGTGCCTTCATCAACGTTTTTATTTGTTATATTTGGCACTTTGTCACATTTGTCGGACAATTTGTTCGCTCGTTGCTGACGCTTATTGGGTCATTTAGCTTTTTAAGAAATTAGAGGAATAAGATGAGAAAATGCCGAAGGCTAAAGCTAAATTAACAATTTTAAGGATAAAAATTTTATCAAATAAAAAATAAAATTCCCCAAAATGCTTTACTTCAATTTTGTCTATTCGCTGTCAGTTCCATTTGGCGATAAGAATCCGAGTTTTAATTTGCGTTAACGCAAAACTGAGTTCGAATAAGTTTTTTTTCGTACGAAATTTAAAATATTTAAAATTTTATTGAAAATTTTAAGAAGGAATGGATAGAGGCCTGAGAACAAGCTTCAAGCCAAGCGTTCAAGGCAATATAGGCAGCCTTTGTTACCAATACTCATCGTACCAGGTCAGGGGGGAGGACGACTGGGCAAAAATTTACTCTGACATATGGTGAAAAGAGTGAGGAATCATTGTATTTGTATACAATGTCTCTTTAATATGGCGCTTTAATTTTTCGAGTAAAAAACATTATTCGATGAGCAGTTTTCAAGAAACTGGTAAAAAAGTGGAAGGGATTCCTCATAAAATTTGTTTGGTGCCTTCATCAACGTTTTTATTTGTTATATTTGGCACTTTGTCACATTTGTCGGACAATTTGTTCGCTCGTTGCTGACGCTTATTGGGTCATTTAGCTTTTTAAATTTGTTGCTATCCGCCGCTGTTTGTTTGTTTGTTTATTTTCTTTCTGTTTACATAACAAATAAGCTTTTTTATTTCATAATTACCATATTCGAGGGGAGTTTCACATTCACCTTATATTGGCATCCTTTGAGAACTCCATGTGACTTGAATGCATTCGGTTTTCTCAGTGAGGCTGCTTCAGCGCCTATTTCCTCGGAACTGCTCATATTTCGTCACTTCCGATAACACTTTGACAAAATACTTTGCAGCGAAATATGAGCTTAAAGCGTGGAGAACGGAATGGTTTCTTTCGCTCTCAGATATGGCGTTGTGAGATAAGACGGACGCCTTTTCCCTTATCGCTAATGGAACCAACTTCTGCCAGTAATGGTAGAAGAAGAAGCAACAAAACAGAAAAAAACTTCGACAAAAACTCTCACTATTCTGTGGTAAATTCCATATTGCACTACAATATTTGCGATATCTTTTTCATCCTTTTTTCCATTCATTTATCCATTGTCCTTGAGATTTGCGGCATTCCGCCACTTATCTCTTTCCTGATTTTATCTTCTTTTAAGTTTTTATCCAATTTAGATTCGATCTGTAAACGGGTTTGAGAATACGCGAGGATATCCGCGTATTTACTTTTGAAGCTTTGCTGTCATACTACTCGGAACTTAATTGTCCACTTTAATTATATACCATTAAAAGAATTTTGCCCCTGCAGTTTTGTATAAGTTTCTTTCATGTAGTTATAACGCAGTTTTCTCGGGCGCTTCACTGAATCTTTCAATTATTCCTTATTATAGTTTTTATCCCAACATATATTACAATAAATATTTCTTTATCGGATTTAATCCCCGATGATTTTTCTAGATCCCTCAACTGCTTAATTTCTCAATTCTGAATCTCTAGATCCCGGAGCATTTTCTTGCATCTGAAGTCTTATAGCCGATATATCAATAAATGGGTTTCATTCGCATATCATTTTTTCTTTTTTTTAATTGGCTATCAACCGTTACGTGGCCAAGTTCTTCTTGATTGTGCCGAGGTCTTTGGAGTCAGAATCAGTATTTTCAATCAATCAGTATTTCAATCAGTATTTTTAAATAAACTTTTTTTATTATTCGTATGCATAAAATGAAAATTGTCATTTCACTTGCGAATTTCGACTTTTTGCGAACTTTTTTTTTAATAAAAAAACGTTTTTCAAACGCTTATCATACTAGTAATAAGTGAATACTGGTTCATCTCCACTTGAAAAACTAAGTGGGATAGTGAAAAAACGCATGGACCACAAATCCTGGGAAATGAATTGTTGGAAAAGCTTCTTTTGCATTTTTACATTTAGCAGAATTATTAAGGTGTTACATTTCACTTGGAATAGAATTGTGGCGATGAAAGCCAAATCAAGAATAATATTTTTTGAAATTTGCGAAATTTTATCAACGAATTACTGAAATTACTGAAAGTAGAAAACAGTCACAAAGAGACAAATAGTTTCTGCCGCTTATCCGATGTTATATTTCTTCCATTAAGGTCAACAGAAGAGAAAGTGGAGCTAAAAAATGGAATCTCTCGGATGGATCAGTGTTGCTGAGTAGATGTCAGATCGACTCAGTGAGAACTCTGAGACTCGATAGAGGGTCGAAGATAGGGGATAGATGGGCAAGTCAAATAGTTGTTGCGTTTTTTTAAGATTTTTTAAAATTTAAGTTTTTCAAATTGAAATTATACTAATGAAAAAATAAAACGGATTAACATGAGTAGTCTGGGTGCCAAACGTTATTTACTTTTAGGGTCATCCTTAGCCGAATATACGCATTGTTTCAATTATCGGTCCACTGAGTGGATTTATGGAATACGTTCTAAAACAGGGCTTAAATCAATGTTTGTATTTTTTTAAAGGCACAAAGGAGGATTGGAATTTCTTTATGTCGCTGTTAATCGTGAAGGAAGCATATTCTACCACAGTCAGCGGAAAATTAATATTACAAGGAGAAAAGGAGATTATTGAAACGGTGCCTTTTTAATATTCCCCTTTCCACTTAATAATAGCATTGTTCAAAATCGTATGGATGAAATGGCTGAATATTAAAAAATAATCATAAGCATTCGAATTGCCAAAAAATTGCTTGTTTGATTGAACGGAAATTTGAAATTTGAGAACCCTTTGATGATCTGTTGTTTTTATAAGATGGAGGGAATGACGAAAAAATTTCTTTGTGCAGAGAATCTGAAGATATATTAGAAGAGAAACTGTATTTCTTTTAAAAAAATCTTATGAACTGTATGAAATTCGCGTTTGAGAAATATCGCGGTTCTCTATGGTACCACAAGATTCCCAAACAGTGCACTATGTTATGTCATTTTGCACACGCAAAAATACACAAGAAAAAACTTTACGATGTTTATAAAAGAAATAAGCACAGTTAAATCTAAAGCTCTTTGAACGATCTTCTCTTTGCACAGTTATGTGACAATAATGACGAAATTTACAGTTTGCCACTCGGTAGTACGCTGATAATCGAAAGGTAATTTCTTCATGAATTTTACAAATCTCTGGCGACATATTAATAAAATAAAAAAATATATTCCATTTGGTTGATATATTCTTTAAATTCTTTTCATATATTCTTTACTTTACAATATTCAAAACAAAACTACGAGGAAAAGAGTAGAATCTCAAATTCAAAATCGACCAGTTTTCCCCAACAAAAATTGGATTCATTTATCGGCACCGAATAACTGATTTTCGCTATTCGACAACCTAACACGCCCAATCATTATTTCTGTTGAAGATACGCTGTTACACACGAATCACTTGGAAAAATCAAATAGTTTTTTAATGTTCGCTTCAAAGACCTTGAAAATAAGCATATTTCATATTGGATGAGCCGTTTTACTGTTCCAAATCCAAATTTTCCCTTATAATTAATTGAATTAAAAGCGAATTTGCAGCGAATCTAATTTTTTTTGCAAAATTTTTGGAATTTGGAAAGGTATTCATCAAAATTACTCAACAATATTTCTGATTTTTTCCACTTCCTACCTAATCGAAGAGGGTTCGTATAAATCATTGATTAAACAGATTAAATATACCAGAAAAAAGCGATGTGTAAGAATGGTAGTAAGCAATTTTAAATTTAAAATTAAATATTTTTAATTAATTAAACGTTTAAAATATTGCTGCAGCTTCACGTAAAGCCACCATATTAATAGTTATAAACAAATATTATGTGTTTTGATGTGCCATTTATATTTCTACATTTTTGCTGAATTTTGTTGAAAAATATTTTTATAATAAAAATTCTCTCTTTTTGCATACTCGTTCTCAGTGACAGCAGAATAACAAATTCGTCAAGAAACAAGAATCGAACCTATGATGGCTTTCTATTAATCGAAAAAATATAATTACTCCATTCCATATAATGCTGAAGAAATAACCTAAAATGACCTCTGACACAATTATCTAGCCACAATCTTCTTCTAATAGGTCTCAGCATTACTGCTTAGGCTAGCTCCGATGGCTACAAGGGTAAGAACTTTCCAAGCGGCGCGGTCCGTCGATAGTATTAGAAGCCATTCCTTTTTCCATTGTCTAAGTCCATATATTGCTGGTCCACCTTTACGTTCAAAATCTTTTCTGACCATGTCAGTCAAAGTCTTGATTTGTCCACTTTTTATACCACCCATCACAAGGTTTAGCAGGTAATATATGTCAACTCTTGTGGTTGACGACGAACTTGTCGTAATCAGCGAAGGAGACGTTCTGTGATGGTATTGCTAGTGCAAATGATATTTGAACGGGACACAATCTAGGCACAACAACAACTACCCTGCCAAATAAATTCTGAGCGTTATTTACTTACTTCACTCCACAGAAGTAATGCTCCAATAACAATTCTTCATATATATATATATATATATATATATTTTTTCGTATTTTTATATAATGTTCCTAATGAGCCAGTTATATGTGTAACGTGCAATCTAATTGGCAATAATCAGATGACCAGGTAAAAAAAAAGAATAAAAAAAATTCCGTTACACGAAATTTCTTGGAAGAATTTCTTGGAATGATAAAAAATGAAAAAAAATGCTTATTACACGAAATGAATTTGAAAATTCCTCTAATAGCTCGACTAGAGAAATCATTTTCAGTCTCGTTAACCAAGAACTTGACTTGGCCTAAAAACTGGACTAGAATTTTTACTCAGTAGAAATATGTATAATGATTTTAATAATTTTTTAAGTCAACACGGAGAATTTTTACAAAAAAATACCATTGAAATAAAATATAAAATACTGTAGAAATATTTGAAGTATAACTCCCAGTGATGTATTTATCAAACTAAATGAGAATGACACATTTGGTACTATTAATTTTCGATCAAATGCGATCGCATTTTGCATGCATTGTGCATATTATGCAGATCTTTCTCTAACCTTTAGCTTGTATATAAATATAATAAAAAAAGAATCGTTAAATAATGTTGCGACAATTACTTACATGAAAAATTGTCCTAAAAATCACCAAAGATGTTTGGATGATTAATATGATAATCAGAATAGCATTGCTTGATTCGATCGAAGACTTGAAGGCATCCGATATATTGAAAAGCATTATTTGGGTTTCCTCTATGTGTGGTGCAAAATGCCATACATTGCCCACCATTGAATGTTCCAATACCATTACGAATACAGCATTCCGTGTGATCAGCCTGAATTGCAACATGATATATTCTTTTGTTAGACTTTCCAAATCATCAGTATCAGTAAAATTGTCACAATTCAATTAAATTAAATATCACTGGGTGGTGCTTAATTTGTATTTCGAAGTACCAACCATCGAAGTAGCACAGTCGAATGCTTGCGTAAGTTGCGGACCGGGACATTGATTCGTCAGAACAGCATTCACAAGCTACAATTTTCTCTTATTTCGTATAAGGAAAATAAAGCTAGAAATATTTTTATTTAAATGTTTTGTCATTAATTCTTATTATTTGTTTTAACTATTGTTATTAATACAAGCACAGGGGTGTTTGCGCCCTGCTTGGCTGGTTTTCAATAAATTTCAAATACTCTGATAATAATTAAATGAATGATTTTCCATATGTTGTTCTAATAGAATTCCGTATTAAATGAGTCTATGAAGGCTTAATTTTTTGCCTCAGAAGAAGATTTAAAAAGCAAGTAGATTTAAAAAACGAACTGATCGATCAGTGAAAGTATCATAATTGCACAAAGTCTGACAAGAACTAGGTAAATTCCTTTTGCGACAACAAAGACCAAGCTTTTCATTTGGTGATAATGCTATTACTTTTTTTGAATGCATGTTTAGCTCATCGAAACGATTATTATTTATAGCGAAGAATTCTGCAAAAAATTTTTAATTTTCGTATTCAACCACGAAACTATATTTCCTTCAAAGTAAATTTAAATTTAAGTATATGTATGCATTGAAAAATATTTTAAAAAGTTTAAATCTTTATTATCATTATTTGTAAGTATTGTTGTTATTAGTAACCTTGACTAGACCGATAGTCCATATTTGTTTGTCGTCGAGGTTGAGGTGGGGGTAATGGTAGAGAAAACTGAGGCGGTGGAATATGAGGAGGAGGCGGTGGTGGTGGTGGTGGTGAAGGCGGTATATTTGTTGGCCTAGAAGATTGCACAAATGATCGAGGCTGGGCTACGGTTTGTTTTAGCGTGATCACAGGTTGTTGACTCAGAAATGGTGATGCAGATTGTTGGGGACCAAATGGTTGGCCGAATATGTTGAATCCCTAGTAAGAGACAATATCAGTCCATGGTTTTTGAATAACTGGGAAAGCGAAATACATTGGCATCATTTCCATAGACTTGTGCATATATGTTGTATAAAATTTCTTAATTTTCTTTATAATTTATTTTTATAGCTTTTTAGTGATTTTTTTCCTTAACTGGCATCATTTTTAGTACTACATGAAATGATTTTTAGTTTGATCATAAAAATTATGATATGATCTCTTATATCGGAGCAGATGCTGAGGTTCTAGCCGGAGTAATTTCTAACCTATCTCCCAGAAATTAGATACTGGCGATTCCCCTCTATTTCGATTCACCAAATGTGACTCCCTGATTCTGGCGCAGACAGCCAGCATAAGCAGAAATGGTGAACTCTTAGAGAAAAAAATTTTTGAAGATTAATGATTCTTAATGATTGATTGAATAAAACTTATCGCACTTGGAACAAATAACCCAATGGATCGCGTGGCTGCTGAGATTGCGCAAAATAATTATATGGTGTTTCTTCAAAATATGGAAGAAATTTTTGTTGGCTTTGAGATACCGAAGGATTCCTGGGTGGAAAATGTGGTTGCAATTGTTGTTGCGAATTTTGTAATAATGGTGAAGATGTTTGCCAAGAATGAAGCCTCGGCAATTTGTCATTTGCAGTAACATCCGGCCTGCAAATTTTAAGCACAACATATAAAATTTATCATCATTCTTTAAATTGCTCACGTATTAATTAAAAGTTAAAGAATAGTTTTTTAGGTTTTAGATTTTAAAAATATGGAAAAATAGCTATAATTCCCGAAAATAACTCGAAAAGACCACCGTGAACAATGAAGACTTTATTGAATTGCTTAGCATTTGGAAGGAGATAAGCTAAAGTGACCAGAAAGGAATTTACCTTTCTGGGGAATAAAACTGCGGTGCTGCATTGAACTTGGCACTTGAAAATGTGCGTGACTGAAATTTGATTTTAGATTCTAATGAAGTGGAGAAAATTGCACTGCAAATTATGAGAATGTTGGAAATTCATACCCTGTCGACATATTGCCTTCTGTGTGCTCTAGCATTCTGTCTTACGGATTTATTTGCTTTTGGCAATAAAATAACAACTGCATTTGCAGGTTTCGTATTTCTATGCGATAATTCAACAATATTCGGCCTGCCTACTCTGTTTGGTCTGCGATGATGTTGTTCGACTAAAATTCAGATGCAAGAATTCAAGGAACTTTCAACGAGATTACGGAGAATGGGTCTTTAACCGAAGTGAAAATAACTTTTAAAAAATGCTTATCATTTGGAAGAAGATTCGTCCTAAATTCAGTTTTTCTTCTATAATTAATAATAATTAATTAATATTTCAATTAATATTTCAAATACTTAATAATTGACAATTAAGTTAAGAGTAAATGGCTTATGGTAGCTATTTCAAGCGAGCCCCACTAGCGATTAATTTAGAAATTTTTGCTCATAGAGCCATTTCTTTTTCTTCATCTAACAGCTCCATCACTGTTTAGGCTGGTTCCGCTGGCCTATAAAGGTACGATGATTCCACATTATTCAGTTCGATGTTATCGCTGGCAATAAGAGAAATCGTTCTTTTTCCCATCGCTTTAAGTCCATATATTACTGATTCCTCTATATGTTCAAAATCTTTCCTGATTATATTAGTGTAAGCTCCATCCATCGCAGAGTTTAGCAAGTAGTAAAATTTGCATCAATTCTTGTGATGATGACGAAGAATGTAACTAGTGAAGGCGACACTCTGTGGTAGTATTCCAAATGCAGGTAATATTTGAGTGAAGGTGGATGCAATCTTATGAGATTTTATTAATTAAACGCTCGATGAATCCGTAAAATGTATTTTAGAGATGAGTGGTCAAAGGCAGATAACTTCTTAATATCCTCCACTCTTATCGGCAACCATATAGCAAAATCGAGCGAAGATGCAGTTATATAGACACAGACTTTTGCTTTGACTGTGTTTCTTGACGATTCCATAAAGATTTTGCTAATCAGAAGAAGGCATTTTTAGCTTATTTGTAATTTCGTTTTTTCCTTGGCAGAGTTGATTGGAGATAGTTGAAGAGCCATAGAGATATTTGAAGAGCCAAATGGGTCGATATCACTACAAGAGTTTTTTAACCAGACAGGTTTATTCTAGTCGAGGAAGCCAAACCATTGCATCTCAACTGTTTATTCGCTATTTTCAGCTATCAGCCACCTTGCTTCCAATAATCCATTATTCATTATTTTTTTGCGCCATAATTTAACAGAATTCATGGAAAAGCATTATTATTTATCAAAGCCTACCTCTTCGAATATCACCGAATGAGCGAGATTTAACCGTTTCAGATGAATCAGTGATAACGTAACTAAAATTTCAGCATGAAGCATGAGCATGAATTTGAAAATATTAGAAGAGAATGAAAGGAAACTGAAGAATCTGTAAAATTAAGGAAATTGTAATCTAAATTACTCAATATATGAGAACTTTTTTCTTAAAAAAGAAATTTCATGATGAATCAATGTTTTCAGGTAGAAACTATTTGTCTCAAGTTATCATATTTTATCATATTTTCTAATTCTAACGATACTAAATTTAGCAAATGAATCCAAATTATTTTAAATTAAATTTTAAAAAATCTATATAAAATCGTATTTTTGAAGTTTTTATGGAGAAATATTCAGTAGAAATTTTATTAAATAAAGCGCTTAAAACAAAAGCCAAAAAATCTAAAATCTAAAAAAACTTTAGAAATTTAGATATGTAAAAAAAGGAGACTATAATTGTAAACTGTAACTGAAAAATTAAAAAATGGTGTATTTTTAGGCTTAGGTTTCGGCTTAGGCTTAGGCTTAGGCTGGATGAATTAAAGGGGGCAATACCGAATTCTGCGTGGATTTTGGTTTTCACTGTTCTGAACCGATTGTTGCTTGCTTGAATAAATGCCTTGTTTTTTTTCAAATGCTCGTGCTGTTTTGTTATATGAAGGATCTTCTGCAGTGTCGCTTATGGCTGCAATAATATTTTGTTAAAATTTAAGCTTTTTTTCGAAATTGTTATGTCAAAATGGTTAGCAAGGTTTTTCGGCCAATTTTTGAACGAATGAGCGGTATATAACTCAATCTTTAATCTTTTAATTTTAATCTTACTGGATACAATCCAAATTGATTAGCTTCATAATTCTCTTTAATATAAACTCAACTATAGTAGCCAAAAATTAGTATAAATGTAACATTCGAAACATTCCAGAAATGTGTGATAAGTAATAGATAGAAGATAGATAAATTACAGCGAATCTCGTATAGAAAAATTTTACTCTGAAATGTGCGGTGGACAGTAACCTAAAATTAAACTATTGTATTAACTTACACACTATACGCTGAGGTGGACTATCATTCTTTGCTGTAACTTCACCAAATATCTGAAAGAAATTTTTTTATTCAGTAAATATGAGTTTCGGTAAACAACCATCTAATGAACTGTATAAGGTTGTTTGGATTCAGCACCATTTATTTTATGGACACAAAATGGGCGTATATCGCATCTGCAGAAATGCGATTTCTATTACATGCATGAAACAATGAAGCATTTGCTTCCTGAGTTTAATAATTACAGTAAAAAGTGGACAAAAATAGATGAATCTTTTGCAAAAATGCATGCTGAGAAAATTGTTACTCATCAGAAAAAAATTGCCTGTGGAATAACCTTAGGGCGAGAAAGTCCGCTAACCAGCGTGAAAAATGTTTCCAACAGAACGCACACGAGAGATATGTTCATGCTGAAAATTAAATGAACGCTGGACAATAGAATCTGCGAAATAAATTTCGATGAAAGAATTAAATATGACCGGTACAGAAATTTTGTGATTGATTAGCCAGGAAACAGCATCAATAATTCATATGGATGTTGGTACCTGAAGAATATTTTGATAAATTTCAACTCTATCGTAAATTATGTTTCTGACGATTGTCAAAGGAAGCCACAAAATAAAGGTAAAGAAAAATTAAAATGAGTTGACGGCACGCACCTTCGGCCGAGGATGCTAAATTAATTTCGAGTTTCCGATTTTAGAATTCAGTTTCATAAAATTAATGTAAAATAAGCTTTAAAGCTTTTGCAGATGCCGTATAAGCAAATTTTTAATCATAAAATCATTGAAATTATAAAATCATTAAAACAATTATTTTAGGGCTCCAAATATTACAATAGTCAATTCATTCTCAAAATTTTGAAGAGCCATTGCAGTATTTCACAAGAAAAAACCGCAATATCATCAAAAAATTGCGAAAAAAAAATTAAGCTTCGCTTATTGCCAATGAGTTATAAAAAAAAATATATTTAATAATAATTAATATATTTACACACTCTATAATAACTGTATAACTAACTGTTCTAGAAATAGCTTTAATTGTTCGAGTATGCTCTTTTATAAGGAATTGGATTCAAATTGATCATGATCAATCGCTTATTGTAAATTTTTAATCACGAAATCATAGACAATTGTTTTAAGGCTCCAAATATTACAATTCATCCTCAAAATTAAAGAAATTGAATTGCGTATCTAATATTTGTTTCCATTAAAATAATGGCTTATGGTTCTACAATTTTTTCTTATAGTTAACTTTGAAAATTACCACTCAGTGGAGATTTTCAGAAAAAAAAATGAAAAATGTCGAAAAATTCTGGAATATTGCAGCAGAAATTTTACCAAAACACAAAAAGAACCGAAAATATTTAGATTCGTTTCGCAGTATAAAACGTGTATTCAACAGAAGAATATTTTTAGTAATGAAAAAAATGAAGCAAATCACTTCGGGAATTGAGAAACAAATGGAAAAAGATATGTAAAGCAATCCCGAAATCTCTTTTGATAGACGGATTTCTCCGTTGAAAAGAAGCAGTGGCGATGAAATAGAGAGAATAAATCAAGTTTTTGATGGAGATTGCGATGAAACAAGTTCGTACAATGATTTTAAAACATAATGAAAAGTGGACATTCGTTCATTCTATTCTGCGCTGTTGTCCACAATGTAAAATCTTAACAACACATTGAATTCCAAAATACAGTCAGTTCACTTAGTTAGATTAAATTAAATGAAATAAAAATATGAAATGATAATTAAATAATAATAAATACTAATTAAAGAGCGGTTTTGAAAAAAGAGCGTTTGTTTCGGAATACGTAAATAGTGAGGTTGTGAACTTGTATGATTGATATTATTTTCAGTGATTTCTACAATAGGGCGATTTTTTTAGTGTAGTGTAAAAAACAAGCCATTAGCATCGATAGTAGCTGTGCTTATCGTAAACAAAGATAGCGAATACCATTGCGTTTCGCCGTATATAATTGCTGAGAAAGATTTTCTAGGACCTAAAGTATATTCTTTAAGATGGAGGATCCATGATGCAACGATGGACCACTGCTTCAAGAGCATGAGCACTCACTTATTAGATTCAGAATTAAAAAAGAGATAGTAATTATGCCGATTGGTGTTTGCTGTGTCCGTTGTGGTTCAGATGAATGCATATAATGTTTGCGAATATATTGCAAATGTTTTCAATTTCAGTTTTTTTATTTCCTCTTCGACACATTCGATTTGTTTTTTCTTTCCAGAATGGAATGTTTTTTCTGGATTTAAGCGTAATAAAATGTCGACGATCTGCCAATTCATCATCGAACTAGTTTTGGAATTTTAATTTTATGCGCAAATCGTTGTCGCTGTCGTTTATCGTTTATTCTATTCTTTCAACCATATCTTTCGTTATGGTTATCCTTGATTGCAAATATAAATCCGAAAGAAATATTACTACGAAGGAAATACTCAATTCATTATTGGAAACAGTTTGATTGTACTTATTTATTAGGTTCATATGATTGCATTTCGTCGAATACTGGGAAAAGACTAAATCTCATCAACGAGGATTTGTGTGATTTTTGCTTTGGATGAGATTTTTTTCAAAACAAAGCATATTTAGCAATTATTCTTATAATAGGTAAAACACTTTTTTATTAAAAAACTTCATTAGAATTTTAACCCACTGCAAACAATATCAAGCAGAGTCAAGCCATATTAAGTTAAGCCATATGCTTAGTGTTAATCGACAACAAACATAAAAAAATTAGTGGCACACATGTAGTAGATGATCATTTCCAGAGGTACCGATTGATTACACTATGGTGCAACATTTAATATTAAATTTTGTCATAAGATTGAATGCAGATGGAGCAAAAATTGCATCAAGCGGTTAGAATAGGAAGTATACATGAAAGTTTTCAAAATTTTCCTTTCACACCGCTTTTAAATCGTATCAACTTGATATTCCCCAGACTAAATAGGCGCTGTTTGTAATAATGATCCGGTATTAAAGCTTAAAAGGACTCGTTTCATCGTCCTTTTTTTAATTGAAATATATGAAAATTATGAAAACCGGTAGTTAAATAAAGCCTTACAATATCCGATAAAGACCGATAAAACGTAAGATTTATAAAAAAACTTTAGCTCGAACAATCATTTCCAGTTTTTGCAAAAATTTTTTTGGTTAAATTACGACTGACCGACAAGGATTTCATATTTGAAAGTGAATATGCAAAACGAATTTGCATAGGAAGAGGAATTGCTGGTAAGTGCAAAATAAATTTAATGAGAATCTGTTGGAGATTTAAAAAAAAAATCTCTTTTCAACCACTAATTTCAATTCAAAATGATAGTATAAATGATAGGGGAAAATGGAATTTCTTATTAAATTTTTTACTATTTTAAGTGTTTTACTATTAAATGTTTTACTAATAAATTAAATTCTATTAAATTATTCTTATTAACTTTTTACTATTTTTTACTATTTTTTTCATTTCAAATTTTCATTAAATATTTCCTTTATTAAATTCTTCTAGATTTTATTAAATATATATAAATTCTACATTCAAATTTTCCCGTAAAACAAATCATATTCATACTGGTTTTTTCAAAAAATTTGCTTTTCTAAAAAATTTTTTATTAACGTTGAAATGTTTTTTGCTGCATTTCTATAATTTAAGTTTTGAAGGACCTTAAAAATTTTAGAAAAAACGTTTTTTCTGATTTAGAAAAGAGTGCATTATATAAATTAAATTAAATATCGGTTTTGAAAATATGAAAATATTATTTTATCTGAATCTGGGTTTTTAATAAATATTTATTGTCTTAAAGATGACATGTTTCGAATCAAAATTAATTAATGATTTCGGATACCATGAAATGGAACGAAGGATGAAATTTCATGATAAATTGATAAAAGCATCAGAGATATGCCAAGCGGAACGCACTGAATTTTATGGTATGCGACAAATCAAATTTATCCAGCATGGAAAATATCACCTTTGAATAACTCACAACATATAGCTCTATTGCTAGTCTGTCTGCCCCTATTGCTGTTTAGGCTTGGACGACTAGGAAATATCTGATGATTAAAGTTTTGTGCGTAATATTTACAATGATCAGTCAATGTTAACTTTATCCGTTAATTTTAAGTTAATTATCAGCATTTATCAGATTATTAGAGTCATTGAACTATCTGAACTATCTGAATTAATACACACTCGATCTATTCTCAAAGAAATTATTTTTGGCTTTTACACCAAATATGAATTCTTGGAACATATGAATTTTGAAAAATAAATTTTTAAAGCGCCAAGCAAAAGTATTGTGGATGAACTCGAAGAAGAATTGCCACCGTATATTTTACCAACCGTTCACTATGAAAAACTATTAATGAATGATCCAAAACGTATTATTTATGTGATGGAACGAATGCATATGATGACAACCACTGAAATGAAACAAGAACTAAAAAATTTGCATATAGATTTTCGGTTTGTCAATGTATTTTCCTCAAATTTTGTACATTTTTCTCTATTCGATATCAGTTTATTCATACAAAATTCATCATTTTTTTGAAAATAGAAAAACTTCTGTTATTCGAAATGCGATCCGAAATTTCTACTTTTAATTTTGAAATCAAATTTAGCGGAAAACGATCACAAGTTTACGAACGTTTGAAGAACTATTGCCTTAAAGAATATGGCGCAATAAAAAACGCTGAAGCGTCGCACGGCAAATTGTTCTATAACTACTTTGTGGTGAAATTGCTTTTTTATTCACATCGACCAAGTTTTAGTGCATAAAAAACCACAATAAGTGGAATTTTTGACAAATCTCATTGTTTTACAAATAGAAACAAATCTTTAAAAATTATGGTTTTATTAGCACGAAATGATTTTCGCTGCACCTTTCTGTTTTATCACTGAAGATAGTTTGAGAAAACTGAGGGACAGACTTTGACAGACTTAATTGGCTTTTTGCAAATTTTATTAATTTCTCCGTCGCTTTGCAAGAAGGTCCATCATTTATCATGAATATTAAAAATATTAGGTACTAAAATTTTATAGAACATTATAGAACTTTTTATAAATTTATAAATATAAATTTTATAAATAAAAATAAATTTTTTTTATAAATATAAATTTTATAGAACTTTTTGTTTTATTGCTGAGGCTTTGAACATGAATGAGATCTAAGATTATAAAATATTTTACATAGATAATCGATTTCAAGTGTACTTGTGGATGGGAAAAAATTGGTAACACAGATCATCGAATTTTCGGCGTTACTGGTGAATGCAAAGAAAAGAACGATTGTGATTTTTTTGTGACTGAAAAAATATTTTCATTCTAATTTATAAATGTTTTACAATTTATAAAACATGGATTTTAAAGAAATTTTAAAATCTGAAGCAAAATTAGTCGTTCGCCACTGGATTTCGGGATTTGCAAATAATATTCAAAAATTCTTTAATTCATCACGAATCATCCAATATTCGATTTCTTAAAAGTATTTAATCCATAAATCACCATCGTTTATTGTTGTGGCATTTCTTCATTCAGATTGACACATTTCATTCCTACGTACGTCCAACAATAAACCCTGTTTTGACTGAAATCTGCATCAAAGTCACCGGCGTAACGCAACAAATAGTTGATAATGCCTCTCCGTTTATTGACGTTTTGGATGAATTTCGTACTTGGATGCGATCCTACAAATTAGGTCGCAGAAGAACGAAATACGCATTCGTCACTGATGGGTAATATCCTTTCTTAACAGATTTAAGGCAACATTATGGTTTCAACAAGCTTCGATAAACTCGGAATTCTTAAAAAAGATAAATAAATTCAGCGGCCCAGAATTATTTTTCAGCAAAAATATTTTCAGGCCATCGAAATTTTCTCAAATTTTTCAAACTCAGTGCTTCCAGGTGAATAATTCTGCAAGCTTCTTCTTTCTTATTTTTCTTTTATTGTGTTGGCTTTGCTTACTATTAGAATGAAATCTCTCTTGCGGAAAATCACTTGAGAATAGTAACAGACTGCATCGCAGATCTTTTCAACCTCTGAATTCGTTGATTTATTTTGCAATGGATGACCAATCAAATGACCGATCAAATTCTTTTTTTACAGTTCATCTACGCGTATCAAATTATGAGAATATAAAATTTCTCATTCATCGTTGAAACCCGCTAAACAATGAAATATATGCCTTGCTTACTTTATAGAGTAATATGATTGTGCCGCACGACTTTCGTTCTTATATTAAAATTCGACAAACATTTGTGAAGCGATATCGAAGTTCGAATAAAATACAGAAACATTCGGTTCTACAATAATTAATCCGTTGCTATTACGGAAAATTCATATTTTGAAAAATTCATTTAAAGCAATTACAATAGAATTTATCAGAATTAGAACGAATGATAGAGAATGTCAAGGGCTAAAATTATTCTTTTTCAATTCCACAACAAGCTGATTTATCATTAATGTTGCAAAGACTTGGAATGGTTTATGAAGAAAGTAATAAGTGTGGCTTGGACGATTCAGTGAATGCCGCTCGCATTCTGATAAAAATGTTGATAGACCGAAGTGAACTACGAGTTGGTTCATAAAAATAACTTTTTATGAGCCTAAAAGTCTCCTTCATTTAGTATTCTTCCTGGACAATCCTTTATGGATCTTCAATGGTAGAAGCTGATAAAATGCCTCTTTTTGTAAATTCATTGCCGGGGAAGTGCCCGATTTTAAATACCTTAGGTCCACTCTAATACCAAATGGATAGGCAAAAGATATTAAAACACGGATCTAGAAATGCGTTCTTCCGGTTGATCTCTATGGAACCGTCGTGAAATCACCAAAAAAACGAAAGTTCTTACTTATATAGAAGTGTTCCGTTCGATCTTGCTATATGGCTCTGAGAAATGGCCAATGAGAATGGAGGATATTAAGAAATTATATGCCTTTGACCGCTTTTGTCCAAGGTACATATTACGGATCAGAGCGGATAAGATATCACATGATCGCATCAACCTTCCTTCAAATACCATAAATAAAATTATCACAAAGCACTGCCTTCACTGGTTAGGGCACGTTCTCCGTAGTCCACCACAAGAGTTAACACATATTTCTTTATTTGCTAATGCTAAACCGTGTGATGGTTGGCATCAAAAGCGAGGTGGGCTAATCAAGACCTGGACTGATACGGTCAAAAAAAATTTTGAGAGGTACGTACAGGTGGACCAGCAATATATGGACTTAGACGATGGAAAAAGGAATAGCTTCTATTACTGTCGACGATGGCATCAGACCGCCCGTTTGGAAGCGTCTTATCCTTGTAGCCATTGGAGCCAGCCTAACCAGTAATGGTGAAAGCTGTCAGAAGAAGGATCCCCAGTGGATCCTTAACAATACAGATAAAAATCAAAACAAAAAATATTTCGTTACATTTCTAAAAGTTTTATAAATTTCAGGTAAACGAAAAACTCGTACGTGAAACGAATCAGATTAGAAAATAAAAAAAATTTTTATATCATCAACTTTGCTTATATGTCAATTTAAATCATTGGGGATATTGAATATATTTAAATTTAATAAATTTACACCTCAATAATTCTGAGTACTGATGCTAAGGTTCCATTTCCCGCAGGAGTAAACCTGTCCAAAAATCCGGGTGATGCTGGCGACTTACCTGTATTTCTATCGCTAAAGAACTCTCTGGCATATTTGTCCAGTACGACAAGTCAGTGGAGCGAGTTTAACAAGTAATGATGGGGACCCTTAAAAAAAAATTAAATATTTAATGAATTTGCACCTAAATATGAGTTACAAAATAATTTTAGCATCGTTTGTCTCTAGTAAGAACAAAAGACCGAAAACATCCTTGAGAAACACAATTAGGATAAAGCTTTTCAATTTTTATCAAATTTATTATTAAATTTAGAATAAAATAAGTGAGAAACCAGCACTGAAAAGCATTGATATTCGAAAAATGATTCTACCTTATAAGGTGCGAACTATATTTCGAGAAAATTTCCTATGCGGTGAATATCTCGACGCGAATCGTGTGATGAAGACTAAATCTATAAAAACCATTTTCATTGGAAATAATCTTGATTATTTTACAATTTTATTTTTTTCCATTTTAACTCTTTTGTGATCTTTTCTTCAATTCAGTTGCATTTGTCAGAATTTCAAAGTTTTTTGCAAAAAATACTGTTCACTCAATATACATTTATTCACTTACAAAAATAATTAGAAATACCGAAGAAATTTTCGATGTTTTGTGTAAAATAAGACATTTGAGATTTATAAATAAATTGCAAAGAAAACCTAAAACTTTCGAGAGATTATTTACAAAAAAATATTTTTGGTAAATTTTCAATAAATTTCACCCTAATAGTAAGAAAAAAGATTAGCTTAGTGTATGAAAAACCGAATATTTCTCGTTAAACTCGTTCCGCTGAATGTTAGAAATCTTTGTTTGGAGGAGTAAATATGGCCATAGAAATACAGATAGATTGGTTGCTAGCAAAATCTGTTTTTTCATATTAATTAGTTTACCTCTCTCTTAGGTTTAGCATGGATTCCTTCCAAAATTTAGCGTGAGCCGAATCCTTGCTTCACAACATGATAATCCACGCGGTCATACTTCCCATAATTTACACCAACACAACCACATTATTTAACACATCAAACAGATTTTTATTTTTTAATTTCAAGCATTTTAAATTAGGCCAGCATCAAATGAACGGTTTCTTCATTCATGACGAGATATATTTTACATAGAACTTGAAAATTATAAAATATTATTTGAAATTATACATTACAATAACCTACAAGCCTGAAAACAAAGTGTCGCTAATAACGACCAAACTGGCAAGAAGATAATGCCGTAAGATGATTGCACCGCTACTTGACCATCTTCGAGATCCCCATTTATCTTATAACATAATAGTGCTTCAAAAATACCCATAAGAATACATCGTAACCAACTGAATGCATATCTGAAAATTTATGGCAATCTTAACCCGACGATGATTTAAAATTCAATTTGATTTAAACAATATTAATTTAGTTAGCAGCCTTTTATTAATTTAGCTGGTCAAGAAAGAGAATGGAACGTATGGTTTTCGACACAAATCGAAATAACTATACCACTCAACCATCTCCTGACGCAACTTTAAAAAAAAGTAAAAAATCTGCCCTCTCTCGATCTCTCCAATGAAAGAAAAATAAATTACTTGATAAACGGAGTTTTGCAATCGTTTTCATGAATGACTGCTCGAATAAAGACAATAAATAGAAAATAATGATTGAATGCGGTTGCGATAAAAAGTGGAGTAAAAACTTGCCAAAATGTTAGACCCAAATGAAATTCAATTTTAAAAACCTGGAATTCATATTAAAAACTATTTAAAAAAGCTGCAAAAATTAAAAAATTAAAAATTAAATTTAAAAATTGCATATAAAAATCCATATCAAGGCATATTTTTTGACTGGTTCTTTCTATTTCGCTGTTATTTTTTTCTGGAAAATTTTAGAATTTCTACATATAATGCTTTTAAGCCGGGGCAATTGCACCTGTTAAGGAAAACAGCAACTATCCCCTGGCTTTCTTCACGCGCGGTAAGATGCTGGCTGCAGCAGCGTGGAATGTCAGAATGCTTATGCGCAAACGAAACGATCACTGCCCACTTCTTACTAAATATCGTGTGGATGTCGCCTGCTCATCGGAGGTCTGTCTTCCACTTCTCCACTGGCTTGTCGCATTGGGCAATATGCCAGGGATTCCCTTGGCGATAGAAATACAGGTGAGTCTCCAGCATCAACCCGATTTTTGTACAGGTTTACTTCTGCGGGGAACCTCGGCATCTGAGCTCCAAACTGAGCAACAACCCACTGATCAATTACTAATTACTATGTCAATTACTAAACCTGGCTCCGAGCAAAGATATTGGCTATTTCATTGTGATGTCTTGGAAAACTCAAAGCGAAATGGAGTTGCGATTGTATGAAAAAGCTCACTCAGCTTTGATTGAGTGGAAGCCCATAAACGATCGTACGGCCTATACTCGCTTCAAAGGAATGTTTTTACTCGCAATTTCAGTCATCAATGTATATGCTCTATGAGTAGATGAGTAGTTTATGAGTAGATGACAAGGAGATAAAAATTCTACACGGAACTCCAACCACTATATCTCTACTGAAAAGTAATATGGTTATAGTCGTGGTAGACTGAAATGTGCGTGTAGATTACGATATGGTGAATTCGTAATTTATGGAAGAGGGATCCGGTGCACCACTGGAGAACCTTCTTTGCCTTACCGAAAAGTATGAATTTTTTCTTACTAATATATACTTATGACACCGAAGGCACCTGTCTTATGGAGTTATTCGGATAATTAACATTCCAATCAGACTGACCATATCAAGGTTCGAGCTAAGATTTGAAGCTATAAAATTGATAACTCGCAACTCACAGTTCCCTTCAAGATCTTTCAGCTATCTCAAATTAAGAGATTCGGGAACAATAAGCATATTTCAAACCAAATTATTGAAGCAAGTATGCCTGACATTTCTGGAATGGCAAATATTGATCTTAGCTAAAGGCATGTCCCCGCGAGTCACGCTAGGGTTACTAATAGGAATTGTGGTAGTTGGGTACTGGAAATAACTGCTTGCCAAAGCATGAAAGTTAGGAGATCTTAAATAGCGTATGCTTCGAAGAATTAAAGACTCCACAACCAATAAAAATCGTCATTGGGGATATAGGTTTGAAAATGGAGACGACAGGCGACAAGAGAAAACTATTTCATCTTCTTTATAAAGCAAATATGCCTGAAGGAACGGCCAATGAAATGATATGGGATAGTATACTTGTTAAGGCTATTAAGGATCGTCCTGTATTTTAAGCACCATTGTTGCACCTAAATTCAGAGATATATTAAGATGGAAGGAATTTTTCCAAACTTAACCATGATGAGTCGCCATCTGTTGTTCCTGATGCTGCTGAATAGTGATTCAGCAAGCCACACGTTTGCAACTGGAACCGCCAGCAGAACAAGAAATAATCGCTTTTATCCATAAGTTCAAGGCCAATAGAACTCCAGAATCCAGAAGATGGAAATCGAACTCTTCGATTACACACCTTCAACAAATGTACTCTCTGATGTGGAAAAAATACCAGATGACTGCAGCAAAGCGCTTCTGCTCCCAAGAAGAAAAAAAAGACAAGACATTTGACAGCTGTGACAATTACCGAAGAATTATAGCCAACCAGATATCTCCCGGAAAGTTTTCCGCTTTTATTTTGGTGGCCACTGATAAATGATAAGATAAATAAACAAATGAAGCAAAATAAGAATGAAAAGCGTACGCACCAGCAATACACTAAAAATAAGGATTCCGACTGAATGCAACCAAATTTCAAAAATTGTTAAATTCGTCCATCGAATTAATTCGCCAACTGTTAACATATAACGAATGCTGAAAATACGAAGAACTATTTCAAAATTAAGCCTAAGCCGAAATAACTAATGAGTCAACAAGCGAAAAACTATTAAATCAGACATTCAAACGAGTCAATTGCTCGCGTGAGCAATTTTCATTGCAAATAAGCGCGATTTAATCGGAGTGAAAAAAGAGTTTTCTGTCGAAGGTTCTCTCTTAGCCGATATGCGCGATCTCGAAATTTTGGCAATTTAATCTTTTAATAAGCCCTTGCTTAAACCTTAGTTAAACAGGTGTTGAAAGATTACAAGTTCCACGCCTAGAACTACAATACTCATGATTTTCGACTAAATAAATGTGAGTCCGCGGCTGCTGAATAGAATCTGCAAATTCGTTGCGCGTTGAGCGAATTCAAAGAAGAATTAATCTCTAAGTTAAAGATTTGGGGCGCGGGACGGCAGTTTGGGGGATTTATTTACACTTGTGGCCCTAGGCTCAGGTTTATTCCTAGCAGCCAGGGGCCTAGTAATCTGGGGCTTAGGCTTAGGCTTAGGCTTTTCCAGTCATTAATGTTAATGAATACTGGTCACGAACATTCACGGACATTTTTTGCGGATAATTTTGTTTCAATTCGATTTTGCAACATTTCAATGTGTTCTGAAATATTTGGCAAAAAAGTAAAGCAAAACTTTGCGATAGTTAAGCGGTAATGTGGTGGCGTTTTCCAAAGTTTTTGAGCTGATCCAAAGTCTTCAGCGTGGTTACCTGGCAGAGAATCCGTTGTTTTGGCCTGGTCGCGTTTGTTCCCCACAAACCCTACCAAATGCCCGCACACGTGGCGAGTATTTCGTTATTTTTATTGCATATTTATTGATATGAAAAACAGTAAAGATAATGCAAATAAAGCACAATAAACAGTGAAGAGAATTTTTGATTTTAATTCAAATTAAGAGAAACAATCTCAGAAAATTTTGTTAACGATTTAACTCAACAAAAAACAGAATTTCGAAGTCATTAAAAATTCGAGAATAAAAATGCGGCATTTTAAATTTGGCCTATGATTTCTGGCACATTCGGTTTGGGCCAAGCAGAGGAATGGGGATGGTGATAGGTCGGCAGCACCACCCGGAAGCAGAAGAAAATTCGCCAGAAAAAAGGCGAAAAATCGCTGAATGGGATAAATAATTAATAAAAAAATGTTTATAACGAAATGAAGGAAAAGTTATTTTTGAAAAATCAATTCTTTCTTTAGTAAATTTGCTTGAACACAGATTTGCTGTAAGTCCCATAGATTGACAGAAAAGTTTTTGAAATGATTCTGAAGTGGTGGGCATTATAAGCGACCAGCACGGTGTTTTATTAGATTTGCGCATTGAATAATGCATGAAACATCCTGCAACTGTTTTTATGAGGCTATTTTTATGGGGTTAAAAAAGTAATCGAGTAATTAAATCACCTTAAAATAGATTACACAAAAATCATAGATTGGATTTAAACTAATTTTAATGGCTTGAAATTACTAAATTCTGCCACTGATAACGATGTTTAACACTTTCGCAACTTAAAAGCCAAAGTTTTGCCTAAGCGATAGGTGAAGATTTTCACATTTAATAATCTTATTTTTCTTGATTTTTTTTACATCCTCTTCCACTTTAATTTGCATTAAACAATAAGCCTTTTATTAAGTATGATTTTATAAATTCAAGTGCTTGGCTATATGGCTATATGCTTGATCATTTTTTAAGTAGATCAGAACCTGAACTATATCGACGAACAAGTAAAGTTCCAATAGCTGTTCGCAGTTGCCAATGATGACTGGTTGACAACGAGTCTGAAAAGAAAAAGTTGGTTTTTTTTATTAAGAAAAGCGGTTCTTAATTAGGAAACGTCAAGTAACTGAAGATTTCTTGGATATTAGTCGCTAAACGAGAATGAAATTTATCATGTCGAGCTTGTAAAGAAGAGCCTTCCTTTTAGAAATAACTTAGTGCTTAGGTTATTTGTAAATTTGGGTCAATTGTAAATTTATTTTCCTGCTTACGCCTTGAGAAGTGCAAATACACGATTGACATGGAGATAATCGTTTCGACTGACTGCGAGGTATTTCTTCATTGCCTATACGGCAAGTTGCTAAAAAAATTTTTTATATTCTGCATGACCTAAATAATAAATTTCGCCCTGATTGTGGTATTCATTTTTTCTCAACAATTTGGAAAAGTGGTTCGAGAACCGCTGTTGTATCTCAGCCAGAATAATGAACCATGAATTTCGGTGCAGGAGTTTTAATTTGAAAGACCTACAGGTAATTATTATTAGGTAATTATTCGATCGACTTTCCTGAGATAACAAAAGAAAAAGAATTGACCTTTGTCTGACCATTTTTTTAGATCAATGCTTGGAAAAAGATGACATGGCATTGGTGAGTTCCTAAAATATAATTAAGCTCATCAGTTATAAGCTGGGTTATTTGAATCTGAATGATTCGAAAATGCAAATTCTCACAAAAATTCGTCGGGCAAAACGAAAACGTCTGGTTGAATTTTGGCCAACAAACTATTCGCGCAAAGAACTGCACCGAGGCTTATTTTACGGATTTCATCTAATTGGTCTAAAAATTCCACTAATTTTTAACAGTAATATAGATGAAAAAAATCAAAGCATTTTCCCTTACACTATTTTTTTATTGATTTATTCACTTCAATTTAAGTTAAATAAATTTGCATGCATTTTATTCTAAAATTACGGAATCGTGGATATTCACTTGGCTTGAAACGAGTTTCAGTGAGATCATTTTCGTAAAAGAAGCGATCACAGCGTTTCGTCCGTCTGAACTGTTCTGCTACGATGCAAGCCATTGTAGGTGGCATCAACGCACCTGACAAACGACGCTTCATTATGGCGATACGGTCATTTTAATATTGCAAATGCGATGTTAAATGCAAAAGTTCAATCGCACATAGTGGGCATCGGGCAAATTATAAAATATCTATGCAGACAGACCAGACTGAAGTGAAAGTAACACTCAGAACAATAAAAAACAAAAGCCTTTAATAGGTCTTTCAGATAATAATCCTGGAAAAATGTCAATATCGTCCACATTGTTATAGACACTTTGTAAACTTGAAATGGTTGAATCATCCATTTCCACCGAAAGATCAGCAAAACTTTTGGCCCGTGGCAAACCGCAGAACTCTCTGAAATATAATTTTAATCATTGAAAGATGGTTAAAAAATTTGCAAAAAAGGAAGAAGGGTAAATTACCGAAAAGCATTGTATGGTTGTACACCATGATCGCGAGCACGGAGAATATTTATTGTGATCAGATCCATTCCACTAAGCGGCTCATCCCTTCGAGCAAATAAATAATTTCTTAGTGCAGTTGTAATATAACGATCAAATGCCATACTTGGTTCTCCTAGCAGTCCCATTAAAATGCTATCAATGCCACCTGAAATTTAAGCATCTATTTAAATGAAGCCCATTTGCTTGTTTGTCCCACATATGGACTATGGCCATATTTTCGAAAATCTCCAGAATTCGATCAAATTAAAGTGCTAGAATTCGATCTTATAAAGTCGAATTTAAAAAAAGAAAGAAAAAAAGTCAAGTTAACAAATATAAAAAAATTTTTCTTACCTCTTCGTTCATCGTAAATGGCTTCGACATTATTGAAATTATCCACAAGATCGATTGGATTTGTCCAATTTCTATAATGCTTATCAAAGCGAGAAAAAAATCGCCGTACAAGTGTATGTCCAAAACGAAATGCAGCTGTTGCAAAGGGGTGTGAAATTGATGCATCACATGTTGGATCATATCATAAAAGTCGAATTATCAATTATCCCGTTCTATTATCAATGGTTGTAACTAATCAACCACTATAGTTATATTTTTTATTACGTAAGCTGTAAGTAAAAGAGGTTAAATGGTCATAAAGAAGAGTACTTATTACCAACATAAAAATATTAACCAGTATAATACCCATCCGATTGAGGAAATAGATCATATTTGCTCATGAGATCATTACCAATTAATTTCGGCAAATATTCTTTATAAACAATGTGCGCAAATTCAGCTCCAACTATTCTCCTCGTTTCCTATCAAAAATAGGGTATTCATTGCTAGCAATATAAAATTTCTTTTGAATTTTTAAATTTTTAGTGGTTAGACAGACAAACCAGGAAAATTTTCTGGTCATTCCAAGAAGGATTTAAATCCTCGAGAATGGTTGCAATGCGATTGTGTTCTCGAAGAAATATATTATGCAGTGTTGTTAAACCAGGTTGATGGTTATTTCGTTCGTCGCCAGCAACGAAACATGGATAATCAGGCGTAGAGCGGCAATCTTGTTCCTGATCACCCTGAGGCAGCGTTTCTCTAAATCCAAATATTCATATTAATATTCATTTCGAGTCATCATTCCTGCCTTGAAGTCACTTGATAGCAGAAGTATAAGTGGGACAAAGAGGGACATAGTACCACTCGTAGTAAGGAATTTAGGAAAAAAGAATTTGTAAATGATTAATCTCGTTAGCAATGAATCTGAAAATTGAAAAATGGACAGATAAAAGCCAAATGTTATACGAACTCGGTTTTATATTCTTCATGAAGATTCTACTCGCGAAATAAAATTGCAATGAATCGAAGAAAAAAATTTCAAAAAAAATGTGTGAAAAAAGGAATTGTTGCTTCTTTTTTGGAATAGTATAATAAAAAGTATATTATAATTTCAATTTTAATGGCGAAATTTAATTCGGTATTATCCATTATGCATTCAGAGAAACTGATATGTCTATTGATCGCATAGGAAAAAACGAACGGATTTGCCCCTCCAAGGCTAGTGAAATTCAGTCGGCCACCAACGAACGTTCGCAAAGCAGCTGATTCGCATTCAGTTGAACCATATATGACTGATCCATCCAAGTAAGCAGTTAACTTAGAGAAATTTATTATTAAAATGCAGATTATCTGATATTTGTAGTGGAATGATTGTTTTCTTGAATCGATAAGAATTGCAAAAACGAAATTTTAACCTGATTCAGTTGATTTCTATAACCTAATGTCAACTGGCCCAAAAGCGATCTAGCAAATGGTAAACAACGACGTTCGCCATTTTCATCATACGTTGGAAAATGAGGATCACCTTCAGGAATTGGCGATGGCATACAATCGATCGATATCGTTTCGTGAGAATCACACCGTGTACAGTTTAATGGCTGGTTATCAGGTCCTTAAAAACTATTTTATACTAAGACTGGTGATTTCTTATAGTACCTGTGGTCATATGCAATTGTTAAAAACAACAATTTAATGGTTAAGAAAAACGCTTTTGAAAAATATTGTATTATCGAGTTATTATAATTTCAGCCGAATTTTTAATATTATCATAAAAATGGTTACCAGGAGTAATAGGTGAATGAGTTAATTCGTGGTCAAGAATCTGACCGAATTGCATGATCATATGGGTATATTTGGAATGGTCGATTGGCAAATCAAAATGAATGGTATTCGATATAACTCTAGGAGAAGGAAGCGGGACGCCTGTAACCGATAATGAGCGAGGAACATCTATCCCTAAAAATGAATTGATTAATAAAATATAATAATATAGAAAAACGACAGAACAATGGGTTGTTGCTCGACTGGGAGTGCCGATGCTGAAGTTCTATTCCCCGCAGGAGTAAACATGTCCGCCAAGGGACTATTTGACCACCCAAAGGCAGTTTAACCAGTAATGGTGAGAACTCTCAAAAAAAAGCGACTCTCTAATCAGTTGAATACAAGCAATTTTCGCTCTAAAAATTTCTTCCATGCATTGTTGTGTAAGCAAATTACCCGCTGAAAAAAAAAGCTATAAAGGCAGACGTAATATTTCGGATGAAATATTAAATACTACTATGCCTAATCATCTTAAAAACAGACATCAACAAAATTACATATGCTACCGTCTTCATAAGCAGGTGGAAGCAAGTGCAAAAGTGGTACAAATGCATTTCCGTATTGTGGATTTCTGAGGTTATTACACCATCCCGATATCGTACGGTATGGTGTGGTATGGTCGCATGGCAAATTCTTAGGCAAACATTTCTCAACAGTTCCACCAGGACCCAAAAGAACTGTGAAATTACCAGTAAATCTGGAAAAGCTGAATTTAATTAACCATTAAATACTAACATTCAAATTAAGAACTAATTATATAATTAGTTCGAATATCAAAAAAAGAACACATCATTTTTATTGATATAAAGGAACATGCCATTTAAATTTATATCCGGAAATTACAAACCAGTGGCAAATATCTCAGTTATGGAGAGAAACCTGCAGCTGAAGAATAAAAAAACTAACGAACTAAGGTCGACCTGTGGTAACATATTTTGCAAGGTTACCATATCCCCATCCATAAGCAATTTTTGTCCAGTATCTAAGTCTTTCCTAAATTCATTTATTTAGCGATAACTAATTTAATTTTTGTCCAAATGAATTTCTTCGTTTATTTCACAATTCGCCATAGTAATACATCTTTGCCTCTATGGTTTTTGCGCCGATTTTCGTCTGCTCTAAGATTATGCGGAATGTAACAGTTGAAGCAACTTACCCTAACATTAATATTCTCGTTGTTTCAAGCAATACAGAAGAAATTTTAGCGATTTCAACAGCTTCACTTTTGGCTCGCATCATTTTGCCGTATGATAGAAGCGGATCGCCAGGTTTAAATTCGGTTTGATCTAAAATATTAAAGTATCAAAGTAGATGAGAAAATTCCATCAAATTAACAGCTGTTGATTGTCATCGAATCGAATTTATTTAGAACATTTGCAGATTAATTTTTCATTAAAAGTTTTTGAATAATGAACAATTGAAATGATCTATTCAAGTAAGTCAAATAAGTCATATGAAGTAACGCTACAAATTCAAATAAATTTTCATATTATTCATACATTTCCTAATTTTGCGCTTTTCCTTCATCAAACGGTTTTCCGCTCGTTTTTTGCCCAAAAGAATTGCTTTATTAACGACCATTAACGGCATATGCATTTGAGGTGTATTATCTTTCCATTTCAGCAGGTTTGGCCGGACGATAATTGAGTTATTACATTCGATAAGAAAATTGCTTAAAATAATGTGTTCACATAAAAAAGAGTGGAATGCGAGATTATCACATGGTGTTAGGGACCTATTAGTACTTTTATTGCCTAGTGACTCTACGGCGAAAGCACTGTTTTAGCATAATAGCCAATCGAACCAGCCAAATCAGTAATACTACCAGAAGAACAATTTTCTATAAAATGCAAAACTCATTTACTGTCGTAAGTTTACCTGATTGAAAGATTTTTATAGCACTTCTAAGGCGCAAGAAATTCTCCTTAGTATATAAAAAAGTAGTGCGATAAAGCATCAACGAACTTATAATCATCCACCAATGCAAAGACACTAGGTTGAATTTTTTTTATATGCCCAACATTGTCACAGATGATCTGTGCAATCGTCGTTTTTTTTATTTCGACAAGTTGTTCATAAGAAAAAGCAGATGGAAATAGATTATTTTCGTACCAGAATTTATCTCCATTCTTTGTCTGCAACCAAAATATAAGGAAAACAATCTTAGAATGTTTGATTGCAGAAAAAATGAGGAAAAACTTTGAGGCGACATTAGTTAGGAAGTTAGCAGTTAAAGTACACTGAATTGCATTTAATTAAATTATACAAATAATGCAAAATGAAAAAATATTTATGAATGGAACTTGCCTTCTGAAATTGTAGAGCTATGATACAAGCAAATGTAGGCCCAACTATAGCTCCAGGGACAATCTTCTCTGCCAATCCGAGAACAAACAGATCAACATCTTCTACATTTTCATATATGTCTGCGATTAAATCGATGGTTTTCTCACCACCAACAACATTTTCAATCAGATCATCAAAAGAAGTGATCTTAAACTAAGCAGTTTTAAATAACACTTAGGAAATTTTTAAATTCTATTATACAATTAAATTTATATTATGATTACAAGAATTTTAATTAGCGTTAACTGGGCTAATCAAGATTATTCAAAATTCAGCTCATAAAAAGGAAAAGAAATTTGAAAACTGAAGATATAAATAAGAAAGAACCTTTCATATAGTGTTTTTGGGATTTATAAAAGCAAACTGACCTTTTCTCCACTGCAATACTCTCTCCATACTGTATACGGTGGAATTCCGTGGTCTCTTCCTACTTGTATTATATGAGAAGCTACATTCAGACTGAGCCTACTATTTCTAGCTTTGAAAAGATCACGGCGAAATTCTTTTATTATGTGCAATCCAGGAAGATGAATCGGTTTGCGTAGGATATCTCTCAAAAAAAATGAAATTGGTAATAAATTACCACTAAAATGTCGATTGTAAATTCTGCAATTCTTGCCATTTCAATATAGTATCCTATAGAATTCTAAGAAAATGAAAGAAAGCCATAAAAAGCAAATAGTTGCGGGAGGAAAAAAATTAGCCACATTTATATTTAGTATATATTTATATTTAGCAGCTATATTTAGGGCAGCCGTTATTTGGATACCGGATTATAGTTAAACATAAAAATCGTCGAGCAGAAATAGACTTCTCACTAAAAATCCGAGTTGTGCTGGAGATCAAGCCGTGATTCTATCCTCGAAGGCGCCAAAAAATCTCCCACTGTATTAACAGCCAGTGAAGCGAATGATGAATTTAATGGGAAATAATAAGTTACTTAGCCATTTTGCATCATACTTGGAAAGTATTTTTTCAAAATTTTTTTTTAAAAGTACTAAAACGATTTGAACTTACTTGATAATTTTAACATAGTTTTTGATATGAAAGTTTTCATGATTAATAAATTTAAGATCTTTGGCGTCACTATAAATTCCTTTATTTCCATAATGATCAAATTGCAAATCAAGAATTGTATAGAAAAACTGCAAGGATGCAAGGATGATAGCCGTAGAAATAAAAACTTTTTTCATTATAGCATTATCAATGATTTTTAATAAAAAGAATTTTTCTCAACCAAATTTTAATATATATATATATATGTATATGCATATACAATACAAGAACAGGACTAAGTGCCAGATCTATTGAAGGTGAGATCGACTACACTAGACAAGACTCAACAGATTATACAAAATTGAATCAGTCTAACACGTGGCGGTATGCAAAATACAGGAAAGAAAAAGAGCAACTTGTAAAGAGAGGCATAACCAAGTATCAAGCATCATCCACAGAAATACCTATTCAGTAAAGGGCTTACACCCCTCTTGACATTAAACATGAGATTCCCCAGAGAATTATGGAAAATAATGATGGGAAGATCCTGTCCTGTTGGACTTCTTCATCCAGATAGATAAATAAGTGTTGGCCAATCAGCAGACATCGTGGTGGACATGAATCAGAAATCAGCACTGGTGATAGACGTATAATATTAGGTGAGAGAAATAAATATAAATTAGAAAAATACAAGGGACTGGAACTAAAGAAGAGAACTAGATATTGAAAATGAAGACCGAATTGGTCCCAGTGGTGATAGTTTTTTTTTTAAAATATATATATAAATATAAATATATGTTTAAGGTATGAATATATTTTTTATAATATCTATATATATCAATTTAAATTGATTAAGGTAATTTTTCAAAAATGCTCCATAAATTTAAAAATGATTTAAATTTTATCGTTATAAACTTATTAAATATTTTATCTTGTTTGATCCAGCCTCATTTTACTCTAATCTCCTTGCCTTTAGTCAATTCTTTTCAAATTATAAGCAAAGATTTCAAACGAACTTGTCCTACAACGGCTGCGTAAGTGTTGATAACAGTTGCATCAATATTAAGGTTATAACTGTTACTGAAACCATAAGATTCCGAATCGAGGCCAAATTTCTTCCAAATCTCTCTTCCAATAAGCAGTGGCAAAAATTCGTTGTAAGTAACATGCTGAAGTTGTGCAACAACGATTCGCCGGCTTTCCTCATAGAGTTGCTCATCTGTCCACTTTGAATTTATGACCTAGAAATGCATCAGTTTTAACCTATTTCTTCCCTGTTGTAGATTAACCATATGAAGCAAATAAGATGAGATAAATTGTTATTTTTAGATGAAACGGGCCTCTATTTATTGTTGAACAAATGGAGTTCAAAAAAAAGACGAAATTGACAAAACGAATTATTACAGTAAACGAATTATCGTGGTCACCACAGTCAAAAAAGAAATAAATGAAAAATTAGGAAAAAAGGATTAAAAATTGATAAGAAGTGCAGCCATCTTTGTTAAGCGAAAAGTACCAATATTTTTGTAGGAAAAAATAAAAAATTGTGCTAATCGATTTGAGATAATCTAACCACCCATTAAAAAATCACCCATATACAAGGAACACAAAATAAAAAAATACCGCAAGCTGGTGAGCAATACTATTATGTTGTCGTATCCAAAGCATATGCAGAGCTGCTGCAGAAGGTAGGAAATTGAAATCGATGCCATCCATGCCGCTGCATGAATTCCGCTTTTGAGCAATGCATTCAATGAATGAATACATGGAAGAACCGATGTTGCCTTCTTCAGATAAGTTGTTATTGAATGATTCGAAATTCGTTAGCAATTTACCTTCAAAAATTTTTTAGATATATTACATCAATTCAATTATGAAATCATGAAATCGATTCCATTAGACCTGTCATTAAAAAATAGATTCGAACAATGCTTGGAGCTTGGTCGGCACTTTTATCTGTAGCTGGATAGCCGGAGGGCTTCCTGGCTATCAAGCTAGTCAAACAATGAATCATTAGTGGAAAAGGAGAAGAATGTTGGATTATTCAACTTGATTCTACCATGTGTATTTATATTTAACTAAAATATAGGAATTTGAATCCACATTTCATGGACTGAAACAGGTGAAAATTTGAGCTTAGTGATTGTTCGGATTCTTTGAAGCAAACATCAAAAACGTAGAATTTAAAAATTCACCAGCTTTAAAGGTGCGCAAAGCTTTTGCGCTATGTATTGTGTTGCCATAGAAAACACTTCCATCAAGATAACTAGTTGCTTGATTGGCTTGTTCCCGAGGTCCAAGGCGACAATATGGATGTGGAGCAGGTGCAGTTCTAGAATAAGATATGCAATCTAATGTGGGAATATAAGGACCATCTACTGGCACTGATATTGGAAGGCATTCTGGATTTGGATTCGATGAACAACATTGCAATGGAATCAGTTTTCCATCTAAAATCATATTTCTTGAAACTGAATGAGCGTTTATGAAGAATTTTTATCAGAAAGTGGTCCTTCCAAGAAAATGTTTTATTTTATTTCTGAATTATTTTCACAGTTTTTTACAGAACTTCTCTATTTAATAAGGAGCGATTATTCTTCATTTTTTTTTCTTTTTTTTATCAGTAATAATAATATTATAATTCTTCATTATTCTTCTATCTATAAAATTTCATGGCCTCCACGATTATAAAATTTGCTTGTTTCTTCTTTCGATGGGATCAAGCCTACGAAAAAGCTAAAGTCTGGGTCTGATATGAAACCACTTGTATTTATATTCTCAAATGACTTCGTTGATACAGTGTCCTCAGACTCATGGCCTAGTGGTGCATTCGATAAGTGTGCAAATCGGATTTGGTTAAATTATTTTTAGGTTTGAAAATGACTGAGCTCTCCTAACCAAGACAACTGTTCTGTTAATGGGACCGAAAAACATCCACGATAGGGTTATTGCTATAGCAACTTGGAATATAAGAACGCTTATTGGTATCAGACGATCATTGTCCATACTTTGTACTAATATTGTATGATATCGCCTGTTCATCAGAAGTTCACCTTCTTTATTTTGTACTTTGGCTCGGGATTGGGACATAAATAATAGCTGGGATGAAATAGGCATAATGATTATCATATCTGATTATCTGCTATAAAAGATTGAAAGTTGGTTAATAATCGCATAGCATATTGTGTAGATGACGATAACGAAGATAGATTCTATGCATCCAACTCCATCAGCCAATAGCACCTTTCCCGAACGGTGACATAGCCATAACCGCAAGAGGTTGGAATGCGCGCTTAGGTCAGTCACGATATGCCTCAACATGTAATTGACAAATATGGCGTTGGAACCCATAGGGCCAGTAGAAAATGCTTTTTTTCTTAATTTTGTATGAACTCTTTGCGATATATGCTCCCATCGAAGAAGATATCTTGTCACATGCACATGGAACTCCTCAGATTCCATTCAGATTTTACATTCTCGTCAATCGCCGTTGAAAAAGCTTCATATGTAAAGTTATGTAGATAGTCGTTCCTACTGCGACTACTGGAATTATAGCGCCAAGTACTGAGATAGTCGAGGAGGTAATAAAAGAGAACTATTCTATCTTCTTCATAAACCAATCATAACTAAGAAATATCTTCAGTGAAATGATACAGGATAATAAATTTATGGCTATCAAAAATCATGCTGTACAATGGAGGAAATTATTTGAGGCCAAATATAACTGCCATGCTGCATTTGTCATTTTCGATAAAATTCTCGCCGAATGGCTGAATGGCAGCGAAAAAAGCTGCAAATATGAGCAGGTCATCCTCATCGCACCTGCTATTCCCAGTGAAAGAATTAATGAAATAAGGGAGAAAAGAGTTGGAGAAGATATTAGAAAATATCCCGTAATAATAATAGAGAACCTCATAAGTGAGAGGTACAATGTAGCTTTTATTATGATAGAATTAAAAACCATAAATCTTCCTGACCATCTCAAATAAAATATAAGCTCCTAAAAGATCATTTTTGGGCATTTTAAGCTTCTATTAGGGAAAGGAGTGGAGTGCGACGGGCGAACTGGGCATTTATATTTTTATGGCTGGTTTTTACTTAGTTTCGCTTTGCTTTCTTTATATATATTTGCGACGTCACTAATAAAGGTTTAATTACCTAAGTTTGAGGGTTCGCAACGAGGTAAATAAGAAGAGAACGCTGGCCGCAGAGTTTATAATATTGTTGAGAAATAAAAATCCAGCGTGGCAAGAAGTTTATTGAATCAGAAAAATACAGTGGAGCGGACTCACGAAGAAATTTTGTAAAGGTAGATATTGGAAGTGGAATCGCTGTGCTCCTAACGAAAATTCTTATTGTTAAAATTTTTTCTGTACAAAAACTGAAACGCGCACCAAGTTATATGCTTGCAATCGCAAGCTTCCAACAGAATAAAAAATAATCCTCGTGATGCAAATTTAATAAATGAAAAAAAATCCACTTCACTTGCACTTTTTCACTCATGTTATCACTATCACTAGGTGCAATTTTATTTTATGAACTCCTATAGAATCAACGATAATCTTAAAAGCATTAATCTAATTAATGAAACTACCTCGATTCAGCTGAACACTTGCGAGATGTACCATATCAGTATATATGAGGTGTGCCCAACGAGGAATCAGCATATTCAGCTTTAAAGGCTTAGCTTGAGATTCGAGAAAAACTGAGCTTGCAATTAGGATAGGATTAGGCAATGCCATCCTTCTTAATGACAATCGAATTTCACTGATATCTAAAATTCTTCAGTTGAATTCAGCACGGCGTTTAAATATGCATTATGAATAGATTGCCGTGGTGAAATCTTAAAGTTCTTCGATGCGAAATAGAAGATCGAATTCTATAAACTACATTATAAATTTGAAAAAAAAACTTTTTGGAAATAATCACTTATAATTCTCAAAATATTTTACCATCGCCATAATAGGGTCGAATGATCCTTTGCATGGCGACATAATTCGCACCCCACTCGCCTGATATTATATTATTGCAGGTCCCATCAAATGATCGAAATTTACTCGATTTGCACTGAATCGCTCTCAGTGGACAAAATCGGTTCATTTCATTCGTGACTGGTACATCGGTAGGAAAACCATTGCTAATCAAATAACATTAATAAGATCTTTTTCATAAATTTGTTTATAGATAAAATTAAGTATTTGACTCCGTCCTCCGAGTTGTTATCCTATCGCCTGAATACACTGTATGGACGAAAATTTGAAGGTTCATATTTCATTTCCTACCCTTGGTAAGTATAAAAAATATGCCTTTCACCCTAAATGCGTTTCATCCTGATAGGCAATAGAGCGAGTTTAATCAGAAATGGTGAACGCCGACCCTTTGCGATTGAGGAATTAATAAAGAGATCTTCGTTATCAATGAATTCGGATTGAAGTTAAACGGCAAAAAAATCCTACTTTTTGAGTTCTTTGGTGGCCAATAACGAAATTAAAGCGGCTTTCGGATATTCTTGATCAATTGAATTGTATTTTGCGTGAATTTTCCGTAAGGATGGCATATCGTCGATTGAATTCAGATGCTCATTTTCATCGTAGCCTACGCAATTCAAAATATCACTTTAAACTCTTCCCTAATATGCGCTAAAAAGCAGCAAAATAAAATTTACTGCAAGAGGCAAGAGATTGTAAGAGATTTGCGTTACGCTCATTGCTGACGTGTTAAACCTGTTATTAAAAGTAGAGTTCGGATATTGCAGTTCTTTTCCCAGTTGGTCCTCTTTGGCGAATTGGCGAATATCGCATTTCAATAGTCAAAAAAGCCAATAAAACAAAAAGCAATGAATTTTTTTAGGATGAAAAATGAAAATTATTATATAATTAGCAGCCTAAGATATCTGAGTATCCAATTTCTAAAAAAACCCACTTTTGAAACCAACATCGAAACTGTAAAAATAAACAACTTAATGGCTTTTTACCTTGGAATAGTGCGTCAATCAAGGTTTTTGCTTCTGTGATTGCTTTAAGGAGTGCATCCTTAACCAAAGCTGATGATTCGGTGCCAGATTTTGGTATTATAATAAGTCCACTATTCACTAAATATTCACTAAATATTATATAACATTATATTTATTATATTATATATTATAAATATTATAAATATAATATAAAAAATATTTTATGTTAACGGATTGCAAAACATGAAAATCCTATTAAATTTTCGCTTTTAATGGATATAAAAACGATAGCTACCTTCACGTTTAAAAGCAATGCTCGATCTTTTAAAATAACAACTTGAATCATCACAAATTCGAAAGCATAACAAAAAGTTGAACCACAAAATTATCAGTAAATATAAAATATAGTTTACGCACATTCTGAAATAATCAACAGAAATTATTTAATCACATTCCACATATGTTAAGGAAGTGTTAGGTGCTAAATACGTTAGATCCACTCTTATACCAAATGGTCAAGCGAAAGAGAGCAATGCAATTTCGAAAACTAAAAGCGCCCTTTTTCAACCGGCGAGATCGCTATAGAAACATGCATCACTGTCGAAACATCTATTTGGTTGCAATGTGTACCATATTTTGTTATATATTTTTATCTTTTATCAGAGGAACTATTCAGATATTCAATGTAAATTGTTATTACCTGGATGTTAATTGTTAATTTGAAATAATTGATTTAAAAACTTTCAATTTTTTCCAAAATAAAATTTGCGAAAAAAAGGAATGACGAAGCCTTAAAAAAAAAAATTGGAACGTTTGTTTTAAGTTTGCCATTACTGTTGGACGAAGGTAACGAGATGCCACCTAAGAAAAATCGTTCCTTCAACTATACGGCTGTAAGTAGCAAAAGTGTTACATGTCGATTACCTTTATTCTTCCATTTATTGCAAGCACAATTTTTTGATGAGAATATTCTTAAATTTATGGATTTGGATTTAAGCTATTAAAAATGAGAAAAATTAAAAATTGACCAAAGCTTAAAAATTTGAAGCATTATCTTATAAGAAACTAAAATTCAGAAATCTTTAAATGATACTGGCATTGAAAATCATTTTCGCGCAAGGCAACTCAAATTATTAATGTAATATTAATCGACAATAAAGATTATATAATGTTTTTTCTGATAAACCAGATTCCATGCGTAAAATGCTTGTTTAATGGTTTCTATTCGTTCTGGAATTTTTTGTTTAATTACCACATTGGAATCTATGCAAATCTTGTTTCTTTGGAATGTTCAAGCCGTCATGCTGCGAATTAGTTATTACGCTGAAGGAGCTTTTTTCCTTTGGTCTTCATGATTTTCATATCTCCTAACAGTACTAGAAATTGTTCTTTCATAATCGTCTAAGTACCAGTAGTAATAGTGGTATTTTTTTTCCAATTTCTTCTTCAGACATTAAGAAAAAATGAAGTGATTTGATGAATTTGGTAAAAGAATTAATAACAGCTTAACAGCTGTTTATTAATCCAATAATATTCGTGATTAAATCAAAGAGATTTTTAAATGAAAAATAGATTTTTTTTATCAGTTTATTTTTGTTAAGAAAATTACTGAGAAAGAGCGGCTTAGCAAAAAGATTTTCTTTCCTTGAAGTAATCAGAGGATATAAATATGGATATAAAATATAAAAGAAATATATAAAGAATATAAAAAATATTATCAAGAGAGCATAAGGAATATGAAAAATGTGGTAGTCACTTAAAGCTTATTGACAATGTTCGCCAAACTTAAAATCTATATGCCGATTAACTTTAGACATGGCTTAACTGGCGGTTTATATTTTTTATCCATTGAGGCTTGTTTGCACTTTTAATGAACAGTTTTTTGCTTAGAAACAAAAATCATTCATGGAATTTTTTATCTTACGAGATCACGCTGTTGAAAACACGGTTTATAATACTTATTGGTTCATTTTTTTTTTGGTTCATTGGTTCATTTGCTGGAAGAAATTCGATAAAAATCCTTTCTTCATCAGGTTTTTATAGGAATCATCGCATAAATATCTCCAATGGTCTCATTTTGTAATACATTAAAGAATTGAAGTGAATTTGCCTCAAAGAAAGCAAATTTATATGTTCTATTATATATCTGTTGTTACTGATAAAATTATTTGCGATAAAATTAATTTCTGCATTTTCCATAGTTTAATTTTTAATTGTTTATTATTTAAAAATGGAATATTTAAAATAGAATGAATAAAAACGAAAATTAGGAAGACTTTAAGGCCATATTTGAATAAAAGCTCGCCTCAGGAGAAGCCCATGAACATTGACATGAAACACTGACGATACCCCTACACTTCAAAATTTGGCAAACAATCCAAAAATCCATACGAAATCTTTTTAAAAAATTGGCTCGTAAATAGTAACAAAGAAATGTGATTATTACAAATTTTTATTAAAGCACCATTGAATATCCTTCTTTCCAAGCAATCAGCTTTATTCTTTAATTCATCGTTCATCGAAGCTCTTTTATGCGAGCACCGCAAAGGCTACTCGCGGAATAAAGGCAGTGGAATAAATAGAACACCATGGCGAAAAGAATTGGAAAGAATTGTTTGAATGAATGGACTGATAATAATTAAGAAAAGTTGGGCAAAATTTTTGAAAAAATTATTTTAACATTCTTTTTTCTATTAAATCAAAGAACTGAGGTGAACTAAGATTTTTATCTTTTAAAAATATCTCACATCTTTGAGAATTTGCTTTTAATTCTATTAAAATAAACGCTAAAATAAAATGTATTTAATCAAAGAAAATTTGTTACAAATAAAAGAATGAAAATAGCTAAAATCTCAAGTGAAAATTCGTTTTTCCATATTCACATTCTTTTCTGCGATTTAACTGATCAAGGCAATCAGCAAAGAATTCAAGTGAATTGTTAATTCGCGGACCCTTATATTAATTTCATTGAAACAAAGATTAGCATGGCTTGGTGACTTGAAACGCGTCCTTTATTGCCAAATTGCTTCCTTGTTGGGCAGAGCGATGCGCCATGTAAAGAAAACATGCAATACTCTTTGGTGACATTGTTACCTCTTTAAATTGTATAGACGTTCGTTGCAATGTTCGGCATTTATTGTTGTTATTTTTTGCCTACAGCGAATACGAAAAACTAATGGCAGAGGTAATCACTGCCTGCCTCAAATTTTTTATTATTAAACAATAATATACAAACAAATTCTTGCGTCATAGTTGCATAATTGCATGGCTACTATTAACTAATGCACCACTGGACGAAATTCTATGGGTAGAAATCTAATGCAGTCATTAAGAAATCCATGAAAGAGCCAGAAGACTTCGTCGCTCTTGGGCAATGGTCACTAAAAAAATGCAGCAAACTCACGTGAATCTAGACCTTACGATTTAGCTGATTAAAGAATGCAGTTTACCTATTAACCTATAGAAAGAAACAATTATGACAATTATTATGATAAATAATGAAAGCTTCGGTCTTCAGCATATCTGCTTCGGCCGAACGGTGAAATTTGCCCTTCTGTATAACTCGAGAGTAACGGACTTTATGGATATCCACAGGGAAGCCAGTGCCTGGCCATTTCTGGCCAGGTTTATTCCTTAAAATCCAACAAAAGATCAGATTAGTGCGATTAGAAACTTTTCTAAGCCACTTGGCGACAGAAGTATAGATGTGAGTCGTCGGCATCGTTCGGGCTTTTCCATCTTGTCGAAGGCAAAAACCGATTTCTATCTCACTCGGCCATCTTGTTCCTCCATCATATTTTCATTCTTCTTATTAATGAGCCGCTACAAACACAGCTATTGTGCATTTTCCTTCTCCGGCTTATGCAAAAAGTTAAAAAGTCAGATACGGTACGAATATTGCTTCATAAGGCTGAATTTTTCACCTTGATCAGCCGAAGTAAGATATCTTTTGCAGTGGTGAGTTTTTTATTCTATGGTACCGGTTGAATTCCTTGTTGGTCGTTGGTGCTTATTAATATGAGGATGAGTGAAGAAGGTGGTTACCTTGGTGCAATGACATTTCAGTGTATTTTCAGTGGAATATTCGATCGTCTTATACAGAACTGTAAAAATAATGAAAATTCTTTGCAAACGTTACAGGTAAATTTTATTTTTACTTAAATTCTTCTTGGCACTTTTGCTTTTTTTCATTTTAAATTCTCTTTTCTCTTTCTTCTGAATTATGAGAAATATTGTACGATTCAATCAACGCATTTAGTCGAGTTTTCGAGTGGAAAAATATTTATCTGCATTAAACCGCATTTAATTTGGCAGTCGCCAGTTAGTAAATTTTGATAATTTCGTTCCGTAGACGCTTCTTACCCGTGGATAATTTTTTAAAAATATCTTTTGAAAGCTGTGGAATTCTTTGAAATAATTATCTGAGAGTTATAAATTATAAATTGTAGTTTAGTTGCGAAGTTGCGAGGAATCCTTTCCGTTCTATCTTTTCGTTTAATGTGAAATATTTTTTTTTAAGAGTCCTCACCATTACTGGTTGAACTCGCTCTGTTGGCTTGTCTTACAAGACAAATATGTCAAGGAATCCACTGGCGACAGAAATACAAGTGGTTGCAAGCATCACCCAAAGTTTTGCGCAGATTTATTCCGGGAAATAAAACTGCGACGCTCCGAATTGAGCAGCAACCCACTTAGTCATTCTGTGTTCCAATGCAAAGCGCTGACAAAGCTTAATGCTTCACTGTTATGACCATTGAAGTCATCCGGGGCATTAATGGTTCATAGAAGATTTTGTAGTGACTTAAGTGCAAAAAACTGTAATAAACTCTAAAGTGCAGAATGCCTAAAATTTGCTAGTAAATAGTTGATTAGCATAGAAAAAAAAACATTGGATGCATTTATATTGTAGTTGTCACATGAATTAAAAAACTTTGGGAAATTTTTTCCAGTTGCTTACAAATCTTCCATAATCGGAAGATTTCGAAGGAATCCATGGATATGAAATCATAAACCATTGGTTTTATTAATTAGTATGGTGAAATCTGTGTTTATTTTCTTGTTTTAATTGTTTTTTGAAACAATGCACAAGAATTATATTTTTTATTTTATAGGATAATCAATTAATAAATGGAAAATTTTCTCTGAGATTTTCTTTTATTTTATGAATTAACTAACTTGTTTTTACAAGAAAGTTTTTTCTATTTTATGTCTAATATTTTTAATGATTATTTGATTTTAATTTTATTATTTGTTATTTTAACTTTAATTTTATTATTAAATGAAAGAAGATTAATCTAGAAACTTCGGACAACGTTACGACAAGCAGATATTGTCTCACCATCATTTTTGTTTGATTTTATAAAGGTTTTGCTCAGTGAATCGATGCTCAATATTAATTTACAGGTTTTTTTAAATTTTATTTAATATTTATTTATTTTATCTAACAAGCTTTGTAATTTTTATTCATACTTACATAATAGTAAAAAGTTTTCTGTGATCTATCGTTTTATGGGCAGTGAGCTTTTCTAATTGCTTGTTAAGATATAAAAAAAAGAACAGTTATTATTAGAATTTTTTTGCACCTTTAAATGTTAAGTTTTTTTAAGTTTATTTTTTTCCTTAGATTTAGTTTAATAAATAGATTTTTTCCTTGTCTTCAAATTTGTGTTATCAGTAATCATGTTGGCTGCTGGGGATTCACCTGTAACATCCCCAAGTGACTCTATGGTAAAAGGATCTAATGTTCCTGATACAGTGTCCGCATTCTTCGAACTTATGATATTCTTTACTCGGCGCATGCGATAAGTATACATAGTCCGGACTTAAAACGATCGTAAGGCTTATGAATAACATGTGCTCGCGAGTCAAATAATTGCCGGTGGAGGGAAACGACTCTCTGCACATGTTAGGCCTAGCAGCATGAAACGCTTATTGATGTTGCAAGTCAAGCGACCATTGTCCACACTCTCTAAATATCTATTGGATGTTACCTGTTTATTGGAGATCCGATGTGCTTCTTCAGGTCTTGAGCAATTAGTAATGCCTTTGAGTAGAGCTAATGGCTGTATTATTGTGGTGATAACTCTGGATGAAATGGCTTACCAATTGTCATTGTCTAAAAAGGTCCATTCCGCTTTGATTATGTGGAAATCGCTTAGTGGCTGTATGACCTATGCCTGCTTTAAAGGGTAAGCTCCGCAACATCTCGGTTATCAGTGTATATACTCCAGTTTTTTCTGCAGATAACCGTGATAAGGTAAGTTCTTCAACTCAACCACGATGCATCATCTACTGTCCCAGATATAGCTGATTCGCTCATCGAGCCATACGTTTGTAACTACTAACCGCCAACAGAAAATGAAATCTCTGTTATCCATAAGCTTAAAAGAAAATAAAACTTGCGGAGGAGGTGGTCATCGGCCTGAACCCTTCAAATGTTCATAAATCACCTTCAACAAATGTACTTTCTGTTATGGCAAAAGGAAATAGTACCAGATGATCGGAGTAAAGCGATTCTGCTTTTATTTCTTAAGAAAAATAATAGGATACTATGATAATTATCGAGGAATCATCCTGTTAAGCATTTCCGGGAAAATTTTTGTTCTCCTCTTGCTGAATGGATTTATGGCAATATAAAGCAAAAGGATGCGCCCTAGTTGGATTTAGATTGGAACGCGATTATGTTGATCAGATATTCACGTTAAAAAAGGTTTTGGAACACGGCTTCAAATATCTGCAATTACATGTTTCATCGAGTTGCTTTCGATATTCGATAATTGATAGAACACTTTGGAGCATAATGGAATATGACTATATTCCAGAAAAAATCATTCGACTCATAAAGGTATTTTTTAATGTTATTATAGCATCTGTGTATATGGGTAACTGACAAATTTGTCTAAAATAAAAACTGGTGTTCATCAAGGTTGTGTCTCTTTTCCCATACAATATTCAGCTATAGGATAGACTGGATAATGGGCACTATAAATGCATTCTTCCGGTTGACGAAACCTTTATGGAGCCGTCGTGAAATCATCATAAAAACGAAAGAAAGGCATCTTTATAGCTGCGATTCGCTCGATTTTGGAGGACATTTAGAAGTACCTTTGATCACTCATATTCAAGATATATGTTAGTATTTGCAGATAAAATCTTATATGATTGCATCCATCTTTGCTTATATCATTTGCTTATATCATTTACCATCACAGTCGCATTTGCTGGTTAAAGCACGTTCTTTGTTGTTCATCACTAGAGTTGACACATATTTCGTTTCTTTCTAAATCCTGTGATGAGTGGCGTCAAAAAGTGGGGTGGACCAATCAAGACCTGGACCGAACAGTCAGGAAAAAAAATTTTGAATTTATGGGTGGATCAGTGATATATGAACTTAGACGATTGTAAAAAGAATGGCTTCCATCAGCGATGGTATTAGATCGAAATTGGAAATTTCTTATTTTTCTGGATAGCGGAGTTAGCCTAACTAGTAATAGTAAAAAATGGTATCAAATAAATTAAAGTAAAAAAAGAAAACAAGATGTATTATACATAAGATTTATGGTGAAGCTTTTTAAAAAATCGAGCATTAAAAAGGTTCAAAATTCATTTTTTCAACTATTTTCCAAGGTACTATTTCATATATATTAGCGATTTGCAATTTGAAATGTGATTTTAAAAAGAGGTTTAAAAAAGTATTTTCATTTTATTTTAGAATAAAATTCAAGATTTCAAGATTTTATAACTTTTTGCGGATGATTTAGGCAACTTATATATGGTTTTCATATTTTTTATTGATTTCTATAAGGATATAAGATTTCGTATATATTTTTTATAAGACTTTTTAAAATGCTTTAGGCATTTTTCATAAGCCGCAAAGCAAGGGAGATTAAGGGAGAAATCTTATTTTTTGCTTTAGAAGTGATTTTAGGAGGCTTATTTGCGATTGCAATCCAATGCACCATCTACCGACTTGGAACTGCACAATTTACCCAGATATTTGGAGCGGTCAGAATTTCAAGAGCTTTCTTCAAGGTTTTTTTCCTTCTCAAATCTTTTTTTTTTCTTTTGGAATTAGGTTGTTAATTATCTCAATTATCTTTTCAAGGTTACGTGATTTTTTTAAAAAGGTGTTAGAATATTTGTTTTAACTTTTTTTGACATTTTTTCAATGATTTTTATTCATCATTTTCCAGAGCTATTGCCCTTCGTCGAGTGCTTGCGAGGATTCCTGATGAAATGTCAGATCGGCGTACGTTTTTGGAAACCATAAAGGAAATCGCTTCATCCATCAAAAAGTTGCTTGATGCTACAAACGCTATAATGCAGATTATGCCACCTGGCGCACAACTCTGTAAGTTATATGAAAGTTCTGGGTTCACTGGATTTAATGCATTATTTTTTTCAATTTCGTTATGAATTTTGTTCATTATTCCATTTTTATAGTTTTTTTTTCTAAATGAGATATATTAATTTTCTTTATTTTTTTAAATAATACAAAATAAATTTCTTTAGCTGTTGAGAAGCGCAAGCGAGAATTCGTACATTATTCAAAACGTTTCAGCAACACATTGAAGGAATATTTTCGTGATCAAAATGCTACTCAAGTTTGTTTTATTATGCCATGTAAACCAGGAACCCAATAGTTCATTTTTGAATTTTCAAAATCACAACTGGATTTTAATAAATAGTTTGAGCAAATTTTTTTTTAAATTTTTAAATTTTTTTGCTATTTTTGATACTTAGGTTTTGATTTAGGTTTCAGTTTCGGCAAATCAGCTGATATTTCAAACTACACTTATTATTCGTACTATCCGTGAAAAGATTTGTAATCATTCTTAGAATAATTTCAACCGTAATATTCTGCTATAATATTCAATAAATATCAGCAAATAATAACAAATAAAATGTAAGAAATCATTGAATTTTGGATTGATTGATCAGTGGATTTTGCATTTTCTTTCTAAAGGATTCTCGAACTTCCATTCTCTTCAAATTTTATTCATTTCATTCATAAGAGATTTCACTCGTAATCACTCGTCTTTAGTCGGTCCTATTATATAAAAAGTTCTTTTTTCCAGAAATTATTTAATCATACGTTTAAGGCTGGTCATTGATATGGAAAAGCTTCATCCATCGAGATTACTTTATTGTACGTTTGGTGAATGCCTAAATTTTTTATTTTAACATTTGAATAAACGTCGAAAAAATTTCATTCATTTCGACTTATTTGTTTATTTCTAATTTCTTTGTGGTTGTAATTTTTTCGATCACAGTTGTTAATTTGTAAAAAAAAGTTCTGAAATTAATGGCTCATATATTAGAAAATGAAATTGTGCAGTCACTATTTTAAATTAAATCTTACTTGTTTTTCAAATGTTTTGTGCCTTACCTCATTTCACTTTCGATTCACAAAAACACATTTTTCTATCTATTCCATCACAAAAAAATGTTCCATCGCTTGGAAAAAGGAATTTCATTGATGGCCATCATGGAAATTGGAAATTTTGTCTTTAAATTGACCACTTGATGGCTTAAATTTGTAAATCTATCTTATTAAAGATTTATTTGCAAACACGAGTATATTAGTGTGAAGGATCATGTGTATATATATTTAGTATTGACTTATTCCGATTTTTATTTATATTCTTGAAAAATGTATTATATTATTAATGATCAAATGTATTATATTATTATGTTATTCGGCGAGGAATTATTGGTTTTGTTTCAATATTCTAAAAAGTGAAAAAGAAATTTTTGTTATTTTGTCACATAAACGTTCGATATACGGAAAAAAGCGTTGAAATTTTTAAAAAACGCAATTCTGAAGAAAAGTTTTGCGAAGAATAATTTTAAGATGTTTAATAAATGAATGCGGTCCGTTTAGAATGAATTCACTGAACGCAGATTAGTTCGTTTTTTTTCTTTTAATTGTCTTCTTTTAATTGTTTAATTGACGCCAACAATAAATTAGAAAATAAGCAATTGTGAGTAAAATTGTTCTCAGTTCGCTCGGTTTTGAGAGCGATTAGTGGTTATGGTGGATACGGAAATGCGTAGAAATGGTCACTTCCAGGTTTTTTCTTAAAAAGAAATACACTAAATAACTGATTAAATATTTCTTAGTCGAATTGAATGCATAGTAAGAATCGGGATTGTGGAGAAAGGATTAAGGATGCCTCGTGAACAAGAAAGACTATCAGCTGAAGAAAATTTTGTATCTGCGGCTATAAATCAGTTGCAAGTTAATGGATTTATGTGTAAAGAAGAAATTGGTATTTCATTCATTGGAAACATTTATTATCTCCGGAAAATTTTTTGGACCGAGCGTCATGTTTTGTATTACGGTGATGTTACTGAAAAATCTGCCAAGAAAGAAATGCCAAGTCTTATTTCTTGAGATTTTTTAAAAAGTCCAGGTAAGGGCGCCTACTCTGTCGTTCGACTAGCTTATTGCCGACGATTATCAAAAGACGTCGCAGTCAAAATTGTGGATAAGCGGTAAGAATCTACATCGATCGTTTAAAGTCGCCAAAAGGCTTTCAGCAATTTATATATATAAACTTTGCTCGTGCAAAAATATTTGCTTTTTGCTGATATTTTTGAAATTAATACGAGAAAAATATGAAAGTTCAGGTCGACTTCCAAATTCGTGAAAAAATTCCTACCACGCGAACTCAAAATTGTCACAATATTGGACCACTTTAATATTATAAAAGTTTATGAAGTAAGTTCTGAATGATAAGAATGATTATTCCAATTCCCACTCAGACAATTACAAATTTTTTTTCTTCTAACAACATTTGCTATTTCTGATTTGGTTAATTTCACTGATTATCAGATGAGAGTCATAAGAGATTTGTGGCTAGAGAGTGCAGAACTGCACTGTAGCAGTATCAGCGCTTCAGTTTTACAAAAGCAGCAGGAATCGAAGGATTGGACCTATAATTCCTGGGGAAGAAGCATAGAATTCGGACACCTTTCTCTTAACTCCTTTCAGATTGTTTCAGTTTTTTGCACTTTTTTTTTACCTAAATCGAGAAGCATTCCTTCCTAACTCGAATTCCGAAGTTCCAATATGAATTCACTGAAATTTAATACGATAACGTGGCAGTTCATTCGTTACATTCTAAATATTTTATTTGTTTTTCTTGAAATCGGAAAAATGACTGCCAATCAATGAATTTGGAATGAGTTGTATTATTTTTATTTTCTCATTTTTGAAATAAAAATTTCAAATAAATTTTAAATAATCGAATCGAATGAAACCGCTATAATGGTCGAAGAATTCGCCGCGAATGGTGATTTGTTGAAAAAAATTAAAAGTATCGAAAGAATCGATGAGAATGAATCGCGATTTCTTTTCCGACAACTCACTGAAGCCTTAATGGTCGAATCCCTAATTGTTTCTATTGGTTTTTTTCGAATTTCAACTTCTTCAAGATTTTGGCCCATGAAAAATTAGTAGGCAAATAGCACTCACCATTTCTGGTTAGGTTCATTCCGCTGGTTACTACTACGGTTAGGAATTTTTGAAGAAGTCATTTCAAGAAGTCATTTGGCATGACAGTTTTTTCTTCCTTTGCGGGCAAGAACCATTCACTCTCAATCCCGGTAGTCCGAATCCGAGTTGAGCAGACAGAACCGCTCACATAATATCCATCTTCGCTTAAATGTTATCTACAATAGTGGTTGTACGCTGGATGTTGTTCGCCGTCTATCGCAGCAATTGATGAATACTTTGCTATCTGCTTAATCATATGATAGATATCATCAAAACCGAGGAAGCTAAATTTGGATTGAAATAGACAGGAGAAATTTTGATTGGAGATGCGGCCCAACTATATCGAGGATTTTAGAAGGCGAGACAGCATCATTTTCAGATATGGCCAGATCAAGTGCATTGGAAAACCTTTATCTCATGGCCAGTGGAACATAACCAGTAATGGTGCGAGCTGTTAGAAAAAGATTATTTCTGACATTCATAATAATTAGACTTAATAATTAAATCAAAATAAAAAATAATTTATACAATAGTTAAATTAAAATGAGTGGATTTGCACGGCAGAAAAAAAAGGACCGTAGCGTCAAAGTACCAAACTTCATCCCTCATGTTGAAATAAATAAGTCTTCTCAAAATTTGCTTTATTTTGTGGAAAAATCTTCTTCAAACTCGTTGAATTAGATCTCTCTAATAAACTCCCCTAAACTCCACTGTAAAGATTTCAAAATTGCCAGCTAGTTTGATGACTGATTGCTTTGGGCTTATCAGCTAAATTTCGCATAACATGCAACCATATTTATATTCATTTTTGTAAGTACAAAATAATGGAAAGATGACGAAATAAGTCATTTTCTAGAGGAATTTCTTTTATTCCTCAATCGGCGCTTTTAAATTTTTAAGAATATATCATTTTCACGTAATTGGTTAAGATAATAGTGTTGATAATAGTGTTAATAGTGTTGATAATCAATATGTATCATATTAATAATAATTAGTTAATAATTAGTTAGCAATAACATCTGATACTGCGCATTAACTAAGCTGGCTGAACCATTTATTTTTTCTTTGTGGAAATCGAAGTCAAACTTTATAAGCGTTTTAGCGTTTAATTTTCAGTATTTACAGTCAATCAGAGTCGTTCATCGGGATATAAAATGTGAAAATATATTTTTGGATTCACATGATAATGTAAAACTTGGTGATTTTGGTTTCTCTCGAATGATGCGCTTAAATGATAAATCAAATACATTTTGTGGTTCTCGAGCCTATGCCGCTCCAGAAGTATTAAGGTTCGCTTTATATTTTTTGAGGAAAAGTGGCGAATAATGAATGTTTTGCAAATTGCATCCATTTTTCTTTTCTTGCCTTCGGCTTTTAATTAAATTAATTCTCAGATCTTTACAGTTCAAAACCTTATTCTGGCTTCACAGTTGATTTATGGAGTGCTGGCATTGTTCTTTATATTATGGTCACTGGTTTAATGCCGTATGATGATCGCAATCTGAAGAAAATGTTAGAAAAACAGCTGCGTCATAGGTCAGACGTATATTTAGAAGGGAAATTTTCATGTCCCAATATTTTGTAAAGGGCAGCAAAGCTTTTCACAAGAAAAGATCGAGAAAAGAAAAATTATAACCCTATAGATTAAGCTGCAATAATCTTACTTCCTCTAAGTGAAACTATATTTTTTTATAACAAACAACTTATTTTAATAATTTTAATGATTTTAATGATTATTCAGAATGAATAAAAAAAAAGATTTTTTGCGAAAATAGAACGATCAAAGAGATTTACTAGAAATTTTTCAAAGATAATATTTGGTTTATTTATCGTCAAACATTTCTGATTATCACTGTCCTGATTATCACTCTTCTTAATTCTTTATAAATGTTTGCTATAACTTTTGGCATCGACAGTTCCATTGTAACCACTACTTATTGTTAATACCGTCACCACTAATACTGCTATATTTCATGATTGTTACTATTATTGTAGCATTTGATGTCATTATTTATTTGTTCCAATGTTACATTGCTATCAATTAAACTCATGATATCAATTGCTATCAATTAAACTTATTAAGATTGCTATCAATTAAACTCATTAAGACTAAACTAATCTGCTAGTTTTTCAGGGTTACATTTCCAAAAACTGTTGAATTAAGCAGTGAAGTGAAACACTTGATCTCTGAGATACTCCATCCATACCCAACACAACGAAAGGCCTATCCGGAGATAATTCGAAGTTCATGGCTTATTAATACACCATATCGAATACGAACTAAACTAGATGATCTAAGCAATACGAATTCACCGTGAGACGTTGAGTCGATTGTTTTGTGAACTCGAAATCTTGCAATTTTTTTCTTCCATTCATGCTTGTAAATTATAAATACATAATAGATTAATTCGTCGTTTTTTGAAATATACGTATATCACAAAATTTAAAACGATTCTGATAATTAACACAAAATTAATATATTTGAACAGATCGAACAATCGAAAATTCCTTCATGTGAGGTCGAGAAACATGGATTTTTACTGCAACTCAACTTCTCTCCGACTCTTTTAAAGAATACTCACCACCATTACTGGTTAAAGTCGCTCCATTAGCTCCTTGTAAGATTAGACAAACATGCCATAAGGAAGCCTTGGCGATAGAAATATAGATAAATCGCCAGTATCGCTGGGATTTTTGGATTTGGATGAATTAACTTCCGCAGTGGGTAATACCTCAGAGCATCGGCGCGTTAATTTGAGATGAGCAGCAGTGTATTGAGTCCATTCTACTTTCCTTCTGCTTTTATCTGTTGGTTTCGAAGTGGCTGATTGCGACATTTACTCTTCTCTCTTAATATTTTCAGATGTATATTATGTAATCTCGTTAGTTTACTTTTAATTAATTCTTTCTTCTTTCTTTAAAGTTTTGAGTTAAGTCCCCACCTTTAACTTCCCTTTAAGCTAACATCCCACACTTATTTTGGGTGAAAATCATCTTATCACAGTCACTGGTGCACTTACCTCTCTCGGAATTCGTTTAATCGAACAAAGTCTAATCGCTTTAATTCTCATCAACAACTCAAATAAAAGCACAGATTTTGATTTCTATAATTTATAATTTCGAGTTCCGTAATTTCTTGTCGTAGTATATGCATTGCTTTAGCTTAATCACTATGAATTTAGACTACGAAAATGGAGAGAAATTTATAAATGCATCTAAAAACCTAAATCCTATCCTTAATTTTCGACTTATTCCTATTCCTTTTTCTTTTCCTATTCTTATTCCTTGGATTCACGGTGTTTTTCATTGTGGTTATTTATGTATGGCTATATGGATATCATTTTAAGACCTGTGACAATGTGGATATCATTTTTTTATTTTAGTTTGTTTATAAAATATCATAAAAGTGGTTCATATTATTCAACAAATTATAATTTTATTTGACAAAATTGAATAAAAAAAAAGAAATAAAAGAAAAGCTATATTGTGCCAGAAAAAAAGGAAAAAGCAGTGACCATCAAAGGCAAATTTATTGGCGAAAATTTGGTGTTAATATTTTTCGTTATTTTCTGAAAAAACCTGAAGTTTTTTATAATATTCAACGAATATCGACATATACGATTTCATTTTAAGAGCAAAAAATCGTAAAAGTTATATGCATCCATTTATTTTTCACTCTTGTAATTCTTTTTCTTTTTTTACAATATTTTAACACTTATTAGCCCAAAGATTTTTTGTAAAATCATCGAGCTAATATTTTATTTCTATATTTATTTCAATTTTTAAATTTAAAAATAAAATAAATGTTGTTTAAAAAACAAGAAAGAAAGAATAAGCCACTAGGAAAGGTTAAATTTGATGGAGATGGCGTGGACAAGAGTCATCTCGGCTAAGATCAAGCAGTATGTCGATCTCTGTCTCTAAATGGCAGTCTTTGAGGCTTTCGGTAGAAGTGAAGTTCTGGCGAGAATAATCTCTTGCCTACGCTTTTCTCCCTAAGTGAAAAACGGGTCAACGAGTGATTTCCATCGATGAAATGTTCCATTCTTTAATTTATTTATATTTGAAAGCGATAATAAAAACGACGATGTAAAACAAATTCATTCGCATTTAATGAATATTTAACTCGTGAACAAGGAAGTTTTAATCTGAGCGCTAAGAAAACTTTAAAAATATTAAAAATACCCTTTAGCTGATCGATCATCGCATTCAAATCTTTCATCATAATGGCTTGTTGCTGTAAACGTTCTTCTTCCACGGTAATCTGATTATTTAAATTATCAAGTTCTCCAGCTATTTCTTCACCATTTCTTTCCGAAAATTTGATTTCCATTCTTAGCGCATCTAACTGTTCCTCTAATTTTTTGCATTCTTCGTCAACCTGAAATATTATTCGTTTTTTTGTTACAATGCATTCATACACGTTTCATTGATTTCACAGATTATCTTTAAAAATCTAGATGCTATGTTTTATAGCAAATTTAGCTGATTTACCAAAACCATAGCGTATTTTCGTCTTTCTAGTAAAAGATAGGCTCTTATTTTAAGGTGCATTTCTAGTCTGGATGATTCCATCAAATAATAGAGAAATCTTTCTTGAGTTTGAATCTGGCGATGCAACACTTTTTGTCGAGTGACAGTGTCGCCTCACGGGAAAAAACAGAAGAAAAGAGTAAAGTGGCTTAGTGGGTTATTGCTCAGATTGAAGCACCGATGCTCTGAGCCTACTTGCGACAGGAGTAAGCCTGTCCAAATCCAGGTGATGCTGGCGATTCGTCTGCACTTATATCGTCGTCCTCCAGATCTTATATATTGTCAGATCTCTGGCATATTTATCTACTGCGAGTAATAATCTAACTAATAATGATGTGTGCTCCTAAAAAGAAGTTTCCTCAAGAAAGCATTTCAAGATAAAGGTGCCGTAGCAAAACTCCAGGATTTACTGTCCTAAAATCTTACCTACTCTTCAGCTGAATCACTGACGAATGCTTTAGTTTATGAAATTTTCAAACAGAATGATCAAGATAATTTAATTTAATAAATTTAAATGAAAAAAGTACCATCGTTCGTTTGGTTCTAATTTCTTGAAACTGCTTTTCCAGGTTATTTTTTGTCGATGGAAGTCTTTTAAGCCAATGATTTTTCATCGTTGCAGTTTGGCGTGCATTTGGATTCATTTGAAGTTGACTGGCTGGAATCGAAACATGGAATATCAATTATGAAACACACTGCTTCTTCTAATCTTTGAGTTTTCAAGCAAATAGATTTTAATCTAAAAACTGTACGCTTAAACTTATATGACAATAAAAACTGGGAAGAATTTACACATATCTTAATTATACACTTCTCCGTTCTCGGTTTATCGATTGTATCCATTTCTTCATTACTCCAGAATTTCATAATCTCTCTCATTATGAAATTAGCTTTTTTTGACAGAACCTGAAATCCGAATTACTACTATTTTGTATCCCTAAGTGACTATCGCGAAAGCATCAACTAATTTTCCAACGCGTATCTCTAGCTTGTTAGCACATGCCACATGCGATAAACATTTGAAGCAGGCTTAATAAGCAGAAAAAAAAGATCAAAACGAAAGAAGCCTTCGAACCAAAGCAACAGTACAAAATCTGTCGATGAAGTTGAACAGTGATCAGTGGAATATAAAACTCTTATAGCCAAATAATAACCATTCACATTATTCAACTGCCATCGCTTGTTTTATGGAACCCTTTTTCACCCTTGTTGTCAAGCAGTTATTGTATCTAACTATGCGCAAAGATTCATTATAGCGTTTTCAGTAAAGCTACATGAAAAAAGGACCATCGTTCGTTTTTTCCTCCTTGTGGGGTGAAATCCGGAAGAGTTGGCTTCAAATGCATGGCCTATTCGTGATCGGATTTAGTCTACATCCGCTTTAACAGAAGTTCTGATATTTCAACATCTTGCTTATTACTGCATATACTTCAAAACCATTGTAGAAAAAGTGATAAAGATAGTTTTCTATGCATAAATTCAAATGTTAACAGCAACTCTCTTAAAAGTATAGCGTTGGGGCTTGGTGTGCTAATGAAAACTGGGATTTTTGCCACATACTGACATTCTGAGAAGTTTCGCATAAGAAATTTATTCCATATGCTAAAACCAGCCATCTTTTTGGATCAGACCATGCTATGATTCGAGCCAAGATCTGCATGAAGCTGATTGCGCTTAATAAATATCCTCTAAAATTTTACAATTTTTTTTCATAATTTAAAAGATTTGGGTCAATAAGCGAATAGCGAACTAATTACCAACGATTTAAATGCTGAGGATATATTTGAAACGGCCAATTAGTATCCATCTCAAAAAGGGTCTCTCCATAAGTCGGTGGTATCCAAGCTTGAATATACCACTCACAAACAAGGTTAAAATGCATATTATGTCCTTCAAACCATATGGTAACAATAGAGCGATAATCAACGTTATGCGGAAGCTTAAGAATCCAATGAAAATCTCAAATGAATTCTTCAAATATTTAGAGCACTTCAGAACTCACCTTCAAGATTTATGGTACGGAGCAAAGAGCATCAATTAGTGCAGCAAAGCAATTCTGCTCCTAATTTTTAGGAAGGATGATAGCATATGTTTTGATTATCGAGGGATAACACATAAGCCTTCTCGTCCTAAGTACCAGATAATTTTTATAAATTAATAATGGGTGAAGGAAGTAAGGACTTTAAATATCTTCGCCCGAATGGTTGCAGCATGTTTCTTTTCTTTCGTCTTAAGCTATCATAGAGTCCATATTTCTTGCGGCCCATCGCTTTGCGGTGGATGACTTCAGAAACGCAGAGGCTCAACCTTAATGAATAATGGAAAAAGGAGCAACCTTCAGGTATGACATCGGATCGAAAGGCTTGGAAATGCGTTAGAAATGCCTTGCAGGCAATTGGGCATAGCGAGATATGATGCGACATGTTAGAAGAAAGGTAAAAAATTAAAATTGCTGAATACAACTATTCTTAGTTAAAAACTTGCTTTTGTTTTAAAAATTTTAATTTTTTGACATAATTTTAATTTAGGCGGAAATTAGAACCTCTATAAGCTGGTAAATCCTTTGGATTTTTGCTTAATGCAGTCCTTTCATCTTTTATTTTCGCATTCGCTGTTCGATTGTTCGGCAATACTCGGTTTGGCATTTCCCTTAAAATGCGAACACAACATAATCTTTGCTATTCTGTCTAATCGATAAAGTTTTATTTAAAAAGTAAGTAAGTACCACAATAGTGCAAACTCTTAAGCACGCAAACTATTTCCGTAAATTTCCGAGCTTTGGGTTAAAGAAAGTGCTAATCGATATAGCTTTGGGAAAAGTTGGATATCATTCATCGGCTGATTATTTCCAGACGAATCTGCGACATTCTGATCGAAACTCTCCTCTTCGCATAAAACTAATAAATCTTCATACAATTCAATATAAAATTCATCCACTAACATAATGATAATGATAAACTGACTAATTAAAGAGATAAGTTCAACCAGTAAGGAAACAAAATAAACAAAAAGTTCGATGGACTTCAAGTGATTTTTATATAAATCTGTATTTGCTACACTTATTTATTTATAAATTTCAACTTAACTGCTAAAAAACTGCAAGCGAAACAAAGTGACATTGCTTGAATGCAAGTAAATGCGTATTGCTTCGAAATAAATGTTCGTATAAAGAGCCATCAAGGACCATTCCGTATGAAGATTTACCTTGAGGAACCATTCCGCCATATGATTTGCCTCGCTCCACTGACTCCCGCTTACCTTAATGGAGAGTTATCCAAAGGATAGGAGCATGGATAAGTCCACTCAGATCCTATTTTTGATGTTAGACTTACTCAATCACTCCTTCAAGGGGCAAGAATCAAAGCTGCGATGAACTGACAATAGATCAGTGTTCCACTCGACTGATCTGTCCTCAAAATGTTTGTTACTCTTTTGGATAATTTTCCGGTAAAGTAGCATTAAGAATTTGCTTTCCTATGATTGACAAGTTCAACCAGAAATCAATCAGTTAGCCTCCAAATTCAATTAATTATTCTCTCATTATTTATTATATGAAGCCATAATTTTAATTTGTGAACCGACTATTTTCTTTAATTTTAAATATTCCTTTAGGCTACTAATATTTAAAATTATGGCTGCAAAATTTCGTCCGTGTCTTGAAACGAAACTTCGGTTACGATACAGCGTTGTTCATAAATACCGGAAATCGACAAAATGTTTGCGAGGCTTTTTTTTGCTAAGGTTCGGCGCAGGGTTCACGTTTATTCACCGACTTCTTCAAGAAGTGATGTTTCGTCATCGAAACTGCGTCCTATTACCACTAATGCGGACATCACGTATGTAATTTTATTTTTACTAAAGCACGAATGTTAGAAGATTCTGATATTGGATGCTTCGAAGATTTATAACGACTGCACCACGGCGAGGCAGAAATCATTATTGGAGTGATATGGCCTTGGAATTGGATACGGTGGCTCGATTTGGCGATGCAAGGAAACCATTCCATCTTCAAAAAGTAACTGTAGCTCTGGACGGTCTGGACTGTCCAGAGACTGGACAGTAAAACAGCATAGCAGTGGTGTGCCTGTTAAGAATATTAAGGATCAGCCTACCAATATCTCCAAAAAATTTTTGCGTCCCTGAATATACCTATGGCAATACAAGACAGCAAGATACACCGTAGCTGGCTTCATATCGGTTTCAGCGCATTTTAGCTGATCAGAAAAGTGTTAGAGCATCGCTTCAAATATCAGCAACACCTTAATATGTTTCATCGATTTCGCATCTGCTTTCGATTGATGGAGCAGCGCTTTGAAAAGTGATGAATTGTGGCGACATTCCGGAAAAAATTACGCCTCACAAAGGCATTTTATCAATTTACATTGGCACAACTTATATGTTTATATGGGGAAATGATAGATCCGTTCGAAATAAAAACTGGTGAAAGGCTACCTGTTTTTCCCTATAATATTCAACTATGCAGTAGACTGGATAATGGACATCGCTTGTCGGCACTCAAGAGGTTATAGATTAGTCCAGAGCATAGTATCACAGAACTCAATACGATAATGATAGTCCTTTTTCGCTTTTTTGTTATGAAGAATTGTAAATAACAATGTGTCGATAACTGCGGCGGATTTAGGATGAGTGTAAATGAATAAAAAGTCTTTTCATCTTATATATAAAAAGTTAACTATTTTCATCAGTTCATTGCCGTTTTAGGAAGTGCTCGACTTTAAATATCTCGGATCCACTCTAATCCCAAATGGCCAAGCAGTTATGTTTTCTTTCGGCTGATAAAATCTTTATGGACTCGTCGCGAAATCATTGTAAAAGCGAAAATCTGCATCTTTATGACTGCCATTTTATTATATGGCCGGTGAAAGTGGAGAATATTAAGAAATTATCTGCCTTTGACCACTCATTCTAAGATGCGGATCTGCTAAGTGAATAAAATCTCACTTGATCGCATCCACCTTTGCTTACCACTTGCATTAACAATACTACCACAGAACGTAAACTTCGTTGGTTAGGGGGTTCTTGTCGCCCACAACAGGAGATATATGTTTCGTTACTTGTTAAATCCTGTGACCTGGACTGATATAATCAGGAAAAATTTTAAACCTATATGTGGACTAGCAATTTATGGACTTAGATGATGGAAAAGGAATGGCTTCACTTACTGTTGACGATGGCGTCGGATCGAATAGCTTGGAGATATTTCACTTTTTTAGCTAGCCAGTAATGACCAGCAATAGTTGTTAGAAGTTGAAGAAAATATTTGATTGGGATGTTGATGATGGTCCTCATAAATAATGAAAGAAATAATAAATAATGAATAATAAATGATAAATAAAGTGATATGTAAATGATACGTGTTCATATTGGTTTTTGATGAGAATTTCTTATTTTATTAAAATTCTTATTCTATGAAATTCTTATTTTCAGTCGAGATTATTTAGATTATATTATTCATTTCTTGTTTTTCCACATATTCTCTTTTAAATTTAGGTCGATGGATTTAATCAATGAGAAAATAAGAAGAAAAGAATCTCGAGTGGCATCAATTGGCGGTACGAAAATCCCCTGGCGATATCGTTCAGAACTTGTTCATGTATATCTTTGATTTTCTTCTTTATATATCTTTGAGATTTTTTCTCTGCCAGAAGTTGTTTTTAAAAAATTGTTTTTAAAAAATCATTCAGGAACAAAAATTGGATCGGCCTCATTTTTATATATGGATAGCAATATTTATATCATCATTTGTTGGCATTGCTGTTTTTGCGAAAGTTAAAACTGATGTTATTCAAGAAAGAAAGAAAGCAATGGCTGAACGCGAAAAGTTTCGAAAGGAACTTAAAGGAAACGTTGGTGCTGTGGAAAATTATATACCGTAAATTTACAGAGATTTTTAAAATTCTTCGTAAAAATGTTATTTTCATCAAATTAATTTTAAATATAATGTATTAGTTTGCAAATCAGATTCATCAAATCATGTAGGCTCAGAATCTGTAATAAAGTTTTGATTTTAGTTTGATTGCACATTGGTTTCTGCATTCGAAAAAGTAGCCCAAAAAATAAAATTTTTTGCATTGTCTGACAATATCGTTCTGGTTTGCCTCTCAATTGCCATTAATATCCGTAATGCTAATACGAAACTTTCTGTTAATAAATGATTAATGGTCTCTAATGGATCGCCATTCATGGGTAGCGCTACCCACCTTTTGACTGTCGTGCTTTACCCACACAGGACTTGTTAGGTCTACTCCTATATAAGTAAATGGAGCGTTTCAATTCGTTCGTTCAATTCGTCAGATATTTGTTCATATCTGGTAGGGCAAATGGTTTGGTTCTCATTCTTCTGCATTATAAAGAGTCCTTGTTAATCTTTTTTACTGCCCGAAACCGTTTGGGGATCCAGCGGATTTCTATTAATTTACGCACCACTCTATCATTTGGTGCACGCAGTAAATTCAGATGTGTTTCCATATTTCATCAGGTGACTGGTTTTCGGCAGAAAGATGAGATTTCTGTCGAATTTTGTCTTCATCACTCATAGATCGAGCCAAATTTCGATTCTTTCATTTCAAATCAAATTCATTTAAATCTTTCACATTTATGCTTTCATCTTGTTTTACTATGCTTGCTTTACGATACTTGTTCTGCGTAATGAATTTCTTGACACAATATCGGACATCTGGCTTCATTCTTTTACTGCAGCTATATTTATTATTGCTAGCTTTAAATTGAGTCCAAGAATATCAAGTCCTTCGAAGTCGTTTGTATGAACAAAATCGAGCAAATTCGATGGTGGATTGTTGTACCTCACGCAAATTTTCTTACGTATTACATTTGCTCGCTTCGTTTGTTGATTTGTTCATTTCGTCCTCTTCACTCTCGTATCTTACTAGTCTTTTCGACTTGTAATTGCAAGAGCCAATTTTGTTCTTATGATAGTCATGTGGGTCCATGCCACAATTTTTTATCTTCTTGTACTTCTTCGAAAGAAAAACCTCTTCCTATATTAGCAGGCTTGTTTGCGAATGACGCGTTACTGAAATTAGTCATTGTTGTCCTTTTCATTCGTACGATTATTTACAAGTTGTAACTTCCGAGAGCCAATAAGTAGCTATCCATCCACTTGGCTATCCATCCACATAAAAATCTTCTCCCTCTCTCATGTCCAGTTGTTTCTACTATTTACCACCGAATTGCCATCAGTTCTGCTTTTGAGATGGTCATTCTTTTTATAGGAATCACTCGTAATTTATAGCAAATCTGCTCTCCATTACGGTGGTGATGCTTGCCATCGCATATATATAAACTTGAGGTATATGCTTATGCCTAATATATCGGCAAAGTAGTGGATGTGATAAGGCCGTCCTTTAAAGAAATTGGTCGAGCAAATGAGATTACTTTAGATTCCCATTTGTACTTCAAATTCCTAAAATTCCATTAATCGTCATTTGAATCCTATTTTCGATGTATTCATCCCATTTGACATTGGCTTTCCAAAGTAATTATAGATTAGATTTTGTTTCAGTGGTATCAATAGAGAATCTATGTTGCAATCTATATCGTAAATTGAAGCTACGAACTGTAGTAACTGACTCTTAGTTGATGGATTAAGGTATTTGAATCGAGTATCTATTTTTGTCAAACTCTCAGTTTCGATGAGAAGCCTTATCTTCAGACATTACCTCGTTGATAGAGTTCTATAGCACCAATATTCCAGTCAAATCATTCAATAAGGTCGCATCCTTCAAACTGGCATCGAAAACCTTTTTAATTTCGGTTGTGGCTTTGCATGGTATATTTGTCGGACGGTGTGGTAATTGTGATCTTGTCGTTATTCTTCGGAGATAATTTTATTTTCTCGGTGATGCTGCTTTCTAGTTGTTCTTTGATCAGACTGTCGTATTTCAAGATAATATCTTATTTCGGGATATTATGGCGAGGCGAATTTTTACTACTGATTTAAAATATTCAAATATTTTTCCGAAGTTGTTTGGCAATCTTGGTTGATTTATCTTACATGGTAGCCCCACTGGCATCGTTCGTCTTCCAATGTTCCGACACTCTAAAAATCGTTGAGAGCGTAGTCGTCTAATGCCATGATGCTTCAGTCCCTGTCCAGGCACCAGAAATCCTCAAAATTTTTATTGTTTTTAGCTATGATGATAAGTATTTAATAATAATAATAATAAGTATAGGTATTTAAGTATAATTAACCATAATAAGTATAGTATATAAGTATAAGTAACCATAATAAGTATTTTGGATAAATTTTCGGTTCCCTGAACCTGCTAAAATATTTTGCTCTGGTATAGATGGAACGCTGGATTCCATAGTTCTGGGTTTTCCTTCGAATTGTTCACAACAATGACAATTATTATTAACATGACGTTGCATAAAATTATTAGTAGAAAATTACAATAACATGCGGAATGTGAAGAAATTGCATTTAAAATTTACTATTTTCATAGAGAATCATATGATATGGTCAAGCACTTGTTCCGTCCCCAAACTTTAGTATTCTTTTCTAGTTAATATGGTGATCTGTGCACTTAATTGTTTTACAGTGAAAATCCTGAATCTTATTAGGTCACTGGTGAAAGTATGTCGCAATCCACTGTGGTAGAATTTGATATTGGAAAATAAAAGCCAAGGCTATTCATCACTAGCTTCATTAAAAATATTGATATTCGAATGGATGGTCAGTTGTTAAATTGATAATCACCAGTAGAAAAAAATAGCTATCTAATTTTAATGAATAAGGATAATTAAGAAAAATCTCATGGAACATTAAAATTTTATTATTTTTGCTCGCAAATGTCCGTTCTTTTTTACATAAACGTTGGTTATTTGCATCGTTGAAAGCATTCAGCATAAAGGAATGAATAGAGTTTTTCGAAAAATAACCCCAATATCAGACTGATTTCGCAGTTATGACCAGTTTTTCGACATCGAAAACCCACAATTTTTTCAAATTCCAATTGTGAAATTGCAACTATGCAATTTCTATGCAAAACCTACAGAACCTTTGAAAATCATTCGATAAAGCATTCTAAAAAAATTCTTTAATGCTCGATAAAATTAAAAGACAGTTTTTAGAAGAGAAAATAATAAAAAAAGCTGAATGTTAGGAAAAATTCCTGGAAAATCCGGAATTCTTTTTATAAATGGAAATGCAAAATGCTTAAATATAATGCATTTTTCTCGAATTTCGAGATCAACCATATTTTAATATTCTTTCGACCCGAAAAATATTTTCGTCTGAAGCAGCGTTCATTTCACTGTATTGGTTCCAAATAATTTGGATCGTGCAAAATAAATTTCCACGATTTGAAACGGATTTCTCGAAAGGCTAAATGTTACAGTTTTCTGCTGCTTGAAGCAATTTCAATAAACCATCGATGAGAAATTTCAAAAAAAACGAATTTCAGAAATTATGGATGGGCGAATTTTCAAAAAATAGTCTCCCAAAAAAATTAATCGGCGAAAGATTTCATTTAATTCAACAAAAAGCCTGGAATTACGGATTATGAGAGTATCCCAGAAGATGAAATTATCTGTTCATCTGTTCGCATTAAAAACCACGAAGTTGGACGAGTACTTGAAAAATTAGAAGGAAGAAAATTCCCCAAAAGACAAAATTTAAAATTCTCGTCGATTACGATTCAGAATTCAGAAGGGAATTTCAGTCCTAAAATGGAATATGAGCCAAAGGAATTTTTCGCGACTGTCTGAGTTCTACTCTTTCATGCGGCGTATTCTCTTTTTCAGCGCATCCGCCACTTCTTTTCTATTCACACCGCGTCATCGAATGTGAAATTCTCACCAAACTGAACACCGCCATTCGCCGAGGAAAAGTCACATATATCTTTTTCGTTTCACAGAAATTTCGCATTAGTACTTAACAATTCATAATTACAATTACTCCGTGGGGCTGCGGCCGACAATCGACCTTACCGCGGCCGCAGCTTGAAATCTCACAGTTCTTGCGCTAAAATTTAAATTTATTTATTATTGGTATTTTCTCAGAGAATAAATCATACAAAAGAATTTCGCTGATGTGTGAGAAAATTTTTTTGTACAAAAGATTTCTTTTGCAAATGAAAGGAATTTCTTTAAAATTTTGCTAATTTTTAATAATTTTGAAATCGGTCGATTCGTTTGGGGGTGTCGGGTGGGAGGGTGGCGGGGATTTCTTTGAGTTCGGCGAGTGAAATCGGTCGATTCGTTTGAGAATGCGATAAAAACTGTAGTTCCGCATCGCGGGGAGTCCAACAGATTTCGAATCAATGCTATTCGACATAAGCAATTTAAGCGAACTAAATTTGAGCGAAATTTTAGAAACGCATTGCAACTTATGTAGTATGCAGTTTGTGAATGATAATCGAGTTATTCGTCGATCTCTAATTGATGGTTCGAGGATTCATGCAGTAAGCAATTTTCTTTGCCATTTTTCGAGTAGAATGGTAGCTTTCGCTTTCCTTGACATAGCAAAATGTACACTAGGTTGTTGGAAGGCAAATGTTCGATTCATGCATAATAAATCTATTTTTAAAATGAAAAAATTCGGATAGTGCTGGCGAGCCACCTGTCGATCTGGCCCTGTGGCTTCTAAAATAATTCTCTATTTTTGCTGATAGCCAGCGAAGCTAGTCTAACCAGTAATGGTGGGAGCAAATCCCATATTCCGGTTAATTTCATACAATCATACTTCCTGTTAAATTGATCGATTGATCTCGGTCGATTATTTGATTTGACTTCGGAATTGAATTGCCGTTGAATTTAGTGCAGTGACATTGAAAAAAAATGATGGGAATTATGTATCATTAGCATATTTTTGCATTCTATATCAAGAAAAATCCTATTTTAGCCTAAAACTGATGCCGATGACATGAATCTGCAGATGTATATAGAACCACCAACTGAAGATATTACATTGGTCGAGTTTGAAGAAATGGCTTTACACAGACTTAAAGTTTTGAAAAAAATTGAAGAATTAAGAGAGCGATTTGTAAAGACTCCTGAACAATTGCCTGCAGCACTTTCTCGAGTGATTTTTTGCATAGTTTTTTAAATTATTAGATGTAAATGTGTAATTTTTACCTATATGGTTGAATTTATTTGCCCGATTTACTTTTCATCGTGGCTGCTTTTATTTTTTAAAATGCAGTCATATCTTTCAAGTAAAAAAGAGATGCATTTGATCAATATTCACATATCCTTTTTGAATGTAACGAAATCTAAATTTACTTAAAATAATAAATTAATATTTTTACAATACTTTTCATGACAAATTTTCGTTTTGAAGCTTTAAAATTATGTTATCTTTGCAGGAATTGTCAAAACTTATGCCTCTCGCTTGTGGTTTATGTCCACATGAAAAACTTGTAGAAGAGCGAAAGCGTGATTTAATTTCTCATTTTATTCTTCGACTCGCTTTTTGTAAAACGCCCGAGCAAACCAAATGGTTCATTCAACATGAAATTGAATTATTCAAATATCGTTTCCAGTTGGTTGGTTGCTTTTTTAATCAATCTTTTTTTATTATTTTTATTTTTATTAAGGAGAGTTGAATTTATTATTTTAGTTTTATAAGAATAAAAGACTGGAAAATGCTATGAATTTTTTTCTGTTATATTTGTTTTGTCATTTAAACTACAATTTAAACAATTGAAATTTACATCGGAATTCGCTAGATTTTCTTTCTTCCTTTTATTCTTTTAAGTTTTTCTTATTTTACAGGAATCAAAAAATATTTCTGTTATCAATCGATTTCTACAAATACATAAATTTGAGATGGAAATGCTTCATCAGGATGATATAGTTGAAATTGCTGCTTTTTTATCGAATACATTCGCCTATTCAGTGGAAAAAGTATTTCTCAATTCTCAAAATAAATATTGGCAGAAAAGTTGTGAACAATTTTGAATCTTTTTTCTGTTCAGTGTTATTGCTTCTAGATTGTGTCGATGAATTTTTGGAAAATTCCTTTTGTGGATGCTCTTGATTTAATGCGCAAGCGTAAAGTATATTTGCAGTCAGGATATGCTTACGTTTCTCAACAAGATTTGGCTACTATTATATGTACTCGTTTACGCTTAGTTATCTCGTCAGCAATGGCAGTAAGTTTGGTTTTCCATAATTTGTAAATTCATTAATGAAAACTTATGAGGAGCTATTAAAAATTTTCACAGGTTCAATTGTAATAATGTCAGTTTTGACCACTTTTGTAGTTTTAATCTTTTCTGTTCAGCGTGCTTGTAAGTATATTGGTTTCATAGAAGAGGAAAATCGACTGATACCATTATTAAATAAACTTACCAGTAAAATTTATTTGGGAAAAGAATACACTGGTAAAGAAAATGGCACGAAACAAATTACACCAAATATGCTTGATAAAGTAAGTTAGATTAAATTAAAAACAAAGTTTTCATCGCTTTATCTATAATCAATTTTTAATTAACGACGAATTCTTCATATCACTTAATTGTAATTTCTTTCTTGCTAATTATTGTTTTTTTCTTTATATTTAAGCTATCATTAACTTCATTTCCTCTATGTATGCGACAAATTCACGTTCGTCTTCGTCAAGATCATCATCTCAGGCATGGTGCACGAATGCAGTATGGTTTATTTTTGAAGGGCATTGGTTTATCACTTGAAGATGCACTGGCATTTTGGCGTGCTGAATTTACAAAAAAGATGGACAGCGATAAGGTCTGGTTAGTTTTTGCAATATTTAATTCATTTTATAGTTAAAACTTTTAGTTTTCTAGAGTGGGTAAAGCTCAACCAATTATTGCACTAATTTCGTCGATGCTGGGGTAGTACTTTGAGCAAGTCCATCTTTCTAAATCCAGATAATGCTGGTGATTCACTTATATTTATCGCCGGCTATTCCTTGGAAAAATTTTAACAAGCCGGGGGAGCGAGCTTAACCCGAGCGGTGAACTCTCCTAGGAAAAAGAAAAAAATTTTCTTTTTACTTGAAAATTAGTATTTGAACTATTGATTTTTCTGCATTATGAAAATATATTGTGTATTTATCATCAAATTTGACTTAGCGAAAAACAAATATTTTGAAACCAGTTGATATGCAGCAAAAGAAAAATCAAATTTTTTCTTGATGTTTTCCTTGATGAATAAAAATTATCTCATTTTTTATTATTGAATTTTTGTTTTAGTTTGACAAACAATACGCCTACAATATTCGCCATAATTATGGCAAAGAAGGAAAGCGTGCTAATTATTCTGCATATCCTTGCTCTAAAATTATTTTAGGCGCAGCGCCAACGGTTCAAGACTGCCATGGTTTTTCTTACTTATTATAATAAATGAAATGTGGTGATAGTGGTTTTTTTCCGAGAGCTTTCACTTCATGCTTATACTCCGGATCACATAAGTTTTGGCAGGGAGTCATTCAGCAATAAAAATGCAGGTAGATCGCAAACATCACCTAGATTTTCCTCCAGGAATAGAACGAAAAATATAGGAAATGAAAGCAAGAAACATGGTTATAATTTCTTAATTGCTGAATCTATGATACCTCCTTTTCTAACAGCGCCTATTATGACTGATACCTTTTCGCCTGAGAGATTTTTTATTTTCAACAACTGATTCAAGTTAGGAACTAAAAATCGAAGGCTCTTACTGGAGCAAATACCAGTCGCCTTCATAATTTGCAATACTAATATCACTTTTTTTTAGTTTTCTACTATGCTTTGGCCAGTGTTTTTTATATTTAGGGTGTCCTTATCGACACAACGATTCGCGCACTTTGGCAGTGAAACTAGAATCTTTCGGGATTTCTAAAGAAAATATAAATATCGTTGATTTTTTCTAATATTTTAATTTTTTGATCTATTTTTTGAATTTCAAACTTTCCAAATTTCTAAAATTGCCATTTTAGCGTTACAGCACTTCATCGTCGCAGATTCTTTTAAATATTATTAAATTTCAATAGAATTTTATTGTACTAATAGATAAATTTTCCTTATTCTAATTACCAGGAAATATTTCGTTTTCATTATTTGCTGAATGCATAAATTAAAAAATTGAATTTTAAATCATGAAATCATTGTAGATCATCACTCTGGCAAAGTTATCACAGTACGATCGCGCATGCACGCGTTACTTTGAATTCATGCACAACATGAGCGAAGATTCTTTAGGTTGCCTTATTACTCACCCAAATCAGTATTTCGAGCTGTCGCAGAAGCAAAACAACTCACAAATTTGGTAAATGAATTTCAATTTCTCTCATAATTGTATTTTTAATCGCCTCAATTTTCATAAAATTTATTAGCTTTGCTACAATCAGTTATATTCCTTTACTACGTTTTTCCCTTATTTTGCCTTCATGGATACTTGATTATTATTTATTTTTTGTTTTTCAGTGATACTCGACTTATATCCATCTCATCCCAAGAAATAAATATTGAAAACGAAATTTGATTCAGAATTTTGAAACTTATTTCTAAAAAAAAATGAACTATATAAAACAGATAACAAATTAGTTTAATCCTAAAATAAAATAAGATTAAAACGAACAGAGAAACCTATAAATTATATCTCGAATTAATGAACTGAAAAATTTTTTCTTGTTATTGTTATTATCAATTTCAAATTAAATAAAGAACATCAGAATAAGGTGATTTGACTTGGAATTGGGAGTATGAATTAAGAAGTAATCCTAATTCTAAAAAATTTTTAATACTTTCATTTTTCTAAAAAGTATTGAATATTCTGCTAAACGATATGTTGAACAAAACTGTGCTATATTAATGTCTCATTTTTTAATTTTTTTAATTTTCAATTTTAATTTAAAAATACCTTTTATACTGTTTATTTTTGAATAAAAATTTGTAAAAAGCATTCACAAGATGTAAAAATAAATTTAAGACGGTTTCGGTCGTTCCTTCGAAACGAATTTGACCTGCATAAATTTCAATCATTAATATCAGTAAGATCTTATATCTCATTTTTAATTTCTAGGTTTTTTTGAAATACCAGTATAAATAAACAATGGGGGAGTATCTATGCACAAAGGAATAAATCTAACTTGCTGATAAGAATTATAGGAATAATCAAAAAACAACTCTTCACCGGTACTAATAGGTCTTTTAGCGAATATACCAATACGATGATCTCCATTAACCATAAATACCTGAAAAATGAATCAAATTCTCCATTATTGTCATTAATCCTCTATTAATCGGTCGACAATTATAAAATTTTTTCTTTGTTAGATTAAGCTAAGTGGTTTTTACATCCAATATATTTCTTACATCCAATATCTAAATTCACAATAATCACTAAAGTGCATAAATATGTACAATAATTATCTCGAGATAAACGAAAATATTCAACAAATATCAATATTTAACAAATATTAAAATAAGAATAAAAAATTATTAAGAAAACTTTTACATCCAATATATTGCACATATAGCAAAAGCTAATAATGGTAATTAAGCAGAGAAATAAAAGAGAAACTAAAATATATTAACGAAAAATCAGTGACTAAACAAAATGTTTAAATTTAACACTATAACTATAACTGAAGTTTCCAAAGAAATTTGATACCTTAGCCATACAGTTCGGATCTTTTGAATGATTTGCAAAACGAATAACGTTTCCTTTTCGGGTTGCATCAACGACCATTTCATCATTTAAACCTGAAAATCAAAAAAAAAAAAAAACATGAACTAAATAAAGTCAACTAAATAACAATATTGGTGATATTAAATTATTATTAATATTTTTCTTAACATAGTTAAATATAGAAAAAATATGGCGAGCTTACCGAATAAATAGCTACATTTCAGTTTATCATATATTTTTCCTCGTCGCTCGCTTTCGTCATGAGAAATCACTTCGCCGCAATATTCAGATATAAAATCATTCTTCTCAATGTCTTCTTCGGTAAAACAACCCCATCCAGCAACCTAAATTCACAATAATCACTAAAGTGCATAAATATGTACAATAATTACCTCGAGATAAACGAAAATATTCAACAAATATCAATATTTAATAAATATTAAAATAAGAATAAAAAATTATTAAGAAAACTTTTAAACGTAGAATAAATAGAATAAACCTGAGAAGGTGCAATAACCAGCTTTTTTTGAAGGCCACGTTGCATTGCAACATTTTTGCAGGTTACGACAGTTGGATCATCAAGAACATCTATAAAAATGAAAAATCTCTGTTTTATAGGAGAATTTCCAATATAATTCTGATTTTGGAAAAAATTTTAGTTTATAAAATTTAGAATCAAGTTATCCAAATATTTTTTTGATAAAAATTCCACCAAATGATATTTACAAAATATTACCGCATTTACAAGATTTGCAGGTATCTGGATCGCATTCCCAGTTAGCATAAAAACACTGACATTGCTTTGTGCGACAAAGACCTGGCGCACATCGGCAACCTGGGAATCTATAGCGGCATTGATCACCACATCGACAAAACCTACAAAAGCAAAACATTAACAGCGAAGACCCATATTTTATCAATGTCATGAAATTGAGATAAAATAAAGTGAGAAAAAATAATTTATATTGAAAATAAGAAAGCAAACGAGAAAGATTATAAAAAAGCAATAAAAACAATTATTAACCAAAGTAAAAAAATTCGAAAACTTAGAAAAATCAATCAAACATACTTAGTGCATAGGTTATCAACACGTACACAAGAACATTCATTTTCGATTGTACATAGACCTGAATGTGAGCAAGGTTCATAAACATGAGTATTCCCAACTTTGCCTTCAGTCTTAGACCATTTGACAGCTCGGAAAGTACGATGTTGATCCCTTGTAGTTCTAAAAATAAAGAACTACGAAAATAAAAAATAAAAAATTTTTAAAAAAAATAGATAGAGAAATAGAGAATACATAAGATAAAAAATATTTTTTTATAAAGATAAAAAATAAAACAAACCATTTATTTAAGAATTTTATTTACCTTTTCTTTTTGGGCGAATTAGGAGATGTATCAGCTCTTGGCGAAATAGGTGCCGTTCGGAAAGAATAAGCATACAACTTAAAATTCCATATATATTCAAATTTTAAAAATTTGCCAAATTTTTTGCGGGGATGGAGGTTGAGTTTGATTTACGACAATAAATGAAAGATTATTTATTCATCCGTCAAAAATTCTGATGAAATAACTTATATTAAAATATTATAATATTAATATATTAAAATAATATAATTTTGATATATTAGAATATAAATACTACTAAACAGGACAAATTTTTTCACATGAAATCATATACCAAACCATGTACCTCTTTACAAGTTTTTGGTATACTTCCAGGGATTGCTACGTTCATCATTTCAGCAATTTTGCAAAAATCATTTTTGAACGTTCGCCTTAATACTGCGAACATTGTTTCCTGCCGAGGGCTCCATGTATCGCTTTCTGTTTTTACGTTTAATATTGCATCGACTGTTTTTGCACTTGGCGAAACTGTAGCACGTCGTCGAGCTTCTTCCTGCAAATAATATGCAGTTTACAATCTTACTTTCTAAATTCATTATACGACTTTTTTTCTAAAAAAGGCTTAAATATTAAAATCGTTGAAATTTTCCGTATTCTCAAAAATTATAAATACCATTTCTTTAACAGAATGTTTAAAGCAGCTTGGACCACAGGCTTCCACATTTGTTGTACTTCGTTGGCGATGAGATTCACTTTCACCAGAATTGACACCTGAAACGCGAATATTCAAAGGAACTTCCATTAATTTTTGTTGCTATTTCATTCCAATAAAAATGATAAAATATTTTTAAAAATAAATATAAAATAAAAATACAAAAAAAATATAAAATAAACGAACCATGAAGCAGACAATCATAAGTGAAGCAGCGATTACAGAGTAGCAGTTGGAATGAGTGCAAAGCTCGAGCGTCCATGTAATCTTCAGTTAATAGTTCTTCACCCTTCGTATCTTCAAAACTATATTTTCGTCGTAAATCAGCATATCTAAAAAAAACCATGGAAAAAAGTGGAAAAAAAAATTTTTCTGAGAAATTTCGAGAAATTGAATCAAAGCACTCGCAAAGGTGTAATAACTGAAGAAAATGAGTGGAAGTAAGAGCGGAAAGGAAAATCGAATAATATATTTCATTTTGTTCTTGTTATTATAATACATATTTAACAATAAAATGAAGATAATTCGAATTAGATCTCACAAAAAAGGCAAATGCTCCACTGAAGCCTTGTTGGGGAATCGTTCATAAACAGCACGATAGATCATATCAGGGTCTGAAGAAAAAGGACTGAAATTTCAGAAAAATTAAGATATTATATTTAAACAGCAAAAATTGTCATCTTTAATAAAAATTTCTTGTAAAAAAACTTTCATTTAAAAAAATATAACTCAAGTAACATTCCAAAAACGAAATAACGCAAAGGTCACTTGAAAAGATTACTCTATAATTACTACATTAAAGTTCCAACAGATGAAGTGTCATTTTGAAATATCACACACCTTCACTACGTTTCTTCATCAATCTTTTTAACAAATGATAAAGCATAAAATCATTGATAAATTCGCCACAACCTTCTCTTGTACCATGTATTCCCTAAAAATTTTATTTATATTTTAAAATTTATTTTTAATATTTCTTAATAAACTAACAAGTTTTTTAATGCCTCTTCTGTTAAGTAAGACCTTTAGATGAAATTATACTATTCTCCACGCTTTAAACAATAAACACAAAAACAATTATAAAAAAAAAATGAAACAAGTTAACCTCTTCAAATGTTTTTAAAAGTTCTTCACAGAAACCTGCGTCATCCTCATTATCACCCAGAAATGGTATATGAGATAAGGTACGTTCATCTTCGCACTAAATTTAGATAATGATCACATGCCTAAGAAAGTCTAATAGTTTAGACAAATGATAAATGATAATGATATATAACGACAAAAACTAAACTTCATAGCCAAATCTAGATCTAAATTTTTTTTTTTTGACCTGTGTTGTATTTTATACTTTCAGTCATAACGATAATATTTTAAGTTATTTCTTTTAAAAAATGGTTATCACAATATAGTCCATATTAGAACGATTTTGAGGTGACCATGCGACTGTTTTCACATATTTTATCTTCTTCCTTCAAGATATTAAAAAGATTTAAAAAAACTGCAAAACAATGCCACATTTTATCAATTTTTTCTTGAAAATATAGCCATTTTTCATAAAAATACTTTCATAAAAAAAATTATTGTGAATGTGTAATGGACTTATTATAGTTATTTTCGAATTTAATAAACATTGTAAAAGTTTCTAAGTTTTAATTTCTAATATTAAAATAAATTAAATACCCATGAAAATAAAAGATTTTCGGGATTTTTAATAATTTTTGAAAGCTTTAAGAGTTCTCAAAGAAATCTGAGAATCTACTGTTCTAAAATGGCATAATTTGAAGTGGTATCTAATTCGACGAACCAATTAAAATTTGATAAAATGAATAAGACTGTGACTACACCAACAAAATTTTAATTGTTATAAAAAATTACCATTATATTACTTTCAGTAAGAGTCCAATATTGCATTCGAGGTGTTGCCATAACATGTTCTAAACATTTCGTTGGGCATGTCTGCAGCACTGCGTTTGTGACCGACCGAATAGAAAATATCGTCGGCTGTTCATGGGGTGGTTTTAAATTCAGTGGTCTTATTTTCGATTTCACCTATAAAAATAAATATCAAGAAACTGATCGCCTTAAAATTTTGCCAATTTTGTCACAATGAAAAATTAATTTCTAATCTAAAAAATCTTATGACTTTCAATCAGTGCCCTGCCTTCCCTCATGAATGTCACAATTATTTTTTCTGTTCATTTTTGGCCACCGTATATTTTAAAAATGATTTTAGAATTAAAAAACTCACCACTCAATAAATGAATAATTAAGCATAAAATATAAAATTAATAATGAATTTCTTACATTTAACATTTTTAGAATGAGGTATAGAAATTGAATCATCTCTTTTTTAAAAAAAAACCTATCATCTTAATATAATTAGCAAAATACTAACCACATATTTCTTTGGATATCCTGAATTTATCACCTGCTCAAACAATTTCTGAAATAATTATTTATTTTACTATTAATATTTAATATTAATTTAAAGAGCAAGATTATTTATTAACAAAGGGAAGGGAATACATAAAATAACAGTGTAAAAATATTTCCAAACACTTTCAATAAAAATCAAAAAATTCATATAAATATTTGTAAAAAATTATTTATAAAAAGTAAATAATTTTGCCAAAAACTGCTATACCAAGCCCTCTGTTTTAATCAGTTTTCTATAACCAGTTCTGATTTCCGCATAAATTGCCAACACATCATCCAATAACTCTTTCGGAATAGATTTCTTTTCAATATGAAATCCATCAGAACTTCGGCTTTCACTGTCTATGTCACCATTGAACACCTTAATTACTTAATCTTTCCATTAAAAAATTAATTAAATATTAATATATGTAAAAAATTAAAATTAATTAAATTTCTTCTAAATTGACATGACCACTGACATGAGATAAAGAGAAAAATAGGTGACTGAAGCAAGTCTGCTCTCAATTTCTAAGATGGATGGCGCGCTATTACAAATATTGCAGAGTTGGATTTCTGAAGATTTTTGCCTCACCTTTGCTCAAATTACTACACTGCGTGATAGCAGAATGCATCCTAATCAAATTAGAAATTGAATTTGCGCCACCGAGTGATTGTTGACCAAAGGGATGCATGAGAATAATGTACTAGTAACCGTTATATCGACTCTTCCACTCTGTTTTTGATTCGATCGATATTCGGTATTAATTTAATGTTTTAATGTTAACCAGGCCTCGCTCTGGTAAGCCATGGAACAAAACGTAATTCCGGAGAAAATAATTAGACTTATTAAATTATATGTTTACGGGAAATCAAAATAGATAAATCGAATACAGGGTAAATCACTTATCGACAGAGATCAAGGGGATGTATGCAAAATCAAAGCATAGCATCACGAACAGGCTGATGACGTTCCAGTAGTGAAAATTGATTTTTAAATCAATATGAATAAAACGAAACTCGTTTACGCTGATAGCAATTTCTACAAATTCATAACTGGTTTAAAAAGTGTCAGACTAAAATATCTCGGAATCTTTGAACTAGCTAGGCGAGAAATCACAGATAAAAATGTAGAATAAATATATGGAGTGGTTCCTTTCATCCGGTGAAATCGGAATGAAGGTTCATAGGTTCTATAGCACCTATGACTAAGAAACATACCAATAACAGTAGAAGATTTCTGACTTTTGTAAGTAAGTAGCTCTCTGACAAAAGATTTCACAGAAACTCAGCAAAATAATCAAAACAGAAATGGTGAATTATGAGAAAAAGAATGCTTAAAACTTACATTTAAATCGTTCCTTACGGTTCGTCGTTTTGTTATTCGACTATTGTGAGCATCGATATTCGACGTTCGTTTACGACTCGATCTTGCATTCATTGTTAAATAAATAAGTTCGACTGAAAAATGGAAAATATTTTTAAAAATTAAATAGAAAAAGGAAAAATCACGAAATTCAGAGATTTCAAAATGGATTTTCAATAATAATATTTCTAGGAATTTTTCAATAATAATAAAAAGAAACAAGAAAAAAGAAAAAATAAAATAATTCCGCAATTTTTGCAGGAAATGAAGAAAAAAATAAAATTACGATACAGAATTACACATTTTTCTTTCGATTAAATTTTATTCCTCGCGGTGATGAATTTATTTCACCCTTTCCCCTCCACCGCCAGTTCATCCCCTCCTCTTCACTCTCTCCCCCTTCTCGCCTCCCCCGTTCATCCCCCTCCTTTCCTCCCTTTTCTTCTTTCCTCTAGTATTCATCAAAACAGTTTTAAAATCCAAAATGAGATCTATGAAATTTATTAAATTTATTAAATTTATATTTATTTATAATAAATTTATCTATGAAATTTGTGGAAAAAATGGAAAAAAAATAAATCTAGGAAATTTTTCAAGAAAATTTTCGTCGAATTACTTTCAGAACGTAAAAAATAAAAATAAATTTTCAACCTATAACAGTCGATTTTGCCTATAAAAGAACCCCAATAAACCTGAATCAACCAGTAAAATGGAATCTGAAGCCGATAATTAGAAATTGGATGAAATGCTATTGTATTATCGACGGCAAATTAAGTGAGCAGATAAGCTGATTGTGATAACGGTAAGTAGGAGTGGAGAGAAATAAGCGAGCATTAGGCGAAGAGCGGTGGAATGCGGGAAAGGGAGAGAATATGGTCGTCGGCTTGTTGGTGGCTCGATTAGTGCCATCAAATTGGGCTAATTAGACTCCGTTCGCTACAAGTATATCGTAATTTTTGCCAGGCCGACACTTTGCTGGTGGCTCGCTCCAGGTTTTTGATGGAGGGTTTGTTGCTATCGGGGCAATACCTGTTCATTATCCATTCAGCCATATTGGGCCTCGAAGCTCTGCGAGTTCGCGATAAGTTGACAAAGCCAGCGGTTGAAGCCAGCGAAAATGCCTTAAGGAAGTGCACGAGATGTCTAAGTTTGAATTCCAATGGAACTAAAGAAAAAGATATATTGGATGAAATATGGTACTACCTGCAAACGCGATAAGCGATGGAGAAGAGCGCGGGTGAGTTTTTGAAGAGCTGTCATTAATGGGAGTGGAAAATCTGGATTCGAAGAGTTTTTAAGCAGTGAGGATGAATTTTGGATAATAGAGAAGTTGCTTCGACTGATCTCAAACATACGCTTATGATAATTTTTTTTTAAGAGACCTCACCATTACTGGTTCACTGGCTTGTCGCACTGGACAAAGGGAGTTCCTTGGCGATAGAAATATAGATGGGTCGCCAGCATCACCCGGATTTTTGTACACGTCCTGCGGCATATGATAATCGAAAAAGAAAGTGTCATTTATCTTCCCCAAGTGGTTCTACAACGAAGAGACAAACAGCCAAGCCAGAAATTCTCTGCTCTGTTAAAAGTATGCAAGTTTTCTCGTAATTTTAGGAATAATTTTCTCGTTATGATGCAATTTTGAATAGAATTAGTTTTTGTGGTTTTAGTTTTTTTTGTAACTCGAGTGGAACTGAAGACCAGTGCATATTTCTTAGATCACAAATCTCGAGTGGCGAAGAGTTTCATTTTTATACACGCAGCGCTACGAAATTAGTTGAGTGCACTAGAAGCAAGAGTTTAGCTACTAGGTCAAGACGCTCCCCCGATTTTTCGAATATCCATAAATCATAAAACGGTATTTACTCGGTTTACTCAAAATATCTCCTGACTATGTCGATTTCAGTCTTAAGCGAATTTCGCTTTTCGATGCTGTCCAATGTTTGACTTCTAGTGAAATATGTAATAATCTCGAAAGCATGACATTTTGTTAAGGTGCTTCGACACATTTGGTGTTGCGATGTTTTTCCGATGAAATTTATTCTTTTAATTCAGGGATCCCCATCCGTCGGAGAAGTTATTTATTATTTTAATTACTTTTTGCCATCAAAACATTTTTTAATGAAAACCATTTTCTTAATGAACCTGCAATTAATTTCTGAAAAAGTATTGTCAACAACTTTGCGTCCGTTTGTTTGGTAAACACAGGAAAACACATAGGCGGCCTAGCGATATATAAGCTTAGAGGATGGAAAAATGAGTGGTTTTGCTACTCTTAGAATGGAATCATTGGAATGGAATCAGATGGAATGGCGTCATGGAAACCACTCTAGCAGTAATGATGTGAACTGTTAGAAGAAAAATTATTACAAAATATACCGAAATTAAATGGCACGGAAGTGACATTTCATCTACGCACCACAAACATAGAACGATTCATTTTATAAGGTTTTGATTTAATACAATACATTATTTAGAAATTAATGCATTTGCAATAATTATGGATACAGTAAATAAATGTAAAAATTTCCTTGGTACCAATTAATAGTTTATTGATATGCAAGGTTTTATTTTCCATCATTTTAATGAAAAAATGGAGTTAACAATTATTATTCATTGCTAAAATTGGAATAAAACCTCTGATATATACTTTTCATATTAATGTCATTTAGAAATGTCATTAAGAATTTTTTTTCAAAGCAATTGTTACTGCATGAATTTCATTTTAGAGAAAAAATGTTCTTTTTTTTTTACCATGCGCTTCAGTTAGTTTAATGGATGGAGGGAAATATAGCACAAGTGAGAAAAATATTCATAAAAATGCAAAAGTACGACAAGATATGTTTGTTAATCGTCTCAATGCGTCCTCAGCCTTTTACGAAAATTTGTAACCAAACAAACAGACTACAACGAAAATCCAGTTTTATCTGAAATTTTTTCATTTTATATTAAATTTTCCATTATAAATTTCAAACATTTAATCCGAATATATTTAATATTTTTCATCGCACTGGTTGTATTCATTCATGATTTTCTCGGCCTTAATCATTTATCTCTTATGATAATCAAATTATCATTATGAATGCTGAGGAAGGTGGTTGCTCACTAAACAACGAAGGCAAATATTAATTCTACTTGTTCGAAGCAATTAGCATCCTTTTGCGATTGCAGTCGGTCGAAAATTCTCATCTAAATTCTTTACTAGTAATTGCTTTTCTTTAGAAGGAAATAATTATTCAATCAGATTGCTCTTTTTTATCAACTAAGAATCTATTAATGGAATCCTTTATTTGTCGTTTTATGTTTTTTTTGAATTTTTTCGAGTTTGAATTTTTTAAAATTGGTTATTAGAATCATTTCTCACTTAAGGAAAAACTAATTCAAATGATAAAACAACCATTTTCTTCGTTCTCTCTTATCACATTTTTTCAAAATAGCCATTAGATTTTTATTATCATCTTTTAAAAACACTTTGTGTAAATATTCCGAATTTTCAAGAGAAGAAACCAGAATAAAATGCCCAAAAGTTTGGGCTCATTTACTATTACATTCCTTGATGAAATACTTAATCTGCCGGAATTCGTGAATTTTGAAAAAAATTTTAATGTCCATAATTTAGGTCTTCTTGAATTTTACAATTTTTTAAAGTTAGGTAGCCAAATGGCGAATTAATTATAGAAATGTTGGAATTAAATAGGAATTAAATTTATAGTTATTAAAGACAAAGCATATTGAATTGAAAATATTATTAAAAAAATATCAAATATTTCAATACATTTTTTATCCTTTTCCACATATTTCTTATCATATTTGCACATGTCTATAAGCAGCATCTAATATGCTTATTAGCTTCTTATTATTAGCATCTTTTACCATTGCATTGACATTGAAAAGACCAGTAATTTATTCATTGACTGGTATGATAAAAGCCTAAGCAGCGCCTTAAGCACCCATCCTTATACCCAACCTTCAACTTTTGCAATTTATAATTAATAATGAATTAAATCTATTTCAACTTGAATTTACATGTGAATTTTAATTTCAGGTTTATGACGTTGAAAAATTTGCAAAAATAAACAAGGTGCAGCGAAATCTCTTCGCCCTAATTGGTCATTCGATGCAGTTCATGCAGTTTGCTGATGAAATAATAATACAATGGTCGCTTTTTTTCATATATTTTAACAGCATATTAGCCAACAAATTCCATTGTTTTGAAAAGATTCCTCCTTCCACTTTGATTAGGCTTCCTTTAACATCATATTAATGCCGCTGTAAAAGATAATAGAATAATAAATGATTGTAGCTGAATGGTGCTTGCCTGCCACGCATCAATATTTTAGAAAACACTTGATCTAGCTGCTTTATCAGGACAACAGTAGAAATATTAATATAGACGGAAAATGGATGGGAATCCCATCAGTCGCTCTAATTCTCAGTCGAACCTATTTTTACTCTCTTTTTTACCCTTTTTTATTCCTTTAGATCAACTCACTTGATATTTTATAGTTTGATTATCACCGTACGTAATAAGAAAATGTTCTTCACCTCATGCCTCAAACTTGGGTAATTAAACCTCAGTAATATATTTACAAGAAAAAATAATCATATTCGATATAAATTAAATCCAAAGATTAAAAAGACAACTATCTCAAAAACAAGTAAAAAATGAACAAATAATACAAAGGATCGTAAATAACAAAAAAAAACATTGAAATATTGGGACCCAACCGCTTGGTTGCTACACAACGAGAAAAAGAAATAAAAATTTTTAGAAGTGTATTCAACTTCTATAAATTGACGTTAATGGTTTATTGACATATGTAAATGGAACAAATAAAGAATTAATTAAGTTAATGAAAGGTTTCTTTTGGCGGGTCGGAGTCACCAGTTTGAAATTTAGAAAAAATATCGCATTTCGCGACAGTCGCTATCTTCGAGCTACCAATAATGCACAAAGAATATCGTAAGAGTTATTTTCAAATGCATAATAACCATCGTTAATGTCGCGTTAGAAATACCAGTCGATTGTTTCAACTGCAACATAAAAGAGCGATTTTAAAAATTACTCTTTAATGGTTTTTGAAATTTTTTGTAGATAAAGAGATCCATTCAAAATCCATTCCAAAAATTTATTCTATTATTCTCAGAAAAAAATTACACTAGGGCACTATGTTCGGAAAAAAGCGAGAACAAACTCAGCAGGTAGTTACGAAACAGAGAGGTTTGGTTTGCTTAGTACCGAAGTTGTCCACACTTTTAGAAATCTCTCCAAAAAGGAAACTTCAATATATTCCTTAATGCTCGCAGACATTTCCCCGAACTTCCCCTCAGAGCTCGCTGTCATTTTCAGTCATAATCAACGATTCAGTACCCTACCACGCTGTGGTTACCTTTCTAATGCTTCTCAATTAGCTTTGTACAGGCGTAACAGGCCTTCCTATTCCTAAAATCCCATCAGTCGCCCTAATACTCAGTCGAACCCTATTTTTATTCTCTTTTTTATCCTTTTTTTATTCCTTTAGATCAATTCCTTTCCGTTTGTTTAACCGATAAACTTCACTTTTCAATTAACCTTCTTTAAAATATCGTTGAAGTCGAAACCTCGCAAATTCATTGCTTTTTTTCGAACTTACCAAAATCCGCATTTTTTGCCATAACCTCTTAATAATACCACTTTAAATATAGCTATTTTTTCCGAAAAACTTCCTTAAATATCTCCTTAACTTCAAATGTCAAATGTCGTCGCTATTTTATTCTAAAAGTCTCTGAAAATTTCACCGAATCCAGTTGCTGATTTTTTAAATTTTTGTATTTTTTTGCACTTTTTCCATTTTTCTAAAATATTCTTCCTTCATTTTTCTGTCCGTTACTATAACGTGTTATATTTTGCATATTTTCGGTTGCAGTTTAATGCTGCATGGATTGTAATGTATTTCGATCATGTTAACTTCCGTTCCGTTTGATCACTTCCGTTTGATCATCTTTTAACGAATTAGAGGGGAATAATTAGTGGGAATATATTGTATATTATTGAACAGTGGGGTGATACTGAGGCTGTGACGGAAAATGGATGGGAAATGGATGAAACGGAGGAGATTACGAAAGGGAATTAAGAGAGTTTATGAAATTTTGAGGGAATATTATGAGGTCTGATTGTTTTTAGAAAATTCTGTTGTTTTTCGTCAGCTTCCTTAGCTTGCAAAAATCATACTATGTTCTTCTGCCATCATTCCAGGTAAAGTGACACGCTGACTAGAAAATCTGCCTTTGCTTTAACATCCCTCTCATACCACTGTACTTTCTAAATATTTCCCAAACTTTTTTGTGCGTATCATCATACTTCGAGACTCTGTTATTTCCGCATAACACACCTTCATTACATTTCGTTATACTTATTTCCTGAATTCGCTTTTGAAACTCTTCATTTCTCTAATTTCTGGATCGCGCTCAGTTTATCTAAGGCTTTTAGCCTTGATATCCTATAAAATTTTGTAGCATCCCTTTAATACTTCTCAGACTTACTTGTTTTTATATATGCATGGTTCATTCATTCATAATAATAATAGTAATTAATAATAATAATAAATAATAATAATAAATAATAATAATAGTAATAATAATAATAGTAATAATAATAATAGTAATAATAATAATAACAATAATTAATAATAATTAATAATAATTAATAAAATAATAAATAATAATAATAATAAAATTCATACATCATAATAGGGCATTATCATAATAATAATTAGTGAAAACGCAGTGATTTAAAGCATTATATTTTTACTTGAATATCGTTTAGCTTCTCGCATATGAGAAAATTTATTTTCCTAACGCATTGACCGTCCTTTTCCTTTTGTAATTTTCAGTTATGCACTTACATTCTAGAACACACACATCAAGTGAAAATATTGGCAGCGCATTGTTAAAACGAATTATCGTTTTTATAGAGCATATTAGTTCCGCAATTTCTTCAACTTTTCGACATGCAACATCAAAAATCCTCGTACCAAGTGAACAGTTGCCTTGCTTGCAAATTGTTTGACCATGTCAGCGGCCGAATCGCAGAAAAGCCTCCAATTAAAACTTATTTTCGCAGTTGCGGGGTTATTTCTAAGCCACTTAATTTCTTTACAATAAACCGTTATTAAAATCATATCGTAGAAATTGCAAAAAAAGAATTCGATGAAAGGAAACGGCAAGCTTATAAAGACTAACTAAAATAGCCAAGACGATTTCTGACAGCATTAGGTTAACAACGAAAATTGCCAAAAGACTTATTATTCTTGTTTTGTCTATTTTAAACTAGTTTTCACCGATCATTCATGAAAGATTATTTTGTGCTATGGTACTGAAAGTTCTCGCTCACCTATTCCTTATGCATTTGTTCAATGAGATTATCCTCGAATTGAACCTATTTTTAGAATATTTTAGAAAAAATATTTGTAATAATAAGCCATGATTTAACATCAACAGTTTCCTTGGAATATTTAACAGTGAATAGTAAATATCTGTGAATTTAACGATTTATCAATATTTTTATATGAACTTGCAAAATACATTATTTTATATACTTCCAACCCTTTTGCAAAAATTAGGAATATTACATGATGCATGATGCATATTTAGAAACAGAAAAATTTCTTTAGAATTCTTTAGAATATTATTATCTGATCTTTTCCATGAAAGAAATAAAGAAATATAAAATTTTGTTTTAAATGGATCGAAACTAGATCCTTGATATCATGTTGAGAGTAGTTTAAATGCGCTTCTCCCTCTGTGCAATTCGGCTTCAAACCAGTAATGATGGATTTTGCTGGATATTAGATATTAAATGGCAAATCAGTTTGCGACATCCATATATAAAAATAATTATTTTAAAATTAAAAATTTATATGAAAGTCTTATGGAAATTATATTTTTTACTCGACAAAGCTACTTTTTCGTCATATCCTATCTGTAAAAAAAAGTGTGTTTCAAGCCGCATTAAATTATAGAAGAGAAGCTATTGTATTTAGCCACCACCCACCACTCAGGGTTAAAAGTGGTGTGCAGGTTCTCAACAGCATATAGATTCAATTTCGATGCCAGTTTGCTCCCTCGAAGGAACATAAAATGAGATCAGTGGAATCACACCACCGATCATCCCACCCGATGTCATTCAAGATCATATAATATAAAATACTATGAATACTGTAATACTGAAAATACTGAAATTATATGGCTGTTTCCACTGTTTTTTTTAAAGAAATAAATAATGGGGAAGAAAATAGAATTCGTTTTTGGATTGATTAAAGAAGGATTAATAATTTTTAATGCGCTCTGTTTTCTATCCCTTGAAAAGGTTATCCTCATATTGGTCCTTTTAATTGGACTTACACCGGATGTATTATTATCAACACTGGTTTATTTTTTTTTATAAAATAGTTGCTGGAATTGTTTATAAATGGCAACCATCTCTACATTCGAACCTTAGAATACAGCACTTATATTGGTACTTTTTTATTCCTTTGATTGAATGCATTTTTGAACTTCAGTATCAGCGTAAGATGGCCCAACATTGATTGCCCTATTTTCTATTAAAATGGCTCTTCATCCGTAATGAATTAGCTAAAGTTGCTAAAGTAAGACTGCTTCTGAATTTTGTAAATTTATGAAAATTGTGCTTAATTCTTCTATCAAAACTTATTTAATATTGCCGTAGTACTGAGAATTGATTTGTAATTAGTTAGTTAATTTAGACCTTTTTTTACTATAATTTCCATAAAAGATGTTTAAGCTGCTCAAAATAAAAAGGAGTGTCGGATTGAGTGTCTATCAAAATAACGGTGCCTAATACATCAAAATATGCACAGTGATAGCATAAGCACAATTAATATTACTGAGATGATCGTAAATGTGCCTTAAAGTGCCATTTTTGCTTATTAATCTTCGGGATATTAAATTAATGAGTGCGCCATTAGTTAGGTTGTTGTTTGGAGGACTATAGTTCCATTCATTTATCTGGCAAGAGTAAATTGGCCATTAAAAGATTACGCTGTTTGATATTTTAAGTCCAAATAATGGCTTAATGAAAAAAGTTCCTTTCTTCAAACCAAGAAGCCTTACTCTAGCCAATAGCCAATGAAGCGAGTCTAATTAAAGAAAATGAAAATTAATTTTAACTAATCTTAAAGATGGGCTCATAATTCATTTTTAATATTAAATGATGGTAGTTTTGAATTATTTCCCATATAAATTAGTGCAATTTGTTCGACCATCATTATTCTAACCAAAGGAACTTATAAATTTCTTTTTAACCAGCGTTTCTTCGCTTTGAGAAGATTTAAGGTGGAAATCAAGGAATGATTTCTTTTCATCTTTTCCTCATGATTTATGGTGATTTCTTGTTCTCTTTATAGTTTCCAATACGCTGAATAGTTCTGATGGATCAGCTGTTACATAAAATTTCAGAATGATAGGAATTTTCTTATTATTCGCATCAACCTATTATGGAAATGCTTTGAATTGTACACAGTACAAATATGCAACGAATTCATCATCATGTACAGAAGATTGTGAAAGTGACTTGTGCTATATTGGTGATTTTTTCATACTTTTTAGCACTTCTTTTTTAGAGACTATTTAACCTTCATTATCAATGTATCTGAGAAATTTAATGAGCAGAATGTTGTCCAAAATTAGTAAATTTTTAACCTATGGAATCTGCATTAGATAACCAACAAATATTCAAACGATTGGATTTTTGCTGTTGATAATATTGCTCTTAAATAGTTTGCAGTTGAGAAAAAACAACTCATACCGCCCGCCAGCGATTATCGAAAAAGCTTTCTTAGTTTTCTCTAGAAACGGAAATTTGAAGATGCATTATTGCAGTCATAAATTTCCTCACGAAGTTCACAATAGATTGCTAAAGTGATAATGCAGATAAAATTTTCTGAGAGCTGAATAAGGAACATCTGCCTGATAAAAGTATTTGTTTATTATGTTGTTTGAAAGAAGGAAATGCCGAGTCCAAATTTCAGCTGTGAACAGCGAGAAAAGCGAAACGATGGCTGCTGGATGTGTTGAGACCGGTGAAATGCCACTTGAAATGTTTAATGAGAAAAATCTGTGCCAGAAAAAAGATACATTCGTCGTTTGCATTTGTACTACATTTGACAGATGCAATACTCTCGAAGAAATATTGAATGGTGCTTTCCAAGAAGTTTATGCATCATTTCTTACCGAGAATTATCAGTTTTTACCGATCAGTTCAAGTAGTAAGTCTTCATAGAAATATGGTGTTTAAAGAAGAATGAAATGACAAGCAGTCTTGATAAAAATCCTCGATAAAAATTCAATTTATATTTCATGATTTTCTTGATTTTTTCAAATTTTTATTTGGAAGAAACAATTGATATTTTCTCTTGAGACTAAGCAAGACCAACAATTATTTTAACTGAATGCAAAGTAGAATAAAATTGCTCTCGAGAAAATAAAAAATATGCAGTGAGTAAGTGGCGAAAGGATCAAGATTTCGTTGACTGCTAATTATTTCCCATTTAGCTGACGATGAGCTCATCAACATGACCGAGGCTAATTCTTGCGCAAATCGTTTGGCCATTGCATTCACCGGAAATTATGAAAAGTGCGAAAATATTCGAGCTCACAGAGGAAAAAATTTATGATTATGAAGTCGAAAATATTGAGTTATCATTAGTCATAAGCAAATTGTTAGATTAAATCTGTTGTTATTTAGTTCACAAAAGTCTCAGGTTTGTTAGTTTGATGATTTTGAGTTTTTTTCCAATTTGATCAAAGATATCTTATTTTTTAGTGCGACAAATAACGGCGATTTTCTGTATCAAATTATCGATAATGGAACGAATGGGATAATTGAAGGGAAAAAAATTCCAAAGAGTGGTCCATCGTTTCTTGCAATTGATGCTGCAGCAAGCAATGATCCTACGGCTGGGAATAATGATTCATTGAATGGCGATGTGAAAATGGGAAAAAATTCGCTGATCGCTGAAGAAAAGAGTGCAAAGCGAGAATAACGTTAAGACAAGAAGATATTTTTCTAATTTGCCGGATTCTGCTTAAATAATTTCGAATAATGAATTAATTTACTAAACAAATGATTAACATGAAAAATTTTTCTTTCACAACAAATATTTAAAAATTTTGCTGCTCCCTCATTCTGTGAAGTGGATTTGACTTATTAGAAAGAATAACCAAGTCAATTGAGCGAAGCCACGAGACCATTTTATACTTAAATACATACTTAAATATGCTTTATATAAAGGCTTTATATAAGGGTATGTAAATTGAAGCAGTTCGCTAGCTTAGATGTGCAAACGAAACGCATGCAGTCTATTTTAAATAAATTAACCAACATAATGATCAATTTGCAATTCATGCTTCGACTTCCATTTCAACTCTCTCTGCTTGTTTTGCATATTTTATTTTTCGCTTCAGTATTTCTTCCCACCTAACAACGATGTTAAAAAACTTATTTCGACGGGAGAGGTAAAATTTTCCGAGCTCCAGAATTTTTCAAACGAACTAAGGTGGTACATTTTGATTTATTAATTTGGAAATTACATTTTGATTCTCAGTGTCGCATCCGTTAAGATAAGTTACTTCCATCATTTAAAAAAATTTACCATTTTGTGCCGATAAATTATCTATAAATTTATTCTAGAAATGTAATTTCCAAATTAATAAATTAATTTATTTGATTGCATAGACAAAAAATTTAAAATATTCTTTTCTAAATCCTATTTGTTTATATAATTTTCACATAATAATTTTTTCCAATCGCATCGCATTAAATTCACATTTTTCTCCTTAATTTTGATATTTATTTTTTCTTCCCTTTTTTCCTGAAAAATCATTTGATGAATGAAAAGTTATTATTTCCAAGCAATTTAACTAATATTTGAAAAAATCTTTAATTTAAACTTCTAAATAAATTATCACAAAAAACAGAGCCTATCAAATGGGAATAAAATCTTAATTATTTTCAATTTTTCTATGGTTAATAAAATCAAATAAAATGGAATTTTTGTTAGAAAAATTTATTTTGATTATTTTTTAACTAAAAATTCTAAAAAAATTCAAAAATTCAAAATCCAAGTCCAAAATTTCAAAATTCTAAAAAAGCTGTATTATTTTGTAATTTCATCTTTCATCGACTATCAGACAATTTCATGGATTCATAGAAGCTTCATCCGATCGTTTAATCTATGGCGAATAATGTTCGCCGTACATTCATGCATTTACTTCTTAACAGCCTGGGTTTTTAGAGAGTTACACTATGCAGTAAAAATTTTTCAAAAATAGAAGATTCACAAGAAAAAATGAATGAAAACTGGAAATAGATTTCATGTAGAAATCCTAGAATTTTCATTAGTTTTCAACACGAATTCTTATGCGACATAATTTGAATAAAACATTCAAGAAATAGCGAATGATTGCAATGAGCAAGCTGAGATGGAAATTCTCAATAAAATATAAACAAGAAAATAATTTAAAAAATGAAAAAAAGAAACTTGAATATTGAAAAAGAAATTAAGAATGGAAATAAAAGCATAGTCAGCATTCAGATTTGGCTGACTTAATACCCCAACCGAAGAAGAACCGAACTGGTGATTCCGATTGAAAATCAGAGGCTTGATTGTGCTATATCGCCCTTAACTTTATATTTAGAAATTTGAATAAATTATGAAATTAAATTAATAATTTATTGATCCTTATTTTTTCGATTATTTATCATAATTTTTGTAGGATTAACTCAATGTGTAATGTTCGCCGTATATTCATGCATTTACTTCTTAAAAGCCTGGGTTTTTAGAGAGTTACACTATGCAGTAAAAATTTTTCAAAAATAGAAGATTTTTGAAGTTCCTCGCCTCGCATTCTACTATAGAGATTTACAACATATTATGGCATATTTAAAGAAGATTGAAAAAAATTTTTTTTAGTACAAAAACGAAGAATAGAAAATTTTTAACAGGTAAAGCATTATAAATATTCGCGAGACGTAGAAGCAGTAATGGGTTGCACAATTCAAAAGGAAATTTTTAAAAGCGAATGAATGCTTCGATTGGCGATCACCATAGCGTGGATCAATCTTATTAATCGCTTGCTCAAAATTTATGATTCCATTAAACAGACTACCTGAAAATGCAAAAGGATTTCGAAATCTCATGAATAATTAAGACTGTAATTTTTCTCAAAAAAACTCAACAACTGCCATTTTTTGAGCCAAAAATTTAAATTTTTTTAATTTGGAAAATCTTCTTCATGCAATAATTGCTATTAAATTAATATTTGAATCGCGCCACTTTTTCTTAAAAAAGTGGCAGAACTGAAAGAATATAAATCTTCAATTGAACAATATGGCAAATGGACAGTGCTATTGGCACTTTGAAGTTCTCAACGAACCAGCATATGTTGTAAATGGTGATCGAGTATGAATATCGTTGCATTTATCCTTGCGATTGCAAATACAAGTTGTGTAATTAACAGAATCCTCGCAAAGCAAAATTGATCCCACTCTCGTGGCCAATAAATCACTTCGTTGCTTCATTAGTGCTAGATCAGCTAATTGCCATTCAGTAAGCAGTAAACAGCCAGTCATATATTGATAGAGGGGACAATGCTTACACTGTCCTAAAATTCAAATCTAATAAATAATTATTTTATCAGTTTGATTTTTGCTTATTACTCTTTACATTAACGAGTTTTTAATGCTCCATTTTTTATTCTACTTGATTTTTAGTTTTATAGCATGATAATTTGTCATTTTGAAGAAAAAAAATTTAATAAAAGCTAAAATTAGAAAAATACTTACTCATAAAGCAAGCGTTACCAGTGCACGTTACGGAGTTAAGTCCACAGGCAGCCCTTGAGTCTTTACTAACTGAGCGCCAGACTTGCACGCACTGCCTACACGTTACAGTAGGCAATTGAGAATCGAGTTCGAATTCATCCAGCGTGAATATTATTTTCAAATAAAGCAGAATCAAATAGGACTTGGACATGAATTTGAAGCATAAGAAATAATCATCAAGAAATTTGTGATATAAACTAAAATATTTGAAATCTTTTAAGCGTTTAAAAAATTTAATATTTTACATTTTATATTGCAATCATCTTTTCGAATTTCGTCAGTTGAATTGATTCGATTAAAAATTTTTATTTTATTCAATATTAATAAAGAGATCGAAATTTTCACTTAATAGTTCTAATAAAATTTGGAAAAATATTTTTAAAAATACCTTACTGAGATTTAATAACCACTGAGATTTAATAACCACTGCCAAATACGAATATGAATAATTAAATTTAGCGATTATTTTTGTTTATTTGCAATATTTATCGAAGTTTGCCACGTTCTTTTTCAAAAGTCGAACGAGGATCCGTTCCTATTTTCTTCACACAAACAAATACACACACTATTATAATTTTTTAGATATATTGTGCGACAGATTAAGCAATTTTCCTTTCTAAATTAATTGAAGATATAATGAAATGTCATTTTGACAGGCCAATTGCAACACAGAATATTAAGAGCGAATAAAGAAAGAAGAGACTCTTCTCTTCACAACAACAAAGAAAAAAATCATTTCATTTATTTTTTAGACCAGTAATGGTACTGGTTAGACTCGCTCCACTGGTTTGTCGCACTGAACAAATATATCATGGAGTCTCTTAGCGACAAAAGCCGCAGTGAATCTCCAGGATTTTTGGACAGCTTTATTGCTGCGGGGAGCAGAAGCCCAGCATAGCTCTCCGAATGGAGCAACAATCCATTCGCCAGTCTATTCTCCTGAATTTTTTCCCGATGTTGCCGCCAGGCGAAATATGGTGCGTCGGCGAATTCGAACTCATTTCCCTTTGAAAGTGATTTCCACTGAGCCATCGGCACATCATGCAATTTACTAGTTTTCAATAAAAAAGTAAAGCGATAATAATAGATAAAAATCATTAGTAAATGAAACGATGAATAAATTTAAAATTTAAAAAGGATTATCGAAAATTGCAAACTTTTTCGCGAATTTTATTCCACTCTATCACAATTTCATTACGCAGTAAATAACAGCTAAACAAATATTCTTTTTTTAATGACCATAAGCAATTCAAAATGCAAAATGCAATACCAACCAGTTACTCCCTTAAAAAGAAAAGAAAATAAGTGGAACCAACATTATTGTTGATATTTGTTGATCATCTAGAAAACGAAAAACTTTATTAAACTATGTATAACTTATTAAATGAAAGTAAAAACCTACCGAGCACAAAAAAAGGATACGAAATAAAAAGTAAAGTATAACAGTATGAAATTCAATAAGTAGGAGAAGGACTGCCCGAAAAATGGAAAAAATAGGTAACAAATGTGCTAAATCATTGTTCAGAGTTGACTGCTGAAATATGCTGAATTGCTGAATAGTAAAAGAATATTCAAGAAAATAAGTAACAAATTAGTAAAAGTGAATATTGAAATCAGAAAAGTTCGATCTGATCTCGGATGTAAATAAGTATACTAAATAAATGTAATTAAGTAAGTTTTAAGCAAATGTTAAACGCTTGTGGTTAGAATCGTCATTGGCTGCACTAATAGTGGGATGAGACAATTTTTCCAGAGATTCACTCAGACACAGAAAAACAGGTGGATTTCCCAGTGCCATTAAAATTCCTTAATGACAGGTTTATTACCAGTAGGTAGAGATGGAACTACGGCGGACAAAATGACAATCCAAACACCAATCATTTGGCTATTCTACAGCCCCTCGCCCCATCACTTTTTCATTTAATTAACTAATGTCTAATGTATTTAACTAATTTCGATATTTAGCGTAAGAGCCACAGCGAAAAGATAAAAAGTCGAAATAACGGTCGAAAATTTATGATTATTAGAATTTTTCAGCCAATTTTTTGATTTCTATTTGATAAACAAAAGTATGTTGAATTTTTTACCGAATGTACTAAGTAAATAAAACTGTTTCCGAATATTTTAAATAAAATAATTATAAATCATATATCAAAGAGAATTTTAAATTGAGCTTAATAAGCTCAACTTACTATTACTTTCTACGAATTCTTTATTTTAAGTTAAGATGAATTTTTTCAGTTGATTTTTAATTTTTTTTTAAAAAAGCGATGCAGAATCATCAAATGAAAAGGGCAAATGTGAAAAACTTGACAAATTTTTCGTGAAATGGAGAGCAGTAAACAAGATTTGTGGTATAATAAATTGTCATGAAAAAGAATGAATCGATGGGAATTAGGACTAATTTGATGATTAAATGATTAAAAATGATTGGAAATTTCAATAAGGGAGAAAGAGAGTTGTTGAGTAAATATTTGTTAGAATAGTGGAATAAAGCAATAAAGTCTTATAAGTCTCTCGTAGTAGCAATAATCCATGACTGATGAAGTATTTGAATACTTATTATTTTGAAAATAACGAGATATTCTATTAATACAGAGATTTAATAAATTTAGTATGAAATATTAAACAAATATTTTTTTAGAAGAATTCAAAGATTCTTGCTTTATAAGCAATCGTTTTTCTATATTAATTTTTTATTTGGTGAGAAATCGATTAGTTCGCTGGGAATTCGACTTCGGAAGTTTTATTTGGTCAGAATATCCGAACATGCTTATAAGAAGTATTATGCATGAAGGGTTGCACGTTGCCTCGACAGAAAGCGAATAAGCTTTTGATTCGATTCCCATCACATTAAACAACATCTTTTTTTCAGGAAGAGATTTAGAAGACTAATCGACTAAAAATTTCGTGATTTATCTCCATTTACTCCACAATACAACTGAAAATCTGATAATCAAAGGCAACAGTGATGAAAGGTGTTGGACAAAATACACATCGATTTTGACAGGAATTCCTGACAATAAGCCAAATTTCATGCGAAATTCTCTGACTTACGGTAGCATTTAGAGTGAAAGCTGAAGAAGAAATTTTATCGAAATTGGGAACAAACAAAAATGGCTTATAATGCTTGTAAGACCCACCAACAAATGCTCATTTTTCTCTCGAACCACTAGCGATATATTTCTTCCGAATGGACTTATTCATTTGAGATAAAACATCGCTCTTGAATAATTGAAATAATGAATGCGAAGAACTATCAGGAAAAATGCTGCGAATGTCGTTAAATCGTTACCATTGTTTAATGCTTCTCGATTGTCCTTGAATTTAACTTATTTTAACAATATAAAGGAATGATATCATATTATATAAAGAGAAAAAATATTTACCAATTGTCAATCGCTAGAAAAGTTGCTACAGCTAAGTGCATGACTTTATTTCATGGATAGCACCAATTCTGAATTTATTAGCTTCCATTGCCTCAAAATGGAGATAAAAGTGCTTCTCTAATGCCACTTTTAATGAAAGGTTCACCTGTCAAGGAATAGGGAATCGAACCTAACTGTCTGCCATAGCCATAATGCACTGCGCCTTCGATTCAATTAGAGGGCTTTTCGTGGAATTTACTCTATAAATTAGGTTCCCAATAAGCATATTGCTTAAAATCCGTGTTTAAAAGTGAAAATTTATAATTATTTGTAATTATTATAAATTTATAACTATACTTAAATAAATTAATCAACTGAGTAATTTTTGATATAATTCGAAAAAAATTACTCAAAAAAAATAAAAGTAAAAATTGGAAATGCGAATGACAAAATTCGATAAAAATGAAGAAAAATACAAATTCTTAGGTGATATTTTTATAATTGAATTTTACTATTGTCATAGTTACGAGTTATTTGCAAATTATGCTTTCAAAAATTTTTAAAATTAAATCTCTTAGCAACCCAGTAAATTACAATTAATTCAACAATGCTGATTATTTAAAATATTTTGCAATTTCCAAAATCGATCCGATTCATTATAAATTTCGCTTTTCTGTTGCATAGAAGTTGGCCGATTATTAATTTGTGCTTCCATTACTAAAATTTATAGCCAATCGCTTCGTAAAGTTATAGGAAATATGGAAAATGAAATGCTTCATCCAACTAATCTTTTCAAATTTGTAATCATTGTAATTGCAGTATTTCAACTAAAATTCTCGCTTTTCTTCTAAAAAAGCGCCAAATTTTCAATTTCATCCCTTTCGCACTGCACAGCTCTATAAAGGATGTCTAAAGTAACTAAACATGACTAAATTCAAGTGAGAAGGGAATCAGAAAAAAGAAATTCTGGCCAACTCCAAACAGTCGAAAGCTGAAGTGTGATTGGAAAGAGCCTTTAGTCGCTTATCAAATTAATCAACACTTGCTACACTTATTATTCCATTAGGCTATTTATAACAGTCATGCTTAATCATATACTTTACTCAACCTGCAACGATTCACTCAAACTCTTCTGAAAAAATTTTTAACATTGAAATTAATCTTAGTGGTAAATCTCTGCGAAATGGACTGGCAGGAGTCATATAAAGAAATGCGGAAATCTACTGTGATTTTGCCACTTCTTTAAATTGTCTACAAGTTGCAGCACGAGATTTTATTCAGTTACTGCCGTAAGTTCTCAGCGATAAATAATAAAATATTTTATTTAACAACGTCATCGTAATCTCGAGGATATGAATTAATTAAGGCCAATGTTTTTGGTCCATTGTATTTTCAAAAAGATTCGCTAAATATATCCATCAAACGGAAGCATAATTTTACCTATGCAAATCTTATTAAAAGCAACCATCGCATTATTTCGATTTTTTATTCACCTATGATTATTATAGCTGATAAGTGAAATTTAGAATAGTTCAACTGAACGATGTTCCTTCATAAAATTTATTATTTAACAATAAAATTTCAGAAAATTTTGAGAAAAAAGTCAGAAATTGGCTATTTTTAAAATTTTTAAAGTGATATTTAAAATAAAAAATAAAATTTTACTGTTTGAGATCATTTGAAAATTTTATTTGATTATTTCAAAACAGCGAACAAAAATAATCATTTCAGAAAAATTTGAAGATTTCTCATTTTACAAAATAAAATTCATTTTTTTGCAACATATGCTTTATTTCTGGCAAAAGGATGGCGCAAGTAGCAAAGCAATACTTCTATTTCTTTGCCAAAAGCTGGTCTGACTCCACTAAGCCAGCGGAATCCACTAAATCTACGAATATGCTTTACTCACTTTTATTTCTGCTGTATTACACGTTTTATTTCTGAAAATAGAAAATGGCAATTTTTAGCACACATTTTATTCTTTTATATCCTTTTATCCTTAAAAAAATATTCCGATTTCATTAAGTAAATTTTTAAATATTTCCACAAATTGTTCCATTTATAAAAAATTTTTAAAGTGCAACATCGATCTTCTAACTGTGAATTTTGAAGTAATAATTAAAAGAGACGAAATAATCATTTAATTTCTGAAAAGTCATATGAAACGACGGAAATGTTGTGTTGAATATCGAGTAACAACAGCAACACTTCGACACTTTTCAACACTTCGTCATCATAATTTAATGTGGCCTAATAAGCCGATTTCAGTGCATAAAGTAACTAAAATAGCAAAAAAAGTAATCCTTGCGAGTCTCTTGGCACTACAAGAAGTAATTAAGTGCGTAAAACGTGCTTAGTCCTCATCATTTCGCATTCCACATGCTAGTAATAGAAGAGAAGGACACATTGATTGCCGAAGATTCAGCAAGAGACAGAAGAGGTCAATGTTTGCAATGATATGATAATCTGTGCAATGTAAATTTGATAAAGAAGCATAATAAAAGGTTTCACACTGATTCAAAATGTCTATGATTACTGAAAAGCAGCGAACTACGGGAGATTAATCGTATCGGCGAGTAAAAGCATCATCAAATCGAGTTAAATGGTCGACGAATTAAATGAACTACACATTCATTGGAATTATTGCATTATAAGTGAATACAGACGTGATGAACGACGATCCGTTCTTTGCCGGAAAGAAAGCCTCTTTGCTGCTATCGAAATAGATTGTAAAGGGTTTTAACATGGAAAAAGCTAAGGAAAATCTAATTTTAGCGAATATTTCAATTAAAACTGCCGAATTAAATGTTAAACGTTTCTGTTTGTAAAGGCAAAAGCGAACCTTATCATATCTTTTATTGTAGTTTCCATGTATTTCAAACGTTTCGCAAATTGTTTAGAATTTTTATGATTTAAAAAAAAAATTCACGAAGCGCACAAGGATGATCGAATGTTGTATCGATAAGACGAAGTCGAGCGATCGTAGATGCGATCTGTGTCCGTTGATTAGAGTGAAATCCGCATGAGCATGAAAGATGGATGATCTCGAGGAGCCATCTGTTCTTCTATCCCCAAATGGTTATTTGGCGAGGGGATTTCACGATGATAGTCTGTGGAGCGAGACAAACCAGAAATGATGAATATTAGGAGAAAAGGAAAATACAGCCCAATTTTTTAATTCCCAAATTTCTTACGAAGAAAAAACGATGCGATTAGTTGGATTATCTTTCTTTGAACTGAAATTATTCAATCATCGCTGGAGAACAGTGACATTTCAGCGGAATGTGGAGGACACAAAATCGAGAAAAAGAGAAAATCCCATGAGAAAAGACGACGAGATTGTCGTAGATAAGCTTAATTATTCATGTAGAGTGCTTCAGTGCTAACTTTTAAACCATCCCTCCATCCCTTAACGCACTCCATTTTAACAGAATATTCAATTTTCCTCTAAAATGAATTTGACTATTTATGGTACTTCGAAAGTAAAACGAACTGCTTTTATAAAATATATCATTTACAGTTATCTTCGAAAAACTTGGAAACATTATTTAAATTAGTTCCATAATTCAAGAAGTTCCATATTTTATTCCTCATAGCGAGTTTTTTTAAAATGATAGATATTTTCATTGAAATTAAACTTTAATTAATGGAACTTCATTCTGCGACTTCTGCCAGTTTATTATTTCATTTTAACGCTAATGTGGCAATTCCATTTGAAATTTTCGAATTGCAAAAAGCATCATTCTTGAGCATTTATGTAGTAACGGAATGATACTTTTGCGTTTTGCTTGGGACTAAAGTCCAGAAAATCCAGAAGAAAAGGAATGCTTGAAGAAAGCCACAAAATGCAAACTTGGCTGAAAAACAAGTGGTTCGTAACTGTTGAAATAATTTTCGACCAATCTTTCATATTTTCACTGATTGAATTTCAACGATTCAATGAATTACTATTGAGATGTCTGCCAGAGAAAATTTAAGATAAATAAATGTGCGAAATATTTCCTCCAGAATACTTCACCACTTACGGCAATGCCGGAAGACTATCTTTTGCACCCTAGAGGAAAGCAAACCAAAATTTTTTCCATAGCCTTAATGAGCTAGAAACAAACACTTTTTCCACCTTTTCAGCAATTCACTCCAAATTCTGTGTTTACCACTTGTCGTTTCTGGTCTGCTTTCTCAGTTGACTATTAGCAAGATGAAATTTCACCAAAAAAATCTCAAGGAAATGGAAATCGCAGAACAGCTACTTTAAAAGTGATAAAAAAAACTTCCGTGTTGTCTTACGAAGTGCACCAACTTCTTTCATTTATTTTCCAACATCTGCCCTCCCAAAAATAAAAAAAAAACTAAAAAAATTAGGCTGAACTAATCACCTAAAAAGAAAATGTGCATCACAACCACAGTGCATTTTCCCGATACATTTCCAATATTAATAAATATTTAACAATTCTTTTTTCTACTTTTGTAATATGGATCAATTTAAAATAACTCAATCTTTCTCGAGAAATTGACAAAAATTGACAAAAATGTACGAAAATTTAGAATATATTACAGCATATATATTACAGTATATATATATATATATATATTATAGAATAAATAAACGATGCAATCATCCTCAAATCATTATTTAAAATATTCAAATAATTTTTACTCGTTTATGCGGTTGTGCGCACTATTTTTAATCATCCATCACAGAATATATCTGATAAATAATTAACAATCGTAGATGAAATCAATTAATTTAAAATTTCTCCCACAACCATTTTTTTCTCATATAAATCTTTTTATATAAAATTTTAAAAATTATATTTAATCATACGAAGAAACTAAAATTTAATATAGACTCATAAAAAAACCTAAACCGCATATGTTAGTTAGAATGCTAGAAAATGCCAACGAAAATTATCTGAAGAAAATTTTCCAATGAAATTGTATTTATTTTATTACATATGATCCATCATAAAATTTTAAATCACTCTTGAAACATATGTCTGCAATCATATCCTAACAACTGTTAATTCTCTCATTATTTCTACGCCAAATCTCGTTGAAAGCCTACATTAAATTTTGGAAAAAATTTCATTTTTATGAAATTACAACTACAAAAAAACGAAAAGATTTCAACATCCAATTTAAATAAAATGATATTTCGTAATAATACGGGAAAAAAATTCTGAAATTTTAGAAATAAAATTTTGATAGAAGAAATTTTCATAAACTATAGCTAAGCACATGAAAATTAATAATAGTGTAATGCTCATAGTTAAAATCACAAGTTGTATCCAAAATATCGACGAAAACTTGATATCGCATCGATCCGTTGCAGACACAGCATTTGATATCGAATCCACAGATTCATCAACTCATTCAAGTCTTTCTCATCAAAAATATCCTAAAGATCTATTGGAATCTATTACAATTTAGCAAAGCAATAAAATAAATAAACTACTGCAATCTAAATCTATATTTTTAAGATAATTTTTTATAATTTGTTACCTTATTCGGTGTAAATGCATGTTCTTTCAACGTTATTTTGTTTTCCCTAAAATGAACGAAATTTCTTCGTACAAACCATCCACGAAAGAATCGCTGAAAAAAAATTTATTTTAGCTCAGTGAAAAAAGATAGTTGGAAATATAAAAAAACCAAAAAAGTTCATCCGGCTTCTTGGCGATGAAACCAGAAAAAAAATGGATGACCTTTTCTTCTTCCTATCCTTTTTGGAAATACTAAGCTCTAAGCCTAAGTCATACTGGTGTACGGTTCTTCAAAGCTAAGAAAAGATGGTAGTTAGATTGCGCAGCGCGTGCAAAATATGTGGGATGGAATTTTCCAGACAATGCTGTGGAGACTATTTGCGACCCTCGATTGAGCGTTCTTGTAAAAAAAATTTTTATTTTTACAACATTGCGATGAACAAGAGCAGACTGTTTCTGAAGAAGAGTCCTAGCCATGTGAGAAGAATCTACAGTATTTTTTTCCATTGCTGAAGCTTTTAATGCAATATCAAATGAAATATACCACAAAACAACAAAATTCTTTGAAAATCTTTGATTCACTGGGCAATTACCCATGACAAAGCACTAGTATTAATATAGATGACGAATTCTTCATCAAACTATTTATTCAAAAATAGTTTATTCTTGCGATGTGAAACAACAAATAGTAGATGGTAAATCGCTGCAATTTGCTGCTGTTATTTGTGATGTCGAACCACTGGTTCAGCTTCAATTTTTCCCATGCGAAGCAAATGAAAATGGTTGCATTAATTGCTTATTTGCATTTTTACAATAATCTTTTGGTCTCCAAATAGCTCTTTTATAACATTTTTGGAATCTTTTGCGACATGTAATATGAATACAATTTGATATTGACCTTTAACTCATTGTTGGGTATCAGTTCTTGACGTAAATTTTATAAAATTTTTATTTTAATTAAATTTTTAATTTTTTGCTTCTGTTGGTTCCCTTCTTCAAATGCCACATACGTCTTATAATTTGTTTTTGCGCATCTCCAGACTTAATTCATAACTCATAAATATACTCTTGAAACTAATTGTATTCATAAATTATAACTATTATAAATTATTATTTTTATAAATTATCTTATCTAGTTCCATATTCTGGAAATATCTATTAGCAGTCCCATTCGAGAAAATTGAAATATTAATCGTAAACAGCAAATAAACCAAATACCTGAATGGTAGTCGCAGCCTTTCTAAGTTTTTCCTGCATATCATGAAAGGCTCGATGAGCTAACCATGAACGGAATTGTTTCTAAATCAAAATTTCAGGAGTTAAATTGTTAAATAACATTTTCAATATAAACCATGATGAGCAAATAAACAAAATAAAAAAATCCAATTTTTAAATCCTGCGAATTTGAGAAGTCCAGTATTTAAAATCCGGTATTTAAGAAAATAAAAGAAATTAATCTGACCAATCACATAGAATTATATTTTTGAACCAAAAACTGAAAGTATACTAATCCAGAACAATGTTAGATAACAGCAGTTGCAATTAAAATTGCAAAAAATACCTGAATGATAATCGCAGCTTTCACACGTACTTCTTGCATGACATGAAAATGCCGACGCACCAACCATGAACGAAAATATGCCTAAATCGAAATTTTTGAAGAAATTATTACATAATGCCCAATATGCACAGAATACTGACTCAATAATAAGATCTTTCGCATTTAAGTATTTTATTTGTGCAAGATAGGAATATTTTCATCGTCCAAAAAAGTATAAAATTCACCTGATCAACCATATACAACTACATTTCTCAGTAATGAATTAAAAGCTTAAATCAATTTATATGATTACGTCGGAAATAATGGCGATTAATAAAACACCTGAATGACGATCGCAGCTTTTATACGCTTTTCTTTTATTATATGAAAGTCCCGACGAGCCAACCATGAACGGAAATGTACCTAAATCGAAAAGAATCAAATAACGGTTCATTTAATATGGATGATGAATTTAATATGGAAATAATTTAATTCAATAAAGTTCTATACTTAAATCTTTTAAAGGCAAACTGTCCTGATAAACCATAAATAATTGTATTTACAATTGAAAGCCTCAGTCAATCAGTAGATATAAATAATAATAATAACACGAATAATACAGAGCATTAAATATAAGAAACATTGAATTACAGTCGCAGCTTCTATACGCTTTTCATACACGAAAGTTCCGACGTGTCAACCATGAACGAAAATGTGCCTAGATTGAAATTTTTAAGGGAGGACTGTTCAAATAACAACTCGCTCGGTATGGATAATGAATAAAGCCGATTTAACGTCAAATGATAACAAATAAATCGGAATAATTGTACGATTATGTCGGAAATAACCGAAAATAAAAAAAAAAAGTACATGGTAAACAGTTAAAAATTCAGCATTTGTATTTTTTGAAATAATACAAACTGATTTAGCCAATCATGCACAAAACCAACATCTTAGATAAATTAGCATCTTAAATGACAGCAATTATGAATTATATAAAAATAAAATACTTGAATGATAATCGCAGCTTTTATACGCTTTTTCTGAATGGCATGAAAGTCTCGACGCGCCAACCATGAACGAAAATTTGCCTAAATCTTTGAATTCCAAGAGAAAAATTATTAAATAATGGCTTATTCAATGTGGGTAGTGAAAACGATCGAATAATACACGAATTTTGAATTGTAACTGTAACATTGTAGCCCCTCGAAAAAACACTGATTTGGTTGAACACTTGGAAATGTACTTGGCTAAATTAACAAATTATGGCTAAATTATGATGGCTAAATTAACAAATTTGTTCAAATGGCTAAATTAACAAATTTGTTCCGAATAAAATTAAAAAACAATTAAAATACCTGAATGACAGTCGCAGCTTTTCTACGATGTGCCACCCATGAGCGAAAATATGCCTGTTTAAAATTGAAAGTTTAAAAAATAAAAAGGAATAACTGATTATTAGCCGGATTTCATTATTTGTTTTATGATTATCTGTGTTAAAGCATAACATACCCACAAATATAACGAACTTTAATATATGTCTCTTAACTCCTCAACACAATCCTGCTAATTCTCCTTAAAATACCATGAAACTTCATAATTCAAATTTAAACTGGTCTAATCAACTATATAATTTTTACTTTATTTCTGCAAAAAACTAAGAAAATAAAACCACACATTTAAAGCTATTCTATGCCTCTACTCCTTACAGAAATAAACTGCCCCGCCCTCTACTGCCACTTCTTGCCAAAATTCGTCCGGTTCAACTGAAGGGCCAGAATTGGGGACTGCTTTCCAATAAAAAAAAGTCCTGAACTCCAAGAATAAAATAAATTTGAAAAGCTAAATAAAAAATACTATATGCTTATGATGACTATGAGGTGACGGAATATTTAAACAAATTTGAATTATCAAAAATTTTCAAAGGCTTATATTGAATGCAATGGCTTTTTTCTTTTGTAAGAACGATCATCATATTTAAATTCGATACGTTAATTAATACCAATTGATTATTAAAAATATCACCAGCCACTTGGCTGGTAAGTCGTCATTACCAGCCGGATGCAGTGGTTGAGACACTACAAAATGATGGTCATTGAACTTCAAAGACATAGACAGAGCTTGGGAAAGGTATTCTCATATACATATAATTTCTTTAAATATGAAACATATCTCCATTAAACTTTCATAAATAACTGGCATTCCATAATTAAATGAGAACAGTGAGGTTAATTGAAGAATGAGAATATTTACGCGAACAACAATGGCGAAGATGTTGAGCTAATGTAGCGTCAAAAAATGAACAAGCAATGTGATGGAAAAGTTGATAAAAATTTAAGAATAAAAATTGCATATATATTGAATTGCAATTAGTTGTGAAATTAAAGTAATAAATGATAAATGAAAATGGCATATATTTGAACGATTTATAAAACTTTATATTTTTAATTTATTAATTTATTCTTTCTTCATTATTTTTATTTATACAACAAATACACGGAATAAACCTGTATAATTGTGGCAGCGCGACTGCGTTACTTTTCATTTTAATTGCTTCATTATCATTAATTTATCAATTTTTACGCTTATTTATTCTATATTGTGCTTTCTTCTTTTTTTTATTTCTTATTAGTCTTGGTGATAGAAGTAAAAGTGAGCCCCAGCGATACTTAAATTTTTTTGGAAGAACCCCGCCTCAGCACCGGTGTCGCGAAATTAAAACAGGAATCCATATATTTTACTTCTTTTATATATTTCCTTTATTTATATAATTTATTTTATATATTTCTTTTATGTACATATATATATATATTTCCTTTTCTGGGTAAATAACTTAATTTCAACGAAACGACAAATACACGTAATAAACCTGTATAATTGTGGCTGCGCGACTGCATTTTTCATCCAGCGAAATACTTTGCTGATGAGTTTTTCCGGAAATTTTGCGCTAAAATTTCACAAAATTTTATTGGAAATTTAAAATTTAAAAACTTTAAAACTTTATTATATGAGATATAAATGAGAATTTTTTTAAAATTTACATAAATTTTCCCAGAGTGACCTTAATTATTATAGTTCAAAGCATGATAAAGATAAAAACCTGCTTGTAAACACGATATGCTTTCTGAATTTTTGTAGCAGCAATGGTTATTTGATTATACTCAAAAATTCGTATAAGGAAAATATGAGCAAAAACAGGAAGTGCCGCCACATTAACCATTCCTTCAGATAGCAAAATACTGGCTGGAATTCCAAATTCTTCTTCTGCCTGTCTTGGACAATAGATTTTCTTTTTTTAGTTCAGTAATATAACAAAAGTGGATGATTATATATAATAACTTCCAGCTCTTCAACGTCTTATTAACTTGTGGTCAATATTTGCAATGTAGCAATCAACCCACAGCAATGAAAAGTTTTATTGAAATAAGGTAAAAATGTAAAAAATTAACTGCATGTGCTATTTGTTCCATCATTGTACTTTCCTGATATTCATTCATTTCACTTTTATATGGACCATATTCTTGCCAAATAGCCCGAAAAAGCCTTCCATCAGTTAGGTGGTCGAAACAATGAATCTAAAAGGAATTAAATTCGAAATTTGAAATTTTGAAATTTTTTGATATGATATGATAAAAACAAGTATCTTTTTGAATCAAATTAAGATAGATTTAATACTTTTTTAAAATAGGTTTAAATTTTAATTATTCTCTAAATTCTATTCACTATTCCATCCTGCACAAATTTTTAGTCAACGCTCAACATTTTTTACAACTGATAAGTAATTATTTTATTTCACAAATTCTTAAATAAGAAGCATCAACAAGAAAAATAAAAATAAAAAATGCAGCGCAGTAATAATCGAGCAAATAATTCAATGTTAAAGAGTTGAGATAGTACTCTTACTTCGAAACCAAAGCGTTCAGCGATCAATTTATATAATTTAAACAACTGCTCATACTCAGAAATATGTTCCGGTAAGTTTTTTGCCTTTGTCAAGTCAAATCTTTCAAAGGAAATAGGATTTTTTGCTAAAGATGAATAAAGAGAAATTCTTCGTGAAACTGAATCGATGCAACAATCTTTTTCCTAAAAAACAAAAATACAATAATAAAATAAAAAAAAACATAAAAATTAATTGGTCGCGGTCGAAAAATAAAAATAAATCATAAAAACGAAAGCCCGCAGTTAGTGTATAACATCAGTTCATTCAATCTTGCTATGTTGAAACTAAAAAAACTAATAGAAAAAAAAACTAACTACATAAGCATTAACTATCCGCCAAAGTAATAGTAATATTATTTCCAGTTTACATTGAACGATACTTTCTGCTTCAATTGCTGCAAAGTACAAAATTTAAGGGATAATTAAAATGATTAATAGGAAGATTGGACGTTTTTGATAAAATGCCATAAAAAATGAAACTACTCTCAAGATCGATTCCTTTATTTTTTGCTACTTCCAATACTATATTAACATTATTTATTTTACGAATGCGATCTCCGCATGGATTTCGAAGACAACTGATAATTTCGTTGTGCTTCATGCCGAAAATTATTTCTATTACTTTCCTAAAAGTGAGTAGCTAATAACGAAATGCATAATTAAGTCATAAATCAAATGCAAGCAATATTTCAAAAAATTTGCAGTGAAAAGTTTTTAAAAAGAAATTTCTCATAATCTTAAAGTTTTACCCAAGTATGATTCCATCAGACAAATCAGATGGCAAACTATTCACTACAAAGCAATATTCTTCAAAAAATCCTTGTCTATAATCCAGATCTAATCCAATTCTTGAAAGTATTTTCGGTAGATTACATGATCCCGAAATCAACAAGCGACTTATAGCAGCACAAACATCAGATAAGCTCTAAAATATCAAAAAAGAGATAAAAAGAGATAAAAGCGGAGATATTGAACAAAAAAATTACTTTATATGATGATTCACGCTTGAAAAGACATGGTATTATTTTCATTTCAAAAAACACTGATCTAGCAACACCAACAATATAAAGAAACTGGCACAGTTTCGTTAAAAAATGTTGTAGCAACATTTTTGAACCACTTTCAGTGATCACTGTTCTGAAAATAATTCTGAAAATTTTTTAAAATCATTTTTTCTCCTTAAAATGATAAAAGTAACTAATATATAATATATATATTGTAGTCCAAATTCCAATACATGTGGAAGCATGCTGGTGTTCCATTTCTACTCCCGTCAGGAATAAGCATGTTTTTCAATGATCCAAAGTGGGAATAATGTGTTACTTTTATCTTTAAGTGACTCGGTAAAAAAACTTGTCTGGTCGAGTGCACTAGGATCAGAAATAGTGAAAAAAATAGGAGAATTTTTTCTTGAAAAAGAAAAAAAAACTTTTTTACGACAAGAATTATAACAAAAAAATATGAATAAACCAATAAAACTGGACAGATTTAATCCTAATTCGTGAAACTCTTGAAAAAATTATTTCTTCAAAGAATATAACGCACCTATTTCGTCCTTGAACATACTTTTGATTTCCCATAAGGGATGGATCTTGGAAAAGCCTGTGAAAAATAAACGATGCGAGTGTGTCAGATTTATCTGAAGGTAAATCTTCAGTGAAAATTGTTTCGAGCCCTAGTCGAAGCCAGAATGTGTTAAAACTGAAGAACAACTTAAGCAATTCAGTCTGCAACCCTGCAAAAAGAAAAAAAAACCAGGAATAAAAAAAATCATTTTCAAGAAGAAATAAAGCAAATAACAATGGAGAAACCAATATCTGAGTGAACTCGCTTATCGAGTCGGATAATCAATTTGTTATTTTCAACAAGCGACACAATCTGTTGCGGTATTTTAGATTCTAAATAGATTGATCGAATCCTGAATAAATTTTAGAGTTTTTTTATTAATAAAAGACAACAAAAAGTTGGCAAAAATTGGAAACATAGTGAAAATGCATTGAAATTCAATGCAAGAAAAAAAAAAAACTTACTGAATTCTAATTTCATTTCTATGTCTCTCAATCATGAAATGTTTAAACTTATCAGAATTTTTCAAAATTGATCTATTCGAAGTAGATTCCATATTACTTGCCACATGAAGCATTTTACGCAAGTGACTATCAGCTTCTAAAATATTAAAATTGTAGAAGAGCCAAATTTTTTTGATTCAATTTTCTTTCCCAATTTAAAATAATGATATGAACTTACCTATCTTAGCTTTCCTTAGGTCGCTTGGAAAACTTCCATAAACATGATTTTCATTTAAAATGAAATTAATCCAAGATTTCAAAGCTACAATTTGTCCTTTTTCGTCACCTAGATTCTCATTTCCTAGAGTTTCTGAAATTTAACAAGCATTGAATATATTAATGCATATGAAGCGAAACTTCACTTTATCACTTTTTTAATGATAAAAATTTTCATTATCTATTATAATATTTTATTTTATTATTATTTTAATTACTTATCTTGAATTTCCCTAATAAATATCAATAAAAGCTTCTGCAAAATGAGAAATCAGCAAGGCTAACTTCATAAAAAATCTCCTTATTTAAAAGATAAGAATATTCCTTATTTTCTTAAATATACATTATTTTTTAAATATTTTTGTTCTTGAAAAATATTCTTAAATATTCTTGAAAAACATTACTCGCTGGCGTAATGATAACGTATGTATGGTCATCATGCTTTCCAGACTTACAGCTGATTGCTGCGATAGAATCGCTATCATTCTGTTCATAATCCTTTTTAAACTTTGAAGCAGCAGGTATTGTTATTGCAAGAAATTTCTGTGCTTCTTTATACGCATCTATCCCTTTAACTGGTTTTCTTTCACTCTTTTCATTTTGCTCATCTGAAAAAAAGGTCAAGTTTCATTAAATTAAATAATAAATAATTAAATTAAATTAAAAAGAAAAGTAACTATAATTGTTTTCTCATATAATTTTTTAAAAAGATTTCCTTTAAAAAACAAGATTATAACTGAAATTAAAATTAAACGAATTGAAGGAAAAAATAAAAGAACATAAGAATCTTCAAAAAATAACATTACATAATTTTTTTTTACACAACTCGTGTTTTTTTTTAAGTGATGCTATCTTGGCTTCCATTTTACTGATAGTCGCTCCAGTACCTGGGGAAACTTGATGTAACTCATTACTTGTAGAATTCTTGACTAAAAAATTTAAAAAATAATAAATAAAGAGAATAAATAAAAGCAGTAAAACATAAAAAATGTTGTAATTGAAATTTAATATTGTATGCATTATAGAACTTTGTTCAGCTACCATTTATAGCAAATATATCAAATTTTCAAATTATTTAGCTTAAAATGTTGATGAATTATCTGGTATTTTGAAACATCTTACAAGTAACAAGTGGAACAATATACTTTAAAATCTGCCATAGATTTATGCAAAAAAAAATACAATAAATTTCTACTTTCATGATGCAGTGAAGAATTGGAGATATGTGGATTTTTCCACGAATCATGTGATAAATCATTAAATTCAACTCCACTTTGATCCTCAATATTAAAATGGGTCAAACGGACATCTAAAATTTTGAAATAAATCAAATAAAAATAAAAATGAAATAAAAGCTAATCAAAATGAATAAAAATATTTTTGAAAAAAAATCTGGGTACTCTGGAATAATAAATATCAAAAAATATTATAAATTAAATGATTGAAAAGTACATACCCTTTGTTGAATTGAATCCTGTGTCACCAATTCGAGCCAAATTAGGCATTTTCGACAAAGGAATCTCTGGTATAGCAAATTCGATGTTCTAAAAAAAAATAGGAAAACTTATAATAAAATCATCTCACCTGCTTATTATCTATTTTCCGATTAATTTAACTGAAAAGTAATCAGCGAACCTTTGTTTGTGCAAAAATTCAGAGAATTCAATTTGGCGCAGACAAGTTCATTAAATAACTTTCTATACATTAAAATTTAATTAAAAATATTTTAAACCTCTTTTTGCAAATTACTTTTGACTAAACCAGTCTCAGTTTCCCTCGCAAAATTTCTGAGTGTTGAATGTTCAACAATCGTACTTTCACTTATATTTTTAAACGTTAAAGCAAAACAAGTTCGCGGTGAATTTTCAATAACAGTTGAGGATAAAAAATTTTTTGGCATTCCTTCGACATCTTCATTTTTCGTTTTATCTGTAAAATAACAAAAAAAAAGTCTTCAAAACAATAAAATAGGAAAACTGATGAAAATTAAAGATTAAAAAGTAAAATTTAAGAAAAAAAATGAGAAAAGAAAGCTCAAAAGAACATGTTATATATATTTTAAACCAAAATTTGCTAAAAAAAACATGTGAAGCTGAAAATTTTCTGAGATGTTTGTGATAATTATAACTAAAACATAAACCGCTGATGAGTATAACTTAAAATATCTACTCGCTTGTTCTGTTATCTAATCTAATCAGGTTTCATTAAAATGTTTACTGTTTTTCTTCTAAAAGTGAATATTTTTGATCTGATTACATCGACTGAATTTTGTGGCTGTTAGAATGATCAGAGATTCACATGAGGATAGAAATGCAGATAGGAATCCACAACCATATAACATAACGACATATTTATTTTAACAATAATTATAATAATCATAATATTAATTAGATTACGATTTTTTTATAATTTTAATTACTTAAAATAAAACAAATAAGCTTGAAATAAGCCGTTTAAGTATGAAATAAATGATGCAAAAACAAAAAATCAAACGACTAACAAGCGGTTTCATAATTAAAATCGCTTCGACATCGTATTTCTTCGCCATAAATTTGCTCGGAATCTTCATGAGAACCAACTTTTTTTATTTTTTTAACGGCTTTTTTAGACATTTTTTGCAACGAATCGACCAGTGTCTTTTTAAAAAATTTATTAGCTAAAATATTTCTATAAATATTTCGAAGATATAGATATTTCGAATAAATATTTTAGTCGACTTCGATGGCACCAAAATATATCCAAGAAATTCGTAACACTAGGTGAACATCAACGATTGAAAAAAACGAGCAATCAGTTCCAGCCCGAATAAAAAAGAATTCCCCAACATAATGGCGCAAAATAAATGGAGAGAATAAATCAGCGATAAACAAAAGAAGAAAAGAATTCAAAAATAAAACTCGATTAATTCTAAACGATGGATATCCCAGCCGGGATGGCCTGAAATATAAATCTAAAGGGGAGATGTCGCGGCCGGGATGGCCTGAAATACAAATCTAAAGGGGAGATGTCGCGGCCGGGATGGCCTGAAATACAAATCTAAAGGGAAGGATGTCGTACAAATCTAACCGCCACGAAAGCCACACCTCAAACCTATTCAAAAATATTTTGCAATGAACTTTTCGTTCGTTCCTTTGACGTCGAATATTTGAATTCAAATATGGCGCGAAATTTCAAAAACGCCTTCGCCCGAAAACCTCCAAAAATCAGCCAAAAATGTTGCGCAACTAAATAAGGCAGAGGAGTGCGAAAAAAAGAAAATATTTTCTATTTTTTATTCTCATTCTTTCTCTTTATTTTTGGTATTTTTTCCGAGTAACATTGCAGGAGGGAGGGCGTTAAAGGAATGGTTCCTGGATGAATTAAGGAAAGAGCAACGGCAAAATGGAAAATTCTGGCACGGATGCGAGAAAGGAAAAGGAAAGGGAACCGAATCGGACCACCGTAACTCGATATCGCATAAAAAGATTCGGTAATTTGCGGCCATATCAACTCTCTCGCTCTCCAGTGGCGCTGAATTGAATTGTGTAATAAAACGACTATTTATTAATTTAATTTGTTAACTGAAATTTGTTCATAATCATCGCCAAACGTATTAAAGGAATTAATGAAATCTAAATCCTCAGTCCCATTCCCTCTTCCACAAAGTTGTGTCCTAAAACGCGTGTTTGCATACGGTATTCTTTTGTTTTAAGCCTACTTTGTGGCGAATTTTATTTTATTCGATTCTTACTTTTTTTTTGAATTTTAATTTAAAAAAATTGGGAGGTTGAGAAGTGGGAAAATTGAACATCGTTTGGTTAATGTTTCTTGTCAAATTGATCAGTTGGCTTAATTTCGACAAATTTTCGCACAAAAATGTTTTCTTAAATGTGTTCCCAGCACTGCCCGTTTTTCCGTTTTGTTTCTCGGAAAAGCTATAAGGCTGAAGGGCGGAAAGTAAATTTCATTTATTCTTTATCCTTTCTCGTTGCGAAATATCGAATTTTTCCTCAGACTTGGCTAATTAAACATTTATTTCAATTCGAATTAATTCACAATAGAAATCGAACAAACAGTCTAATGCTGCAGCAATAAGTAAATTTTGTTGTACACAAATTTAAAAAGATCAAAGGAGAAAAAATGGGAAACCAACCATCTCTGCCTGGTGAAGAGCTCTCCGATATAGGTTTAGGAGGCTCTTTCATGGCGCAGGTAAATTCTCCTCTTGAGCAGCATTTTAATTTCACTGAAGCGTCGGAATGGATGCACAGTAAAGCCTTTTATTTCAAATTTCAAAAGTTTTCGAATCTTGACCGGTTGTATTTCTGTTTTTTTTTTACGCTTCTTTCCGTAGTATTTTTTAGAATTTCTGTAAACGAGTTAATTTTTTTTTTTAAATTTAAAAGCAAAGAATTGAAAGAAAATATATATATATAAAAATCTATAATATTATAAAATTACATAATAATATTGTCTTTGACAGGAGTAAATCTGTCATATCAAAAATTCTAGTGGCTGCTGGGGAACGATTTGCAACTCTATCCCTAAGTGACTATGGTGAAAAGGTCAGATATTCTTGATACGGCGTCCATGCTTTCCATTGCGCATGCACTCCCAGCCCGATTTGTTATATGATATGTTATACATGCAATAGATATACAATCTGTAAGACGATCCCAAGGCCGATAAATAAAATGCGCTCGCAAGCCTGGGTAATTGCTCGAAATCTAATAGCTCTCTGCACTTGTGGCGAGATATTAGTCATATCATCGTGGAACATCAGAACATTTATGGACGTTGCAAGTCAAGCAATTGCTGTCTACACCCTTTCTAAATATATTATGGGTATCGCCTGCTTATTGGAGATCCGTCTTCCTCATTTCGGGTCTCGAGTGATTACCAATGCTGGCTGAAAGTAGAAATATTGGCTATATCGCTGTGGTGCATCGGATAACATGGGACGAAATAGCGTAGCGATTGTTATGTTTGATAAAGCCCATTTTACTTTGATTGAATAGAAACCGGTAAGCGACTATATGATCTATGCCCTTTTTGCAATATTAATGCTTATACGTTCGTCGAACCATCGGTTTGCAAATGCGAACCGTGTAGAGAAGAAGAAATAATCTCTATTATCCATAAGTTTAAGGCCAATAAGATTTAAGAAATGGTCTCCGGGCTGAACTCTTCAAACGTTATCCATCGTTCTTCATAACACACCTTCAACAAATGTACTTTTTGGTTGAGAAAAAAGAAATATTACCAGATGATTGGAGCAAAGCAATTTTTGCTCCCAGTTTTCAAGAAAAGTGACAGGATATACTGCTATAGTTATCGAGGAATCAGGATACTAGACTTCTCAGCAGAAATTTTTGCTTCCCTTTTATTCAGTAGATTTATGGCAGAATGGGACATTGGGATGCCCTAATCAAGCTGGATTCAAGTCGGGTTACAAGAAACTAATACAGTGCCTTTTTATAAATTTATTGCCAGTTAAGGAAATGCCTGATTCTAAATACCTTGGATCCTCTCTAATATCGAATGGCCAGGCAAAAGACGATATTTTAGCGCGGCAGCGAGAAATGCATTCTTCCGATTGACGAAATCTTTATGGAGCCGTCGTGAAATCACCGTAAAAACTAAAGTCCTCATCTGTATAGTTGCAATTTGCCCGATTTTGGAGGACATTCAGAAATAATGTGCCTTTAATCACTCATATATGTTCAAGATATATGTTAAGGGTTTGCCGAAATCTTACATGATTGCATCCATCTGCGGTCAAATGCAATTTACATTAATAGTACCATTACGGAGCGTCGCATTTGCTGGTTAGGGTTCTTCATCGTCTATCACAAGAGTTGACACATTTCATTTCTTACTAAATCCTGTGTTGGATGGCGTCGAAAGCGAGGTGGACCAATCAAGATCTGAATACAGGAAAGATTTTGAGTGTATAGGTGGATCAACAATATGGGCATAGACAATGGAAAAAGAAAAAACTTTTATTATCAAAAAGCTTTTTCTTCGTCGACGATGGCATCAGATCGCATCGCTTGGAAACGTCTTGATATTGTAGTCATTACAGCCAGGCTAACCAGTAATGGAGCTGTTAGAAGAAGAGAAAAAAACCTTACATTCGATCATCTGAACGATTTCGAAACGTATACTTTTGTTGTTTAAAAGTAACTAAAGAATTTTTTGCCAGCATGTACTATGAACCTACAGATTGCTTTTTTTGTTTCCTTAATAATATTCTTTTTCAGATAAAATTATATGGCTTCTGTAGGAGAAGGATTGTTGGCGTTAACTGGAAAGCGTACCAGTGGTGAATCGATTCGAACTCAGAATGGTTTGAAATAATTTTCAAAATTTGAAGTATTTTCATATTAAGAATTCAGAAGAAATGAAGTTGCGAATGAAGTTTTTGTAGTATTTTTGTAGTACGTATGCAGTGTAGTATTTTATTTTAAAATTTGTGGTATAATTCTTTAGCAGACTAGTAATTTTATTCAAATGATGGTATAGATGGTCCATAAAAATTCATTATTCATTAAACTATCAGAGATTATGGTAAATTTCAAGCGGGGTGAAATTTCCATGAAATTTTTTGGCAATTTTGGCTAAATGAAGGTTGTAAATTCTTTCAGTGATGGCTGCATCAGCAATTGCTAACATTATGAAAAGTTCGTTGGGACCGGTTGGTCTTGACAAAATGCTAGTCGACGAAGTTGGGGTATATTTTTTATAAATTTTACAAATAGTCTTTAAATACTGAAAAATTACCAAGTAAATATATATATATATATATACATATGTACTATTTGAAGATTTAGCGGGAGTATTCGCATGATTTAAGATGATATTTACACATATATTTAAAATAAAAATAAAATAATATATCAAAATAATATAAAAAAGATGCATAATAATGACGGAATTGCAAAGTGATATAAAGCACCACAGTAAATTTTGTCTTTAGTAAATTAATACGTTTCTTTGTAAATTGATGCCCAATATTCATGTATTTTGTTAATGATATTGTTATGTCATCTATTCATTTATTTAAAGTGTATAAATTTTTCAAATTTGTTGAGTATTATGGTTTTCTTGTTTCAGGAGGCACTTATTACTAACGATGGTGCAACAATACTGAAACACCTCGATGTTCAGCACCCTGCTGCTAAAGTTCTTGTCGAATTAGCTCAGCTTCAAGATGAAGAGGTTTAATTTTTATTGAGAACCATTTCTTTTCATAATTTCATGGTTATCGCAAATATCATTGTAAAAATTATTGAAGGTTGGAGATGGAACATCGTCTGTAGTTATTATTGCTGCCGAAATGTTGAAAGCTGCTGATGAACTTGTTAAACATAAGCTTCATCCCACCACTGTTATCAATGGTTATCGCTTGGCATGCAAAGAAGCTGTAAGATATATGCAGGTTTGATTCATTTTAATCCGTTCAAAAACTTATCCTTCAGTTTTTTTTACTTCATTTTGCTCTTTAGTTTCGAATTTTAATACAGTTTTTTTAAATTTTATTTGGAACCAATTATTTGGAAGTTTTAAGGAAAATCTTTCCATCAGTGTTCAAGAGCTTGGGCGCCAATCCGTTCTTGGCTCAGCTAAAACCGCGATGGCTTCAAAAGTGATTGGGACGTATGTTCTGTTTTCTCCTTATTTTTTATTGTTTTTTAGTATCGAATGTCCATAATTTCTTGCTTATCCTCTGTGTTTTATTGTGGTTGTTTTCTTAAGGGACGCCGATTTTTTCGCAGAAATGGTCTTGGAAGCTGTTGATTTAATAAAAACCACTGATGCAAAAGGTCATGTCAAATATCCAATTAAAGCGATCAATATTCTGAAGGCGCATGGTAAATCTATCCGTGAAAGTATGCTTATCAGAGGATATGCCTTGAATTCCACCATTGCCAGCCAAGGTTTTATCTTGCTCTGTAACTTTATAGATCCATTTTTTCGGCATGGCTATAAGGACTAACTAGTTGGTCATGCAAACTTATTAACTAAACATCTTTTTCAGCTATGCCTAGAGTAATTCGAAATGCGAAAATCGCTTGTTTGGATTTCTCGCTTCAAAAAATTAAAATGCATCTTGGTATTTCCGTCGTTGTTGAAGACCCTGAAAAACTCGAAGCTTTCAGGAGGGAGTAAGTACTTTCTTTTTTTATGATGGTTTGATATTTATCCATTTTTTTTATCCATTTATCCATTGTATTGTATTTTTTTATCAGATTTAGTCTATATTTTTGCAAATTTTTGCGCTATAACTTCCTTCAGCGGTACCTCAGTGGCTCAATGACAAGGCAATTATCACCGAGGTCTGGAGAATCGAGGTCTGGGTTCTAATCTGACGCACCACTCTTTGCCTAAGCTCATTGAGTTGTTCCTCAATTTGAAACGCATCAGTTATGGTTGTATTTGCGGCAGGAATAAACCTGTTCGTCCGGATGGCACTGGTACTCGCCTGTGTTACCTAGGGGCTCGTTGCTATATTTATCTAGCACGACAAGCGAGAGGTGCGAGTCTAGACGGTAATGATGAGGGATTAAAAAAAAACTTTCTTCAGCTTATAAAAAAAAATATGTTAAAAATGTGTAATATATATATAAAAATGTATTAAAGAGAGGCAGCAATAACAAAAAGACGTATTGAGAAAATATTAAAAGCTGGCGCCAACGTCATATTGACAACAGGAGGCATTGATGATTTTTGTTTAAAACAGTTTGTTGAAGCAGATGCTATGGCCGTTCGTCGCTGTAAAAAGGCAGATTTAAAGCGAATAGCTAAAGCAGTTGGAGGTTCTATCAGTTATTTAAAATTTATCATAAAATTTATCATAAATATTCTAATGGCGAATTTGATATAAATAACCAATTTTCAAGAGCTGAAGATTTGAAAAATAATGATAAATTTAATTATTGTAATTAAGCTACACTAACGGCATCGCTTGTGAATTTGGATGGAAATGAAACTTTTGAACCATCTTTATTGGGGTCTGCTGATGAAGTTATACAAGAAAGAATTTCTGATGATGAATTAATACTTATCAAAGGTACAAAAGGAAGGACTGCTTCATCGATTATTCTGAGGTTAGAATCGATTTTTTGTCTTGTTCCGCGGAATTTTATCCTTAAATTAAATTATCCTAAAAATTTATAGAGGACCGAATGATGTAATGTTGGATGAAATTGAACGGTCCATTCATGATGCGTTATGCGTTGTACAACGTGTTCTGGAAAGCAAGAAACTTGTCGTTGGTGGCGGTGCTGTTGAAGCAGCTCTCAACGTTTATCTTGAAGCATTTTCTACTACACTGGTTTGTTAATAATTAACAATAAACGAACAGTTTATTTTTTCAAAGTTTTATTAGAAAAGTTAAAAATTGCACTTTCTAATGAATTTATTTTTCGTGCCGTGCCCTTACCTCATTAGATAATAAATTATTTTAGTCAAGTCGTGAGCAGTTGTCGGTTGCAGAATTCGCGAATGCTTTGCTTGTTATACCGAAAACTCTAGCATCGAATGCAGCCAAGGATTCGACAGAACTGGTCGCTAGATTACGAGCTTTTCATAATAAGGCGCAACAAGTGAAAGACCTTGCTCATCTGAAATGGTGATTGTCTTATTATTTTTTAATTGAGAGAGAATCATTTCATATAAAAGATTTTACTGTTGTAAATGAAAAATTTTTAGTGAAAGAAATGAGAAATAATTCTTATAAATTATTGTATTATGAAATTCAATAGGGCTGGTCTTGATTTGGAAAATGGTGAAGTGCGAGATAACAAGGCCGCTGGTGTACTGGAACCACTTATGAGTAAAGTGAAGAGCTTGAAATTCGCTACTGAAGCAGCGATAACCATATTGCGAATTGACGATTTGATTAAGCTCGAAAAACCACCAGAAAAACCACGTGATGAAGATCAATGTATGTGATTTTTTTCTTAAAATTAAAGTCGGCTTATGTTAATTTTTTTTCGTTTATCTTGCTTAATATCTTCTCTTTATAATGCCATGGAAAAGTTCTTTAAATTCTGGCAGAAAGAGGAGTAATTTCGAAAAAAAAATTCTAGTTTTTTCTCATAAAATCAAGTTTTTTATAGACATAAACGAATTTTAATAGCTTTTAGCCATTATGTTTTTAACTTTTGTTCTTGTTTTAAATTGTTATTGTGCAACTTATATTTGCTATTTTCATCGTAATAAATTGTGTTGCATAAAGGCTTTTGCGGTACCGAACGCTTGATTTGTTAATAATGAAGTATCCACCAGTTTTTTGGTCTCTATCTTTCTTTAATATCTTCTCTTCATAACGCAGTGGAATGGTATGAAGAGGAGAGATTTCGAATAAATCCAGTTTTTTCCATAAGGAACAACTCTAATTAAGAAAGCATTAGGATTGTTTTACAAAGGCTCTTGTAACTATAGTGTCCTATCAGAAATTACGCTATGGAAATACTGATGATTCAAGCAAATATTTGTTTAAAACCAAGCTTGGATTCATCGAATGTCGTATAATAAAATAATAGGTAAACTTTGTTATAGTTTAGATTGAATATAAAAAAAACATGGAAAAATTAAATTTTCCATATCGGTTTCGTGGAATGATTTTTCATCCATAATTTCCAGAAAATCTTCAGTTCGATCTATGTGTAGCAATTTGTATGTGCAATTTATGCTGGTGGTGCCCATTTACATTATATAATTTATTCTATAATGAAAAATGCGAATAAAGTAATGAACATGAGTTCTCACTTCTCATTTGTCCTACAGTTTTGATTTAGTAATATGGGATCATTGGGTCTAATTGCATTTGATCAGGCTGAGATTCTCCCATCGTATTGGAGTAATTTGGAGCAGTCAGCAGAATTTTCATGTTGGTCCTGCGTGATCCTTAATAAGCTTAATGAGTTTCCCTGTAATTCTACTTCTCTTAATGGTATTAAGAGTTGAGGCAATGCATAGTGCAGCGATGATGTTTCGGTGGTCTGTGTTGGTATTTCGAAGAATTTTCCTTCTTTTTTCGAATGAGCCTATAATTCAATCTTCTAAGGGATCGTGCTATCTTACAGTGAAGATTGAAATCAATATTTGTGCCAAGGTCTGGATTTTTGCAAAGTTATTATTCATATGCTTCTTAGATGGGCTTCAAGTTGGAGTGAGGCAGTGCATTTTGTCCTTGTTTTTTGAAAGCAATCATTCATTCTGTCATCATTTAAAAAATTATTCATTCGATTTACCGCGCAGGTAATAAATTTTGTAATCATTAGTGCAAAGGTGAATAGTCAAATACAATTTTATTGATATCGTTTGTAAGTATGATAAAGAATTTTGTAGCAAAAGAAATGCCACGCATAAATCCTTAATTTGACGGACTTCAAGACGAAGAGCGAATTATTGATAGGTGCAGCTTGGAATCGATCGCTTAGATTCTCTTAGACATCCACATATGTAAATCTCTCACAATGCCTTAATTATCACCAACTACTTGCTATGGTATGCGAAAAGTATCAAACACTGGGTGACTGGCTCCATTTACCTGATCATCAAAGTCGCTCATAAGGATTCTCTTTGGAATGGCTAAACTTTTGTAAATGAAAACTATGTTATAAGCAGGATATCAGATAATTCAAAGCAAAGCAGTTATATAAATTATTGTAATTTTAGATTGCCTCGATATTCTGCCGCTAGCTTCGAATGAAGCTTAGATTTTAAGCGATTTCCATTCGCTTTTTTAAGAGTAGACGATAAATATTATGTTGCAATGAAAGATTTTAAAAGGCTCTGGCCAATTGTTATATATTTTGAATAACGAAGCTTTTTGGCTTTGCATTTAAAATGTCTGTGGATTAATAACTAAATTTTATTTCCATTAATCAAATAAATAGTATCAACGAATATAAGTCGATATGGCGTGGTGATAATAATAATAATGATAGTAATAACAATGATAGAATAATAATAAATATAACAATAAAGCTAATAACAGCGATAATAATAATAATATGGTAACATTAATAAAACGACAATAATAGCAACAGTAACAATAATAATATGATGACAATAATAATAATAAATAATAATAATGATATTTAATAATAACAATGATGAAAAATAATAAATAAATAATAATTGAACGATTTGAGGCAATCGTGAACACAACAAATGCCCATTAAGAGATGTTTGGGAGCATTTACCCTTTTTAATGATATTTAAGTAACCTCGTTCAAGCGTTTATTTTCTTTTCGAATTTCTCGACATTTATATTTCATCAAATTCAAGATGTATATTCAAAATTCAAAATACTTATTAGGAGAAAATGAAAACGTTTGGAAAAACTGCAAATTAGCTATTAACTGACTGATTCTGGGATAAGCGCCATCTTGAAATACAATGTGAATGAATTGCAAAAAAATTGTTATTTGTAAAACTTCACAAAAATTGTTTATTATCATTATTTTTATTGTTACTATGCCGCTGATAAAATTCAATGTTCGTCTGCAGTTTCCAATGTATATGTATATATGTATGTATATTTGGAATGAATCTTATTTTCTCTTGTCTAATTCTATGTTGAAAAAACAGAAATCAAAGCGCGAATATCAGTTTATAATAAATATTGAAGAATGACGACCTATTTGCAATAAAACAAAAAATGACTGAGAAGCTGAAGTGATGCTTATTGTGTGAAGAAGGCTGAGATTAACTGGGAAAGAGCAAATAGTTTTATAACGGACTTCAGTGAACATATCTGATTCCTGATTATGGAAAGAGTTCCACTGCTGCTGAAAGAGTCATCCAAAAACAGCCAAGTGCTAGGATTGCTGCTGCGATTAGATTTCCAACGGTGAGGTATTCGAATGCTAATTAGAAATTAAGTAAAATGAAATATTCGAAGGTTGAAAGATGAATAAAATGCATCGTGTGAATGGCGTTGTATAGAAAATCTAACAAAAGGCGTGGTTCCTACTACCGAGCAGAATCGGAAGCCCATTAAGTGCCAAGGGTCATTTTGCTTCATTTACCTACTCCGAGAAACTAATTCTTCCCAATAATATTTTATTCGCTATGCAAATTAAGTGCCATAAAATTATAATTTTCCAAGTGCTTCTGGTTGGTTTATTAAATTTTTTTCTTTAAATAGTTGTAACGAATTTTGGCGAATCACTAAAGAAGGAATTATTTGAAATTTTCCTAACAAAACATTATTTATTTTGAATATATTTATTTATTTAGATTTTTTTCCTATTTATTAGATTTATTTAAAATGCACCCAACTTCTATTAGATTTAGATTCCAAAAAATTTTAAGCTAAAAGACTAAATGACTTTTAACGTTTTCAGAGATAACAATAAAAAACGCCCGTAGTTAGTTCTTAAAGATTTATTACGGCATTTCGCTAATAATTCTTGCATTGCTTTAATTTCGTAAACGTTTTCTTTACTTTAAAGCTATTATGTAAGCTCCAATTTAAATTTGCTTGGAAATTCACTTCAGGATAATCATTTCAATAAGGAAATATTTAGTGAATCGCGACAATAATCGCCGTCTAGTCACCCCATAAGGAATCGCCAATTTTTTTAGTTATTCTAGTTAAGAAATGGCTAAAAAATTCGTGCAAACTGTCTATTTCGGTTTCCAGATTGATTAAATTTCAGAGGAAAACAAGATTCATTGTTTCTAAGATTCCCACCTTGAGGCTGATTTTGGCTGATGGAAATTTGCACGGAAGTCCTAAAAATAAGTTAATCGGCGAAAAATCTGCGTAATTTAAATAACAGTTTGTAATCTAATATATAATGGCAAAATTATAATTACCACTGTAATTTTGAAAAAAATCAAAAACAACTTAGGCACGCAAACATGATTTCTCGTTCCAAAATTGAATGCTTCAAAAAAATGATATGAAAAAATGATAAGTAATGATTAACCATGATGATCGCATCCATCTTCATTCAAACACCATCTGTATTATCACAGAGCGTCGCCTTCGGTGGTTGGGGCATTCTCCGTCGTCCACCATGAGAGTTGTCATATTTCGTTACTTGCTAAACCGTGTGATGGATGGATTCAAAAACGAGGTGGGCCAATCAAGATCTGGACTGATACGGTCAGGAAAGATTTTTGAACGTATAGGTATACCAGTAATATATGGACTTAGACGATAGAAAAAGGAATGGCTTCTATTACTGTCGACGATGGTATTAGACCGCGCCATTTGGAAGCGTCTTATTCTTGTAGCCAACCAGTGAAAGCTGTTGGAAGGAGAAGGATAAATATAATGAAATGGCAGAATTTCGCTTAATCATCAGAATTTTTCTTTGCCCTTTTTACGGCAACTTACTAGTAAATTTTTATTTTTTGTATTCCAGAAATTATTAAATATATATTAAAAGATTTTTGTAAATATTTTCAATATTTTCTCAAATTATTTCGGTTGTTCGATGTTTTTATGCAAACAATTTTTGTGATATTTTTATTGGCATACATAATTTTTTTTTAAAAAAAGGCTCTTGTTTTCAAATAAATTTGAACGCTAAAATTTGGAACAATTCGAAAAAAATTATTTGGCAAAAAACTTTTAATACAATTTCGTTGATTTTGGTTTTTGGTTTCACGAAATCAAACTGCAAATAATGAGCGTTTCAAATGAACTTTTTTGTGTTTTTAACATAGCTTAGGGCCTTCAGGCTTAGGCCTTGCACACTGAATTTCAGCTGTTTCTTTTATAGGATTTTATTTATAATTATAAATCATTGTGAAAAATGTTTAAATTGTATTATAAAATTATTTTATATTATAAAAAATCATTATAAATTGTATCATTATATGTTATATTATAAATCATTAGGAGTAGATACAACAACCTTGAAGAAGAGAAGAGTTCTCCTCAGTGATTTCCTCCATAACTTTTTTTAATATTAGGTGGATGTGGATCAACGAAAGCAGATTTAACGCAGATTTTATTATTCCATAATATTATTAGAAATCGTTCAATCGTTTTCGTTAAAAGAATCCGTCTTAGAATAATTTCTTCAAAAATAAGCTATTTAGCGGCGACCTTCATATTTATAATATATTTATAATATTTATAATACAGTCGATTGTCTGAATTTTTTGTTTCTTCGAACTAACGACCAATAAAGTTGAAGAAAATTAATGATGAATTATAGATAATTCGTCCATTTTTCATCTAAAAAAGATTGAATTTGAAATTAATTGATTAAAAAAAGGTTCCGGAATCAAAGAATAAATTAAGAAAAACAGGATGAGGTCGGTTTCAACAAGGAAATTCGTTCGTAGAATACACTAAAATCGCTCTCCTAAACTAATTAAATTATGGCGTCAGGAAACACATTCACAAAAGAAGATCCATAACAATGCCATATTTTTTATTGCATTTTTTATTGGATTACTTTTTGGGATCATTTGAATCATTGAATGTTTCTGAATTTTGGTTCGGTCTTAGAAACAAATCTTTCGTGGTAAAAGAACTGCCGAATGAACTTTGAAGCGGATTAAACTTTTCTGAAATTTCTTTCATTCCAAAATAGTTAAGATTTGCCCATCCAAGTTCAAAAGACTTCACGACGAAAGGGTTTCTTTTAAGTCAGTGAAACTAGCCGTAGAAAGGGGAAAAGCTAGAAAAAGGATTTTCCATTAAAATATTGAAGTGGAATTAATGAAAATAGTAAAGAATACTGGAATACTGAATATGTTTTCTTTTTTTTTAATCCGTACTCATTTATAGACAGTCAGGGTAAATTTAAATTTTCAAAAATTTTCTTTTGGCTGAGCGTTTTTTTTATCTCGAACAATCTTTGGTAAATTTATGGACCTATGATTGTTAATGGACTTCGAAGTTACTCATGCACTCATGAACTTCTTAACCGATTTACGATTCATTTAGAAGTTCATATATGCATATATATGAATTGAGTGCTTTTTATTCTCAGCAATAAACATAATGATCATTTCAAGGAGAAATTAATTTCCTTTTTTTTGTATTATTATAATGTAAAAATTCACAAATTCGGTCAAGGTAAAAATTTTCCTTCGCGAATATTCTTTGACAATGAGAAATTTTCTTCCTTCAATATTCTTAGTTTCTGGCAAAATTAAGCTAATAGTTTCGCCGCTATTAATTTTTCAATTTTTTTAAAATAATTTTCCCTTATTAATTTGATTAAATAAAATATGTTACTGCAATTAAACTTAAGTGAATTAATTATTCTTGAAAAGGGGAAATTCATTCACTTTAATTTAAATTTAATAACAAATTAAATATTGAAAGTGTGGAGAGTTTTTGTAATTTTGTGAATTTTATAAATTTCAGGTTGCGATGGCAGAATATTCAAAAGTGAATAACCACATCGTCGGTATTATTCTTTAGTTTTTTCTTTCGAACATATAATCTCTGAATGTTTAATAATAATTAATAATTAATAATAATTTAATAATTAATAATTAATAAATAATTTAGATAAAATTAATAATTTAGATAAAATTTTATAAAATAAAGAATAATATTTGGTAAAATACCATAAATGCTAGCCAATATGTCTGCTCTTCATAAACATTCATGAAATTCGCATTTTCTAAAAGTAAATATGATCTATTAAAAGTAACTATCGCCAAAATAATAATCTCTCTTCATTTTTAGTAGCCACAATTTCAATAAATGTCCCACAGTAAATTTCAATTTATGTGATAAGCGATGAGTTAAGCAATATAAAAAATTTCGAAAACTCATCTACATTTTCAACAACCACGAATTCAGATTTTTACTTTTGATATAATTGAATCTTCGTAATTAAGATTTATAAACATTTGGCTATTAAAATGATTGTAGGTGAAGCCAAGGTTGAATGCGAGCGAGATTTTATTCGCTTTTCCGTGCCAACTTTAATGCCTTTTAAAGGAAAAGTATTTGTAAAAGGCGAATACATTAACAGTCAATGCGTAAAAAATTATGCTTTAAAAGGTTACCATTATCAAACTATTTGCTAAAAAAGCTTAAAAAATTTTCACATTTGGTTATTCCTAACTTTTATTTTTATTTTCTATCCTTCATTCACTATATTATCCACGGACAGCCAAGCGGATGCTAATTTAGACTACCATGTTGTGAATTAGCCTTCGGCTTCTACCCTTGGCAAAAGTAAACCTGTCATTAAAATAACGGAATAGACAACGACCTACCTTTATTTATCTATCTTTACTTCTACCGCTAACTAAAAATTTTCTGATCAAATTAATGCCCAGTTGAGCTAGCCAATTTAGCGAGAAATATGGGCACTTACTCTTCAATTACTTTTATCTTCTTCATTTAAGTCAAGGATCCAATTTACAAATGTGTTACATAAATCTTTCATTTTTCCTCATTTTTTAATATTTCCAATGATCAATAATAGGTAGTTAGAGGGAACAACCCATAATCACGAAATTATTACAGGACAAGCTGGAGAAAAAGTTGGAGCAGAAGAAAATGAACATAACGAGACCGCTAGAAAAGAAGTAAATCAAACTATCGACCGTGGAAATCAAAGTTTAAGAATCAATGAGAATGAACTGGGAATTGCGATCGAAAGGCCAAACAAAACAAAAGCGAAGTTCGTCAACAACCCAATGGAAGGAACTCTTGCAACAAACTCTTATTGTCCGCCTTGTCCTATATGTTCAACGGAGAATGCGAAGAGATATGAGCGTCAAGCAGAAGAGACGAATGAAGCAAGCATTACCATAAAATCAGATACTTGTAATGCAAAACGTGATCGTATAGTAATTATTTTAGCTTTTTTGATTATTTTTTATTTAATTCTGGCTTAATTTGGAATAAACCATTTCCAATAACGAATTTAGCGAAGTAATAAATTAATGGCCTACAGCAATCTGAATTCTTCGAACATATTTAAAATAAATACGAAATAAATATTTCTGACTTTTAAGAAAATTATATATGTCATAATTATAGGCTTTAACTGCTTGGACTGAATTTTTCAAAAAAACTTTCGTTCTATTATTTCCTTATTAAAATCACACAGGCCACTTGCCATTTCAATAAATAAGTGAATTCCGGGTGATGCTAGTGACTCATCCGTATTTCTGTCGCCAACGGATTCCCTGGCATATTTGTTCAATCTGACAAGCCAGCAGAGCGATGTTAGCAATGTTCAGTGCTCGTTCTTAAAAAATGAATGAATTGATTGCATTCTTATTCCAGCCATCGTTATATAAATTTTTCTTCATAATCTGATTTTCAAAGGCTTCGATTTTCAAAATTTTTTTGAATTTATTTAATTCTTTCCTTCTTTAATCATTAATCTATAGATATTTACAATATTTATATTTTTTTTTAAAGTGTTTTCACCATTATTGGTTAAACTGGCTTGTATTATTGGACAATATGCCAGAGAGCCCCTTGGCGATAGAAATACAGGTGAGTCGCCAGCATCACTCAGATTCTTGGACAGATTTACTCTTACGACAATATACATTATATTAATTAATTAAAATGGAATTATAATATAACAAACACAGATGTCACCACCAGGAATTGTGGTGTCTTTCACGGTAATCGTTACCTTCCATGAGAATTTTATTACAAAAGTCGATCGAGCATACCGAGTTCAGTGCGAATATTTGGAAACAACTAAATTAGTGACGACAAAAATCGATGTTAGGTCAGTTCACTTTTCATTCAGTTTTTGAAAAAAGAATATCATTGGAATATTTTAGGAAAAACTCGAAATAGCTTTTGCTCATGGTTATTATATATAAAAACAATAAACTCCTATAAACAACAATAAGTTAAGAAGCTTCAGCATTATTGCTATTTATTTGGCTCATTTTAAAAAAATAACAAACCATTAGCCATTGCCTGATATCAATTAATGAATGAATATTAATTAATTAATATTTAGAATATTATTTGAATAACATTCGGTATGATATTATATTTAAGTATGCCCATGTCAACTGAATTGTCAGCCAGTTATGAAGGCCCTTTATGCGAGTACACGATTAAAGATCAAGCGGGGAACGTTATTAGGAATGCAAGAATTGGTGATATAATCAATCATGAATGGCAGTGTAAAAGTGTAGTAACAGGTATGAATGTAGTTTAAAAATACTGAATCTGTTGAGTCAGTAATTTGTCCGATAGATTTTTAGATAAATTATAGTAAATTACATTATTATATTTAATTTGGAAAGTTTTTTAAAAAATCCATGGCTGATTAACAGAGCGGATGAACGAAATCTGCAGAAGAATTTATTTTGACTTTCACAGCCTTAGGCTTAAGTAAATGAAAATATATAAATATATATATATAAAATATATATTATATGTATATATAATGTAAAAAATATAACAAAATACATATTTTAATTAAAATATATTTGAAAGGAATGAACGCTATTTTGGTGCATAATTGTTATGTAGAGGGTGCAAATAATCAACGAGAAATCATCATCGATAGCAAGGGGTGCGTTTTTTCCATCATTTATTTATATGCTTGACGAATAGTCGTCTCCTTACACCTCCCTTTGTAAAAGGCGTTCGCGAATGCAAATAAATTCGAATAAAAGATTCTGTCTATTCCTTAAATTTCTCATCTCAGTTTCATTTTGGGTGAATCGTTTTTACCGCATAGCTTCTGTTTTTCTAATAACTTGCACTCCACCGCTGATTTGGTTTGCTCCATTGGCGATTTGAATAAGATTTCTATGCTTCCCAATTTGACCTAATGCTTGAAAATTAGGATGCGTATGCGCTCGAAACTTGACTTTATCAGTCGAAGCCTTCTTGTCTAGTCCTCCTCGCTTTTGAAATCATCCATGACCACAACGATTAATAAGATATGCGTACTCTTTCAATAGATGAAGAAGAACATGATCTGATTAGACATGCCACATATATTATTAATGAAAGTATTATTCGAGCGAAGATGGTTACAGTCATGAAGGCTCTGTTTGCTTGGTTGGTGCGTAGCATGTACATTAGGTATGAATGCTGAAAGCCTTCCTGATATCTACCACTCTCATTGGCCATGTTTCGCAAATTTATTTCGGGATCATCACTTTTTATAACAAAAGAGTCTCGACTTATTTACATTAGTCTGAGGACTAATTTTCGCTACCACTACCCACTATCTGGTCTAATGTATATTGCAGTTTCTTGTCACTGTAGGTGAAAAGGTCAGCATCATCAGCGCATTTAAGATCCGTGGGTGTCCGATATTAAATTTAATATTTTTATCGCTTTATGCCTATAATTTATCTTTTATTAGTTTTTATTTCAATGATATCAAATTTTTATTTGATTTTTCTTCAGATGCACTTTGGACCCTTTCATTATACCAAACCCAACTTATAGTCAAGATCAAATGTTCGCTAAAGCTCAAACAATGGTATTTAAGTTCCCAGACCGCACTGGCATTGACTTTCAATGTGATATATCAATATGCATTAAAGGCGAGGGTCACTGCAATCAGATCAGCGTAATCTTACAAATTTTTGATAAAAAAGCGAAAATATTTTGAAAATTTCTTAAATTGGAAAATTAATGGATGATAGAAAAAATCATTCACCCCATTGATCCGCAGTATTGAAAAAAAAATCGTTTTAGCCACCCGATTGCAGTTCGAAAAAGTCGCGGCGTTCGGTAGTAAATGAAACCCAAACCACATGGAGATTACACGCACTAGGACTCGATGTTGTTGACCTCGGTGACGAAATATCTGATTCAGGTCAGTAACCATTTATAAGTACCTTCGTCTCGACTAACATGTAGTATAGTCGTATTTTACCAAATGAAACCGATAATTCGAATTAAAACAAAGAAATTCAAACCAAACCCCATTCATCTGACTTATATTCTTCATTAAATTATTAGTTCATTAATTAATTATGCTTTTCAGAAATAAATTTCGCAAATCAATTTAACCGGAAAAGATGGCATCACGCAGCAAAAAGTCCTTCTTACTGTGTATCGGTTGCAGGATTTGGCATTATAATAGCAACGTGTACCTTTGCATTAACGATCTCCTCAGCAGTGATAGGCTTTTTTGCTATATCGAAGTCAAATATGAAGTCTACTATTGTCTTTTCTGCTTTTCCAGCTTTTTGATAACAGCTGAATATAAAATTGCTGATTGATTTCAAATTTTACTATTTTAATAAGAATTTAAAATTTAATATTAAAAACTGAAATGTCATCATTCGTTTTTCCTCATATTTGAAGGAGCATGGTTAACTCCAACTGCAGAGCGGTTTTTTATTGACCACTAATTTATAATTGTTTTAAGCGAAGTTCTGCAATGCGTTGGCCATCAATTGGCCATCATTCACGCTTCTATTTTATGTGGAGGTGACCGTCGCAATGACAGACAGATTTTTTGTGGGATACTTAAAGAAAGGCTGAAATGAACATAAATTCGAATATTGGCATCAATTTCATCCCGCATTTATTCTGTTGTTCTCATATTTTACTTAATATTTAACGTAATATGCAGTATGATAAATTTAAATGTGAGGAGTTCCGAAATTTTTTCTAATCATATTTATAATACTTAATCATAATGTTAAATTTATAGCAATTATATTTGTAATATGTGATATCATAATAATATTATTCGCGTTATTCTATGTTTATTTATTTTCATTTATTGCTCACTCATTTTTTTCATCCACATTTACATAAATAAACTCATTAATTACGACGAAAATATGAAAAGATCATTATATGTTATATTATATGTTGTACGCTCGTTCGTAGAAACGACATAAGGACAATGCATTTATAATTTTAGATTATAATAGGCTTTAAGATTAATTTATAATTTACTTCACTAATGGTATGGAAAATGATTATCATTAATCCAGTTATTTAACAAATCCAAGATGTAAAACTTTTCTAATAACCGCTGGTCCGAACCATAAACCTTTCACTAAGAAATGCCAATATAAAATTGGCAGAAAATATCGTTTCAAGAGTGCAGCTGAATATCTTGGTTTAGCTTGATTGATTGGCAAGGTTTCCATTGGTCCATCTGGTGTAAATTCAGCTAATATCACAGTCCGCGATGTAACCATCAGGGGACACGACGCATATCCATCATACTAATAATATTGCCTTTTTTCAAAATCATTCGAATAAAAATTGGCACTACTATTAACTTAATTACTTATTATTTTATTGCATAATGTCCTTTCGAAGAAGATAGATCGAAATTCTAAATAAATCAGTCAAAATATTATGATCCTCAAGAAGTGAAATGACTTACCACTCCACTTAGAGGTTTTCCTTTCAGAGCTGCTGGTATGTTCACATTTAGAGTTCTCAACTGGCTGGCTAAAATAGCAATGTAAAAAAATTGTTATAGGAGATGTAATTAGTGAATACAGCTTCTTAATTCATCATTTGTCAAAGGGAATATATCTTATTATAAAGGTCACTTAATCTTAGATTAAAGATTCATGCATATAATTTGCCAAGGGAACCAACAACAATAAGAAAAAGAAATCCATACAAACAGCAGCCCCAGTCTTCGCATTAGCAGTATTCATACAATCACCGACGCCAAATATATTGTCGAATCTTTTACTTAAAAGCGTTTTTTGATCAACATCTAACCATCCATTATTGTCAGTGAGTTCGGCACATTCTCTTAAGGCTTTGACAGGTGAACATGGTGGTGCTACATGAAGCAGATCGTACTAAATCCATTTATAATTTGAATTTTCCCTTCGAAAGATTAGGATTAATTATTTTTCTTTTGAAACTATTCATCATTTCTGACTAAGTTCGCTCCACCGACTTGTCAAATTGCCAGGGAGTAACTTGATGATAGAAGTACAGATGAATCGTCAGCATTACCGGGATTTTTGAAAGATCTATTTCTGCCGAAATAAAAAGTAACAATTTTAATGGCAGCTTCTTAATAAATTAAAATATGAACAATTTTATTGGTAAAATTGTTCATGTGGATAATTAATGCTCATTTTGTTAAATGTTAATTTTAAAAATACTTTGGTAAAAAATTTAGAAATTTTAAAAAAATTGTTAAAGTTTTCAGAATTTTCAGCTTAGAATTTTCAGAAAACGATATTTGAGTTATGCTGTATGGCGCAACGAATGATCACTTCTATTCCCTGCTGATCCTGCTAAATAGTCGGATCTAACCCACCTAATTATCTGCCCTAATAGTCGAGAATTCCTGCAAAAAAAAGGTTAATCAAAGCTTTTTTTTCCTTGATCATTTAAATTCAATTGCAAATTGAGCTCAAATTTGTACCTCAAACGATTCGACTTTTCCTGTTGGTTTAGCATTATCATCCAATACTTGAAAAACTGCTTGTTTCGTACTGATGTCAACTTCACTGAGATTTCGCCGAGTATTTAGTTGAATACTTCGTTCTTTCACGATTTTTAAAAGAGCTTCCGCGTATTTTTTTACTCCAAAGATGGCACCCAATGACGTATTATACATAACTGTAGTTTTATCTCGAACTCCACGCTTAATTTTTATAATATCTATTATATATATCTATTATATAATATTAAATTCAGTTCATGCAATGCAATGCTTTGTTAGAATTTTCGCATATCCATAGTATGCGATTTCTTGTGACCGTTTCGGTTGTTTCGTAAAGATTAAGCATAAAGATTTACAGCAGCTTGAACTGAAATATTCTTCCTCTAAATTCCTCTAAATTTCTTAAATACTCTCATTTTTTCATAGTTCAATAATAAAGAAATCTCACAGATTTTAAAAAAATTACCTTTCGAAAAATTTCCTCCGCTAAGTAACAAATTTTTTGCGGCGCGCCCGCACATTTGATAGGTGTATTAGGAAAAGTAAAAATTGCATTGCCACCTTTGAATGATGAAAGTTCTTTATAAGTTTTTTCGACGAATCCGCTATAGTAAATGCTGCATAAACCCGCCGCATTGAATGCTTCTGGCAATCCTTTTACCTCAATTCATTTCAGAACTTACAAGTTATGATATGTTATTTATGGTATGATCAGGATTTCGTAACTTTTTCAATGGTTAATTAGCCATTTTATAATATTTTAATATTTTTTTCATGGCATACAATATCAATTCCTATTTTAGTTTCCTTAATTCTGGCCGTTTTACTGATAATTATGAATTAGTATTTTATCGGCAATTTTAAGAGTTTCTAAAGATCTGCATGGATCTCACTATGTAAACTATTGCAGGCGACCATAAGTGGTGCCTTTGAAAATGAAAGTAAAATTAAAAATTGCTTTACGACAATTTTTTTATTTGCTTCATTTTAAAAAAATCCGGCTTAAGGCCTGCTTAAAAAAATTCGGAAATGCAGAAGAAGAATTAAAGAAGAATTTCTTGATAAATATAGAAAAAGAATAAAATCCGCGGAGATTTGTGGGAAAGTGAAATTCGGTTAGTATAGCAGTATTCGCAACGCGATCTTATAATGAAGGAGTCTCATCCTTATAGACGGTAAAACCACCAAACAAACTAGAAATGTTTACCTGACGTTAAAAAAACGAAGTAATTTGCAACTAAAATTAGTGTATGAAATCAGTAGATCATGAAAAATCTTCAGCTTCTAAATCACTATATTCTCCTTAAAAAATTAAAAATTCTCAAGCATTTATATGATAGACAGTAGACCAACCATGTCATAGCGCAACTCGAGGCCGACTGCTATCAACAGCATATCATATTTTACTTCCAATCCATCACTGAAGAATTGCATAGATCCTTGATGGGAACAAAAATGGTGTAAAGGTTTAAAAATAATAATAAATAAAAATTGCTAATTATGCTAAATACCGAAAAGCAACCACGTTAATTCATTAATTCATTCATCCATCAGTAGCTAAACGCAAAATTTTAGGCGTTAAACGATATAAAAGTGGAAATATGATAGAGTTATTTTAAATTTAATTGCAATTATTTTAGCACTCTATTTGTACAAAAAAAACATACTCTAAAACAATAGATGAAGTCTTCGGATGAAATTCCGATACGTAATTTTGCAACCAAACGGCGTCTCGATGAAAAACTTCCTTCATAGGTCGTATACATGATTTCAAGGTTTTCATTCCGCCACCGACAAGAGTATAACCAGCTTGGTAATGATGCTCCTTAATTCGCATCAACCTTTCTTTCTTGCAAAAAATATAAAAAATATCATCGATCAAAATGTAAATCTAAATTTGTGTGCGTTATTCTTAAAATGAATTAAATTTAATTTGTAGATTTTTCGCATCAACAAATTTCATCAATGTTTTTATATATAAAATTAACTGTGGCTGCGGTTTACAAACCCTTTTCGCCTGTTTTTGGTCTTATACTTGCAAAAAGCATGAGAAATGCTGACCTTATGTTTCTCGACGATTGCAAGCTGTCCTTTATTCACCAAGTGCTTGCAAACATGCGTGAGAGCGCAACCACCTGTTCCGCCACCAACGATTACCAATCGGTAATGAGCTGCAGCTAAGAATTTCGAATATTAATGTGGAAAGTCGAGAACGCAATTAATTTAATTTCCCAGCATTTTTCTTACCAATAAATGATTATATGATTCATTTTTGCAAACATTTCATTATTTTTTTGTTAAATCTTTGCCGCCTTTCATTAAGGAGGAAATTCAAAAAAAATGGTACATTTGGTGAAAAATTGATTGCTTCAAATTAATGTCGCTGCTTTATATGCTAAAAGAAAACAAATCGTTTCATATTCCAAAACATTATTATTTTATTAATATTATTATTTTTGAATAAATATGGCCTGGAAAAAATGATGTTTGATCTTAAAGAAGATTAAAATAGATAACAGATGATAGGCAGTTTTTTAAACACTGTTTTGAACAAGAAACAATGTTGAATAAAATCTGTAATATTACCTGCGACGGGCGTGAAAAGCATAGTTGTATAAAAAGTGTTAATTGATAAATGATAATGAAGAAATGGAATAAGCGAGAATAAAACCTATCGGCATTAATTCGCAAATAATCGTCGCTGAAAGAGAAAAAATACGGATGTGCGCGACGCAAACTCATTCGTCGTGCACTCGCAAACGAAATTTTCTGATTTTAATTTAGGTGATTTCAAGGAATTCATAAATTTTTGTTAAGTTCAATTGATTTCAGCTGATTGATTGAATTTTTGAAGTTGAAATTTTAAAGAAATTTGGAATAAAATTGTGAAAAAAATAATAAAATCTAATTTAATAACAAAATACACTCAATCAACAAGCGCCTTCATCTTTGTCTCCGGGCAGTGCTGGAGACCCAGCGTTGATAGCTCTTTGCTAAGTGATTAAGTGGAAATTCTTAACCAAAACCAGCTAGCAGTGAGTACCAATCCTTTCTAGCCGAACGAAGTTTCACTAAGAATTAATGAGGCAAATGGACTTACAAACCAATTTTCCTTAACTTCAACCTAAAAAATTCGAAAATGTTTCTCTTTTAATCGAAATTACTCCCTTCACTTTTAAAAAAATCAGTTGATTTGTCTAAATACATTTTTCATTGCTTTACAACACAGTCGCCGCTCTTATTTGATTAGTTTAATGTTTTAATCGATTATCATTTTCTTTCACATCATACAATATTCAAAACCAAATTTAAAAATATCAGTATAAAGCAATTAATTTAATTTATTGTCGATTCTAAATTTAATAAAGAAGAAAGAGGTAGTATGACTGCTTCGATTTGCATTGAGTACCAAAGGCTTGGTCCCTTCGTCCTAACATAGGAAATTCGGGTGTTGCCGGCAACTAATCAGTACTTCCATCGCATAATAAGAAATCGCGAGCACATCCGCTCATTATTTACTGACAATATTCACCTAAATGGCAATCACTTCCAAAATACAAGTGTCTCCACAAATAATAATACAATTAAAGTGTAATGTCGTTGAAACACCAAATTTTTTCGAAACTGAAAACTGGAATTTTTTTGACAGCAGCATTATATAAATTTTAGCATCTTTATAAAAATTTATTTTATTTAATAGAGCCATGAAATCATTTTAAATAATATTTTGGTGATATTTTAGATGCGATGCGGTAAGACTGAAAGGTTGAAAGCACATTGAATTTACGATAAAAATTTAGTTGTTTTCCACCTTATTTAATTTAATTTAATGATAAATGATAAAAAATGGAAAAGAACACTCCATATGGTGAGAAATGCGACTGCTCTGATATTGATAATTTAGCTTATCACCACACAAAGTGATTTAACAATAAATCCAAACTTATAATTTTTCAGCGAACAGCAATAAAAAACTGTACAAAATACTATTAGCATACGATGAAGCGATAAGGAGGGTTTGAAATTGGCAAAATTTTTGTTGACAACAGCGATAAGGAAAATTTTCCCAATTTTATCTATCTATAAAATATGAGAGATATGAAAATTATTGCATGGAAAATTTTCATTTTTCTTTCAATTCCATCATATTTCCAATAATAATAAAATAATAATGACAGTAATAATAAAATAATAAATAATAATAGATAATAATAGAATACACAACTTCAATAGTAAAAATTATGCATCGAACCCGCTCAGCAAAAATGAAACTTCTGAAATGATTTAAAAAAGGCAATTCCATGAAAAGATTGAATTTTTATTAAATTGATATAGAATTAAAACATTAAAAGCGATCAAAATAGCGACACATACATATTACAAATTGATAGCAAATAACAATTTCATTCAACTTCCTTTTCCACATTTTCTATAAACGAAACAATTGATTCAGCGATTCTGCACGTTTCATTTTAAGTTAACGAAAATAGGAAACGAACAACTGCACGCCGAGAAGTTTTATAAGTTTTGCATGAATTGTCGCTAACTGTTGCATGAAGTTTTTTGTTGCCAAATTCGTGTTAGTAAATACAAATGATTCTACGTGGCTCAAATAAAATTACAGTTTCGCAAGAATAAAAACATGGAAATGTGTTCTTGAAGAAAAGGCTAATTTAAGTTATTATTCGAAGACTATAAAACGTTCTCTCTCTCCTCGAAATAATGAAAAAATTCTGAGCAAAATTAGGTTAAAATTAGTTCTGAACCAAATTTTATTAATTGGGCAAAATGATTTTACAAAAATTTCTGCAAAATATTGGTTCAACAGCCATTTTCAACTCATTCTCCAACAAATGGGCCTTAAAAGCTTATGGCCTCACAGTGCTCAGTTAAAATAGAAATCGTTCGTACTACTTGGAAAAGATGAACAGAAAAATATATAAAGATAATTGAACTATGCAAAGGATTTTAAAAAAACTTCATTTACTCAATTTTAGAATTTCAGAGTTTCATTTCATATTAGTCGTTTATCCAATTCCAACATTCCGTTCTTTTTTCTTCTTTGCACCAAAGAATTTCTTTTCGTTCCTTTTTAAATTAATTTTATTCGTCGATTTGCTTTGTAGTTTTTATTATAAAATAATTTTGTAGATTCGTTAGGCGATGTCAAACTTTCCTCTGATTTAGCATGCATTTATCGCATAAATCCGAAAAGCTTTCAGCTCATTACTGTCTTGTGACGACAACCAACTTTACGCGGTTTGCGGTTCAAACTAGCTATATCTTGACCTTCACCGCTCTTTTCTGCCGGCTCCACCTACTACTGGCGACAACCTTTCGGCTTTTCGTCCAGGGACTTTACCTCACAGTATTTTTGCAGTCACTTCTACAAATTTTCACTTTCAGCTGGTTGGTTATGATTGGTTGAATATTAAGAAATGGAAATTAGAAACTTTCTAGAAACTTGGCCGAATTTACCAAATTTGTTGATATCTTTCTTAACTCATTACTTTAAGGGGTAGGGTAATGCATTTTTTATGAATTTTGATGGATTTGAAACATTGGATTGATTCGATTGCTTGAGCTTTAAATTTAAATTTTTTAGCCATCCAATATTTTTTGCAAGTTGAGTTTTCCTTTTTATGTTTCAGAACAAATAGAGCAATTATGCGAAGACCATCGGGCATTGCTTTTTGATTAAAACAACGAGGGAACCGAGGGACAGGATGGTTGAACGGGGGCAAGTTAATGAATATCAAGCCACCATGTTTTTAATCGGCCAAAAGTGGATGGTTTCTGGGACCATTTCCATCCTTAAGTGACTCATGGTGATTGGATCTCATTTTAATAGCCATTAGAACTAGTTATACATGAAATGTGAACAATGAAGGCAAAGAAACCAAAATAATTGACAATCTAATTTAAATTAATCTAATTTAAATCATTAGTCTAATTTTCTGTTTATGGATGTGAATTCCAATATAGAATGGTAAAAATAATCAATTTCATACAAGCAATTTTATGCAAGCATTTATTTATTTATTTATCATGCATCATTATCTTTTCCTTTCATCTGAAATCATTGAATTGGATAAACCTCGTCCACTACTATAGTCCACTGGAATGAATTATGTAAGCCCTTCTCAAACCACAACCCACCCACATTTGATGCATTAAAATTGCCGAAAACTGATCAAATTCCGATAAGGTACTTTTCATTAGAAAATTGCAATAATTTCTATCTAAATTCGTTTCATCAAATGATAAGGCATAGGCTGAGTCGAATGAATTACAATTGATAAGAATTTTTTTTTAACATTCTATTTTTCTATAGAAGAATTTTGTTATATTCATCGTTTATCATTTTTGAATAATTTATTTCAAAAAGTTTGATTTAATCACTCATTTTTTCATTTTGGCAATTGAATTTTATTGAAAATTATAGTTTATTTTCATGCATTAAGAAGGCTATAGAACTTATGTGGGAAGAATCGAGGACTCAATTTTTTTTCGTTTTAAATCAACATTACTTTTTTTTCCTTTTTCAGATCTTCTCCAAATTTTTCATGCGATGTTGAAAAGTACACTAGCAACTACTTATACAACGAGAAATTTTTAGCCTTATATTGTTTCTATTGTATATCACATTTAGTAGTATATAAATTAAAAGGTGAAACGGCAATATGCCAGGGAGTCCCTTGGCGATAGAAACGCAAGTGGGTTACCAACATTACCCGGATTTTTGAACAGGTTTACTCCTGCGAGGAATCGAACCTCAGCACCGGTGCTCCAAATTGGGCAAGAATCCACTGAGCAATTCCATTCCCATAAAAAAAAATTAAAGGTGAAACGACCACCATTTTCACTTAGGCTCGCTCCACTGGCCGTTAGTATAGCTGCGAATTTCTATGAGGTAGTCATTTGGAGATGGAAGAACAAGCTGGTCATCATCATCTCCTGGATTTTTCAAAAGATAAAGATTTACTCTTATCAAGATCGCATCTCAGTGCATATTTATAACATCTGTGTCCACAGTCATTCGTAAAATATTTCTGAACATATCACCACTATCCTGAAAAGTTGTTTTCAGCGATGCAAGCTTTGATTCTCCTTACATTTTTCGCATTCAACTCAGGTTTTTCGATAAATTCAAATCTAACCGCAGACGGTGACGAGGTAAAAACGATCATTTACTTTGAAAATTTTAAATAAATCGTAAAGGGTTTCGATTTGTCCGCTGCTGCAGATCACACAAAAATATTTTCTGGCTGATATCTCTTCGGCAGTTTGTGGATAGCCGAATTCAAAATGTTTTAGTTATTATATATTTATATTTATATTATTATATATATTTTAGTTAGCCCAATGAATGATTAATAATAAAAATTTATTTTGAAGATTTGGGGTTGATGAATTCCAAGTTTTAAGCAAACACTTTTATTGTTTTTTAAGTAATCAAATGTTTTTAACGACAGATAAATTCCTTATAAAATTTTACTTTTTTTTTGAATTATTGAATTAGATGAAGGAAATTAATTTAGAATGGCTTTGCCCTTGCGATCGATATAGATCAGTCCATCTCGTCAGCTTCGTTCACTTGTATGAAAAATTCAGGCTTTTCGACAGCATTCATCCGGGCTTACATGCCTATTGCCGACGGAATGGTGGATTCAAATTTTGTGCAGAATGTATATAACGCACGCCAAGGTGAAAAGGATCCAAAATTGCAGCAATATTTCAAGCACTGCTTATTAAATTCACTTTTTTTAGCTGGAAAATCTTCATTTAATCCAATATAGAATCAAGAAAACTATTATATTTAAAATTATTTTTCACGTTTTCACGTTTCACAAGATTAAATTAGAATTTTTGTGTAAATTTTCAACAATTGATCTGATCTGACAAAGACCATCCATTCTTAATGAAGAAATTTTTTTTTCTTCAAAAGCCTTTAAAATTTTTCGCCATATAACATTTATTTGAAGTTGGCCTTGGAACTGAAGTTTACGCCATTCCACAGGCAGCAGGAATCAAGACTGCGGCACAACAGTTCGACGAAATTTACAGTTGCATAAAGCAAAGCCAAATTGCCCTAGGCAGAATATGGCTGAAGGTGTTTATAAAAATCCACTACAATCAATTTACTTTTCAATTCAACATTTCAAACATCATAGTTCGGCTCCTTTGATGCGAGCAAAACTTTTAATGATTTAAAAAATTCGAGGTGCTGAGGAGTTAGCTCTATTTTTTACCCAACTGATAAAAGCTGATAAAAGTATTTTTTCTCACTAACTGTACAGCCATGAACAGTGAATGAATGCTAACCACTAATTCGCTATCTAAATCGGACTTACAACAGATAATTTTAAAATTAAAAGTTTGATATTAGTTAGTCCTATGAGTTATACCGTCTTTACTGTCTTTCGTTCGATGTTCTAAATTCCAATTTAAATTTCGCCTATCACCACCACGTCTCATTCACTGGCTAATTTAGATTTTGCATAACATTCAGGTAACATCGCCTATTCACTGGCCAATTTCTCAACAGAACAATTTTGAATTTATCCAACAATTTATTCAACGAGCCGGAGTAAACTTTTGATTTGATTTTATGTATTATTTAGGTTTTATTTTTTTATAATTACTTTATTCTTATTTGTGATTTGTTGTAGGTGGCGAAACTTCAAAATTGTTCGGTTTGTTAAGAGATAAAAATTGCGAACTTTCAAATCATTTTAAAAAATAAGAGTAAATGATTGGCAAATTTGATTGTGTTTTAAACAGAAACTATAAAATTTTACTTTTTAGCAGTACAACGTTCTTGTTGGTATTTATACCAATTGGTACGACTGGCTGGAAATCGCAAACAGCCATGTTTATTCACGTCTTCTGTGGTTCTGTTTGTCTATAATTTTTCTATTACGAAATTTTTCTATTTTCCATTATCTATTACGAAAATATCACAATTTCAATACATCTTGATATGCCAAGGATGAAAATTTTCTTCCCATAAACGTAAAAGGTAACAAGGTAATGAATATAATGAAAACAACTGCAGGTACTGGAACGTATTAGGAGAAGGAGAAACCGGGAGAACTGCAGCAGATTTCAGTGACTTCCGCTCTTTTGCAGCCTTCATTAATCCGATAATAAAGACGTACGCAAGGGCGACACGGATCTGTGGAACTTCGGTGGACCAAATTGTATATCCACAAAGTTATGGCTTATTTTCAGCTAATTCAACGGATCAAAATGATAAAATGATTATTGTCGGCTCAATACAAATACCTTACAGTTGAAAAATGTGATGAATATATGAATGAAAAAATAAACAAATAATAGTGGAATTCTCTAAAAATATTCTGCGAATATAACAAGGAGATCATGAAAGAATACTCGTCAAAAGGACGAGTCTTTCCAGCAACAATTCTCTAATTATTGAGAAGTTTCAAGGAAAAAAAGTGAAAAAACAAATCGTTTATATTTTTTATTAAATTTAAATTTGATATTTTTATTACAAAAAATTATTGATGGTAAATAATGAATAATAAAGTAAGTCGAACAGTTCTAAAATTCGTTGCTTGTATTTCTCGCAAAATCTCATTGAATTTCCCTGGAAAAATCAAGAATCTTGCAAATAAAAATTTGCATGTTTATAAGACAAAATTAAAAAATCAGTTTACTGGAAAAAAAAACGAGTTGAAAACCCTTTGTTTCCTACAGCCAATCATATTTTGCGAGAGTCCTAAGATTACAAAACTCATCGAAAACTTATCGGATTGCTTATGGCAAAGGATTTTGAAGTTGTTCGACTTAGATATCTTCGATTTTTCATTATTTTCTCCCCGAAGACTCCATTGTGCTTCTTTGCCATAATCCACTGATAACGCCAAGTTAAACCCCTTTCTGCCACTTTCACTGCATTTCCTCAACCTCACTCACCTCTCTGATAACGTTCTCCTCACGTTAAACCTTGAAGTGGGGCTCAGTGGCTTAATTCAGAGCCAATGCAGGGGTTCCACTCCGTGCAGAAGTAACCTCTACTTCTGTCACCAAGGGACTCCCTGACATATTTGCCTAGTGCGAAAGTGGAGCGAGCCTAAGCGATTTCCATTCCTTAAAAGGCTAGAAATTTTAGAACACAATGATTTATAAAAATCTTCCAAATGAAATAAAAAAAAAAAGTACAGCTCAAATAAAAGTCATATGAAAAGGCATCAAAATCAGATTGGTCCAGTGGGAACAAAGTGGTCCATTTTTAGCCAAAACAGCAGCCAAGAATTTTTGCAGCAGAAAAAAATCAATCTAATATGGTCGCACAATTATCCAACCACTTCGCTCCAACTTCTGTCTTAAACATCGCCTCGCTTTCCTATCTTGTCAAATCAATTTGTCACCTCGACGACGCAAACAAATCATTCGAATTGACAACATTGGGAAAATTCGGCCACTCTCCACTTATGTGTTTATTTTCACTTTTTTTTTATTTGCTTTATGGTTTTTAATATCGTTTGAGTCGTTTTATGTGAGTTGCAAGCCTAAATTTTAATTTCAGCGGCCTTTCAACATTGATTTTACTATTTTGAAACATTCATTGGTTCAGCGTTGTTACTTTCTTTCATTTTAAAAAGTTTTATTTATTCTCGTTTGACGAGAAAATTTATGCTAAAAATATGAAGAAAAGTTTGCGAAATTTACAGCAAATCTGGAATTATTGTAGAATTAAGTTAATGTGCCTCGTGCCGACCTTATTTTCTCTGGTTTGGCCTGTTGGGCTAAGCCCGTAGTGCTTAGAAGGGGGCGTGCGAGTAGAATCGGTTCGGAGACTCGCTGAGTGCTTAGAAGGGGGCGTGCGAGTAGAATCGGTTCGGAGACTCGCTGAGTGCTTAGAAGGGGGCGCGCGAGCAGAATCGGTTCGGAGACTCGCTGAGTGCTTAGAAGGGGGCGTGCGAGTAGAAGTAGAAATGATCCCCCAGAATTGCTCGAATTCTATTTTTCTGCACTTCACTGAAGTTGCTTTACTCGATCTCCATTATTTTTGCCTCTGGATTACTTATTTCCCCGTTTCTCGACCATTATTCTTGCTCCGGGCACTCACTGTCTCCAAATACCCAACGTATTTTGCTGCTTTGTTATAAACTATTAAACTATTTCTGTTTATATATTCTATTTAGATTTGTACCATTAGCGTAGTCTGTTTAATTTTAGTGGAAAAATCATGTCCATTTCGAATTTTGATGATGATAACGAAGTTGGGCTGATGAACATTGGCTTAATATTCAGTATTATTGCATTTCTTGTCGCTCTATTCAGTTTCATTTTTCGAACGATGTGGAATAAAGTTGATTCTAAAGGTTCTTTTTTTCCTTTATTTTTTAACAATTTTCTACAGTGAGCTTTCTACAGTGACTTTTTAATTTGATGGTTTTAATGGTCACTTTTGTGGGTCTGAACTGTTTATCGATTGAAGTCGTACATTTTGTGATTTAGCTTTAGCCTTAATTTTGAGAAATTTGAGAAGTGGACCACCTATTCTTCGTGAATGTGGTGGATTTTTTGGTAACAGTTGATTATTTGGCACCCATTTCACTATGGATGATGAGGTGTGGAGCGTTAGATGGTACATTATTATGATTTTTTCGCTTTAAATTTTCTATCCATCTTATCTTCTTTTTCATTATCTCATAATTTTTGAAAAATTTTATGGAAAATTATGAAGCTTAGCTTATAACTTTAATATAACTATTGTTCATCAATTTTCCATTTTTACAACTTTTTTTTACAGCTTTGGTGCAATATGACGAAATGAGATCATCTGAGGAATCGGAAAAATCTGCTGATGAAGAATCCTCAAAGAAATCGAATCCTTTCCGACAAAATTCCAAACGGAATCTAAAAATGAAAAAAGTCAAGGATTTATTTTGCTGATTTTTTTCCTTGTTTTGCAATTTTTTTTATCTAAAAATTTGTTTGAAAGCTCATTCTCTTTTTACAATAATTATCTTATTCTTTTATCAGTATCAGAAATTTTAGATTCGTGAAACTAAATATCAACACCCCTGGCTTTTAACTACACTCAAAGGCCATATTGCTCAAGTTCTCGATATAGATTTCTCATTGAATGGCAAGTTTCTCGTTTCGGCTGGCAGCGATCGATCTATATATTTATGGAATACTAAGGTATTTTCCAAAAAATCTTTTATGCTTATTAAATAAAATTTACAAATTTTTTACAAATTTTTGCCTGCAAATAATTTTTATTTCCGGATTTCTATGCACGTTCGCAAAAATTCAGTCGTGGCGCTGTGGAATTCGATAATGCAACCCATATAGTTTTTGCCCCAGATTCAGTTAGCATATTAGTTAGCCTCTGTATGGCAAATAAGGTAAATCATTCTAGTTTTTAGTTAAATTTATTTTCGAATTTTTTCTACGATAAGAATACTTCATTCCGAACTCTAATCCCTTATAATGAATTTCGTTAAAATTAATTTTAAAAGCTTCTATTTATATCCTATTATTTATTTTTAATTTAATTTTTAATTGAAATTAAAAATTTATTTTTAATCTAAATTAATTTATTTCCTACTTTTTATTGTTCATTTGATTGGATTTTTAATTTAAATTAAAAATTTATTTATTTTGTTATTTATTTTATTTATTAATTAAAATTTATTTATTTATTTTATTTATTAATTAATTTTATTATTTATTAATTTATCCAGTTAACACCCTTATTAATTAAAATCATTTCAACTTTATAGATGAGAGAAATGGTTATAACCGTTGGAAAAATGGTTTTACAATTTTAATTCCATGTTCAATCTTGTAGTTATTCGTTTACAAAGTTACGCGTAAGAAAGAAGGTTGTCAAGGTTATAAAATTGTACCCGTTGATAATGTTGAATATCCAGTGAAGCACAAATCAGATATCAAAAATATTGGAGTTGCTTCTACTGGTATAACTTTTTCTTCTGTTTTTCTTTGATTTTTCCTGATTTTGATTTTTCATAGGTATAACTAATTTTATACATGTATCATTTCATTATGTGTTATAATATAGAATGTAATCATTTTTTCTTCTATTCTTCGTTTTATTTTTTCAATTTCTTTTGTTCATTTTATTATTTTAGGCAAATTTGTTATGTCTTCGGATGAAAATGCGATTGCACTCTACAGTTTGCGTGGTGATTTATTCAAAATACTAGAACCTAAACTTAATTTTCTACACACGGTGATTATTTCGCCTTGTGGTCGTTTTTTGGCTGCAGGTGGATTTACTCCTGATGCAATTATATATGAGGTATTTAAGCTATTGAGTTAATAATATGATATGAAATTTCTCTGAGAAAAATATAATAATGTAATTACGCTAAAATCTTTGTGGTAGCTCAATTTTAAGGTTCTCTTCGATCGCAAAGGCAATTTTCAAGATGCAAAACGCGTGTTTGATTTAAAAGTATGATGGTTATTGCTTCGGATTTTTCCATTCATTTAAATAATTATTTATAGTTTTTATTAATCTGTTTCGAGATTTCGTGATTTATTCTCTTGGAGACTTCTTGGAGATTTTAGATTTATATTTTTGATTCAGGTTAGATAAATTAATTAATTTTTAGGGTCATCATTCTGGAATTTATGCTATAGCGTTTAATAAATCGTCGAGCAAATGTGTTACGGCTTCAAAAGATGGTACTTGGAATTTGTACAATATAGATATTCGTTATTCTTTGGGTGAAGATGCAAAAATCATTGCCAGGTTCTCTTATTCTTCATTTATTATTAAAAACATACTTAGATAAAGGCTCACCATTTAAAACTTGGCTCTTTTTTCTTTCCTTTCATTAGCATACATCATCTAAAAGTGCTTAAATAAGAATCTTAGAAGTTGAAACGGCGATCAATTTTTCTTCACTTGTCAAAATCTTGATATTTAAAAATTTTTTCATCATACTTTTTTATTTTTTCTTTTTTTTCTTTTAACATCATTTATCATTTATTATTTCTATTTCGGCCACTGAGATGAAGTATTCTAATTGATCTTTATGTTCTTTCTTCAGAGAATTCGTCAAAGAGGGTATACGTATAAGTGAGCTCGAGAATAACTCGATAGAATCTGGATTCTTATCTGGATTCTTATATTGTTTGATATTATTCATACATTTTTCAACTATCGGTGCTGTTTTTAGCTTCTCGGATTTCTTCTTTGCTCTAATCCTTTCCATCCCATTCCATTAAATATGGATTTCAGTGGTTTTGGTAAATCTATTTTTTTTCAGTGGAACTTGGGATTTATTGAAGAACGCAGCTCCTGATACTGTGCACCTTGCTATCAGTCCATCGGGCAATAGTTTTGTGATAAGTGCTAGTCGCCATTTAAAGTTCTTTTGTGCCCTTAATCCCCAAAAAAATTTCGATATTGGTATTTTTCATTCTCATTTTTTTTATTTTAATCTCTTTCCTCGATTTTCCAATCAAAGTCAACAATTTTCTTCGTTTTTATTACGTTCTTTTTTATTTGTTAATTGTGAATTTTTTTCTCTTTATTTTTTATCAAGATTCTTTGGCAGATGGAATCGAAATCATGTGGATTATATTATTATTTGTTATATATTCTTCAGTGCTGGATATACATCAAGAACCTGTGACAAAAGTTTGTATAAGTGCATGTGGAAAACTTGTTGCCACATCAGGTGACAGACACATGCGAATATTCCATAATGTGGCCGAATATTATGCAGTGGTTTTATCGTTAGAGAAAGCTGTGGATCAGGCGCGAGCAGGTGCCGTCAAACGAGATTTTGAGGAAGAACTGGCCAATTCCAGAAAATTATTGGAATCGATTATGAAAGGTGAACATAAACAATCTATGTAAAGTGAATAATATTACAATAAACAATATAATATTTGAAAGTCTTTAGTTGTTTGTTTTTCTTCAATATAAATTTTTTTTTTGCATTCTTTTCTGATAAAAATTTTCTTTCTGAGTAATTTTCCCAGAAAAAGAAAATTGTTTTCGAATTGCTTTTTTTCATTAATTCTTCTTTATGTTGAATAATTTGCATGTTTCAATAATATCAGAAGAAAGTTTCCAATAATTAAGATGACTTTGAATCACAGAAATGAAAAAAAGCATCACAAAAAACGAAAATTAATAACATTTAAAGCCTCCTCTTAACAAACTTTGCGGATTTATCTCGTTTGGGTCCACTAATCTGAAATTCAGAATTTTATACATTTTTCGTCCGAAAAGAAGATGCATTTTAAAACCGCCAAAATCTTGCGAAAATCCTTCCTATTTCATAAATTCCTCACTTCAGCTTCTTTTTTAAATTTCGAATCGTGAGCGATTGAATTCCTATTCCATTGCTACTTTTGCGCTATTTTTGGAATATTTCCAAATTTCTATAAATAAAAAGCTAAGTTTTCTTTTTTTTTCTAAATTTAAAAATAAAGAATTAATAAATTGAAGAACAAAATTTAAATGAATTTAAATTTTTTTTGAAATTCCAATTTTCTTTATTATTCTTCCACCTTATGCTATTAAAGAATATTATAAAATAATGTAATGTTATGTTTGTCTTCGACAACAGTTAACCTGTCATATCAAAAATCCGGGTGGTTGCTGGGGAATCACCTGTAGCTCTATCACCAAGTAACTCTATGGTGAGTGAAAGGATAGCAGATGTTTCTTGAAATGGTGTACTCCGACGCGCATGAAATTCATGATATCCCGAGGATACATGCGTTAAGTATACAAACCGGTCGTAAAACGATCCAAAGGTTCATAATGAAATATGCTCGCAAGCCAGAACAATTGAGCGAAACTATGGGGACGGCTCTCTGCACATGCGGCGAAATATTAGCCATATCAGCATGGAATGCTAGAATGCTTATGGATATCGCAAACCAAGCGATGTCTAAATATAACACCCTTTCTCAATAATATCGTGTGGATATCGCTTGCCGGTCGGAGGTCCGTCTTCCTCACTTCGGGTCTCGAGTAATTGCTAATTCTGGCTCTGAGTAGAGGTACTGGCTATATCACTGTGATGCTTCGAATAACGGGACGAAATGGCGTAGCGATTGTCATGTGCCCGCTCTGATTGAGTGGATAAGCCGATAAGGGACCATATGGCCTATGCCTGTTTTAAGGGTAAGTTCTGCAATATTCTCGGTCATCAGTGCCTATGTTCCAACTCTGTCGGCAGATAACAGTGATAAAGATAAATTCTATGCGAAACTTCAACTGCTAACAAAGTCTCTGCCAAAACATGACATGGTCATAGTCGGGAGAGACTGCTCGCGTAGGTCATAATGCCGTTGCGATGACCTCAACAATTAGCAAATATGGCATAGGAGACCGATGCGCCAATTGAATGCCTTTTTCGTTATGCCGAAGAGCATGGAATTTTTGTTGCTAAAACTTGCTTCTGGCATCGTAGAAAATATCTAGTCACGTGGAACTCGCCAGACAACCAACACCCTAACCAGATTAATTATATCTTAGTCTGTCGCCGTCTGAAAAATTCGGTATTAGATAGTCGTTCCTATCGTGGTGCTGAAACGGGCAATTTTCATGGATCTAACCATGCTATGGCTAGGGCCAAGATCCGCCCAAAATTGACAACTCGCAGAAAACAGCATCCTATCTCGAACTAAAAAATTCGGGGAAATGAGCACATTTCAAAGCGAATTATTGAAGCATTTCAGTGATACAATGATTTTTCTGGAGCGGTAAATGAATACTGGTCCAAACTAAAAGAATGAAGGTCTCCGAAAGTCAGCCACTTCTACGTTAGGTCATACTAGTAGGAAGTGCGCTCGTTGGGTATCGGAAGCCCAATACTGCCCAATTGTCTGAAGAAGCTGCCAAAGCACGAATGTCAGGTTATTCTGATCACCGAATACTTCGAAGATCTGCAATTAAAATAGCACTGCGGGACAGAAATCACTATTGGAGTGACATGGCCTTGAGAATGGAGTTGGCGGTTCGATTTTCAACTAAGCAACTATAATTCGGGGAACGATCAGTGAAATGGTAAGAGACAGCAATGGTGTGCCAATCAAGAATATCAAGGACCGCCTCATAAGATGAAACGAATTCTTTGAGGCCAAATTTAACCATGAAGCGCCCCTGATATAGCTGATATGTTCGCTGAACCATATGCTTGCGACTGCGAGCCCAGGACAGAAGAAGAATCTATTAATCTATTAATATCTATTATCCATATCTGTTATCCATAAGCTTAAGGCCAATAAGACTGGTGCTAGAACATCACTTTAAATATATACCCACCATTAAGTGTTTCATCGACTCATAAAGGCATTTTTTCAGCGTCGGCGCATATCTCTGCATATGGGGAACTAACAGGCTCCTTCGAAATAAAAATTGGTGTCCGTCAAAACTGTTCTTTCCCCCCTGTATTCAACTATGCGATAGACTGATAATGGATACCGTTCTCAGTAGATCTCCAAATCAGTCCAGAGCATCGTATCACAGATCGTGAATGCGCTTATGATGTAGTTCTTTTTTGCTAACAGTTATGACAAAATGTAAATAATGCTAAGCAATTTGTCGACAACTACAACGAGAATCGGACCCATGATCAATGTAAAAAGCGAAAGTTTTTTATAAACAATGCAAAATCAATGCCAGTTGAGTGCCAGATTTTAAATACCTTGGATTCACTCTAATATCGAATAACCAGGCGAAAGTTGAAATTACAACCGGATAATGGCAGCTAGAAATGCTTTTTTCCCGTTGACGAAACCTTCATAGAGCACTCGAGAAATCACCATAAAAACGAAAGTCCGCATCTATTTAGCCGCGATTCTTTCGATAATATGGCTACGAGAGATGGCCAGTGAGAGTGGAGGATATAAAGTACATTTTACGAGTTCGCCGAGTGAAAAAAATTTTATCATCACAGAGTGTCGTCTTCGCTGGTTAGGACACCTTCTTTGTCACCTATTACAAGAGTTCACACATATTTTTTTATTTGCTAAATCCTATGTTGGGTAGCGTCAAAAACGAGGTGGACCAATGAAGATCTGGACTGATACGGTCAGGAAATTTTGAACATATAGATGGAACAGCAATACATGGACTTAGACGATGGAAAAAGGAATGGCTTCTATTACAGTCGACGATAGCATCAGACCGCGCCGCTTGGAAACATCGTACTCTTGTAGCCGTTGGAGCCAGCCTAGTATCTAGTAATGGTGAGAAGAAGAAGAAGAAAGATAAATTATTTAAATTTAATCTAAAGAAGTTGTCTATTATTCAAATTATTCATTAAATTTCCGAATCTTTTAGACTAAAGTTCTGGTCAGTAATGATCAAACATGTATTACTTGCCTAATTGTTTTGTAAATTTCGATGGATTTGTGAACAAATTTTTTGAAAGCAAGGTTTTCATGAGACTGTTTGCGTCCGACATTTCTTATTGAAGCAATTAAAAGCGTGTGAATTAAAGCAAAAAATCTATTTAATTTCACCAAATTTCGACTTTAAACACCTCTTTAAAAAGAGAATGTAAATGCGAAATTGAAATTAAAGTACCAAAGAAAGAAAAATCACGAGAATATTTTTCAGAGCTCCTCACCATTTCTAGTTGGTCTCGTTTTGCTCGTCGAATCTAACAAATTCAATTACGATAGAAGTAAATGTAAGTAGCTAGCACTACCAGGATTTTTCAAATACTGAATCTATTTCTATCGAGAATAGGGTCCAAACTGGAAGTGGAAAAAATAGAACCAGACTTCTGAAATAACAAATACATTGAACCATTCCATTTTTTGCACATATGGCGTTATGTGATAAAAACAATATTATCAAAATCTCCTTTCAAGAATTTTTTTAAATCGGTTGAGAAAAACCGTAGAAAAAATTTTCTTCGATGAAATCCTCAGTGATAATTTTAAAATTATAAGAATACCATAAAAATCATAATGGACCATAAAAATCAGGATGAACCCACGGAATATCGCCAGCAAGGATTATATATATATATATGCATGCAAAGGATCGGTTGGTGAGCATCCATAGGGGGTGAACGAGTATATTGAATTTTTCCACTGTCGATATCGGTATCGGACAAGTTTATAAAAAACTGAATCTTTCGAACACCTTACTTCATTGGATGAAAAAAATTTAAGAAGAAATTTACAAGGATTTTACCAGAGAAACATTTTCGGAAGAGCTAAAAAAGATTTTTGAAACTGCAGAGATACAGCGTGGTTGTTTATCATGGAGAGGATATGTCGGCGATCGCAAGCCATACCTTTGGCTCTATAAAAAAGGAATTTAAAATTTAGAGGAATTTAAAAAAATATATAAAAAAAGAATTTTTAAAAGTTTCGTATATTTAACAATTCAACGATAAAATTTGGGGATAAAAAAATTTGGTTTTGAAATCAATTATCAGTTGGTTTATTGTTTCATTCTATAACCAAAAACACGTCTTTAGCACTTAAAAAAAAGGCTTGAGATATAATCTTCAATGAGATATAATCAGCAATTAATATGGCATTTAAAAACAACTCGTTTCCTCTCGTATCATACTATGCGGAAAGTGAAGAATTTATGATTGACCAAAAGATCAAGCGGACCTTAATGTGGTTGAAATACATAACTGTTTGTGGGGATATACGTGGTACAAAACATGTGCGAATGAAAGAGAAAAGAGATATTCTCATTCTCATTTTTCGTGGATTGATACTGAAACAGGGCGCATGAGTGAAATAAAAAAGAGAGAATATATACCATAAAAAGTTTGTGCTCTTAATGCTTTTTTTCGATCGAAAATTTCAAATTATTTTGGCAGCAAGTATTTTTTGCTATGAAATTCGGTGAAAGTTAGTAAATTGATT